GGGAGATGGGGCCATCCCGGGCTGCGGAGACAACAACAACAACAACAACAACAACAACAACAAGATTCCATTTATAAAGCGCCTTTCACGTCAGGAGGACGTCCCAAGGCGCTGCACAGTTGGGTCATGACCCGAGCAGGGGGGAAATGGTCAGGGTGAGGGCAGGGAAGGGAGGGAGCGGGGTGGGGGGAAATGGTCAGGGTGAGGGGAGGGAAGGGAGGGAGCAAGGAGGGGGGAAATGGTCAGGGTGAGGGGAGGGAAGGGAGGGAGCGAGGAGGGGGAAGAGAGTCGAGAGGGGAGCTGAAGGCACGGTCAAAGAGAAAGGTTTTGAGACCGGCCTTGAAGGAGGAAAGGGAGGAAGCGGCGAAGGCACTGGGGAATGGAGTTCCAGAGCCTGGGGGCTGAGAGGCTGAAGGCCCGACCACCGATGGTAGGGCGGTTGGGGCGGGGGACGTGGAGCAGACCAGAGCCAGAGGAACGGAGGGTACGGGCAGGTAGGTAGGGGGATAGTAGGTTGGAGAGGTAGGAGGGAGCAAGGCCGTGAATGGCCTTGTAGGTGAGGATGAGGATCTTGAAATCAATCCTCTGGGGGATGGGGAGCCAGTGGAGGCGAGCGAGGGTGGGAGTGATGTGGTCCCGAAGCCTGGTGCGGGACAGTACACGAGCTGCAGAGTTCTGAATGACCTGCAGCTTGTGGAGGGAGGTGCCGGGAAGGCCGGCGAGGAGAGAGTTCCCATAGTCCAGCCTTGAGGTGACAAAGGCGTGGACCAGGGTTTCAGCAGCGTGAGGGGTGAGGTAATGCCGTAGTCTGGCGATGTTCCGGAGGTGATGGAAGGCGGTGCCAGTTGTGGTGCGGATGTGAGGGAGAAAGGACAGCTCAGGGTCGAACAAAACGCCGAGGTTCCTGACTGGCTTTGAGAGGTGGAGAGTGCAGCCTTGGATGCTGATGGTGTCAGCGCCTGAGGTGCGGAGGCGCTGACGTGAGCCAATCAGGAGGGCCTCGGTTTTTCGCACGTTGAGCTGAAGAAAGTTGTCTCTCGTCCAGGACTCGATGTCGGACAGGCAGCTGTCAGGACATCGGTGGTCGTGGAGTTGAGAGTAGAGGAGGAAAGGTAGAGTTGGGTGTCATCCGCATACATGTGGAAGTTAACTCCATGTCTGCGGATGATGTCACCAAGGGGGAGCATATAGAGGGTGAAGAGGAGGGGACCAAGGACAGAGCCCTGAGGGACACCACATGAGACAGTACGGGGGGTGGAGGAGAAGCCATTCGTCGAGACAAAGTGAAGACGGTGAGAAAGGTACGACCTAAACCATTCAAGGACAGTGCCTTGAAGGTTGAGGTGGGAGGACAAGCGGTGGAGTAGGATAGCGTGGTCGACCGTATCGAATGCTGCCGATAGGTCGAGGAGGACGAGGAGACAGAGGGAGCCCTGGTCACAGATGGTCAGGATATCATTGGTGACCTTGACCAGGGCAGTTTCTGTGCTATGGGCAGCACGGAAACCTGACTGAAGGGGTTCGAAAAGAGAATGGGTGGAAAGGAAAGAGCGCAGTTGGGAGGCGACAACTCTTTCCAAGACCTTGGAGAGAAAGGGGAGGTTGGAGATGGGCCGGTAGCTTGATAGCTGCGACGCATCAAGGGAGGGTTTTTTCAGGGTGGGCGTGATGATGGCAGTTTTTAATGGAATGGGGACAGAGCCAGAGGAGAGGGACAGGTTGATGATGTCAGTGATATGTGGGGCAAGAAAGTGGAGCTGGGAGATAAGGAGTGGAGTGGGGATGGGGTCAAGGGAGCAGGTGGTTGGTTTTAGGGATAGGATGAGTTCAGTGACAGAGGGTGGGGAAACGGGTACGAAGGTGTGTAGGGGAGGATGGGTAGGAGTCGGAGTGTGGGAGGGAAGGGGTGGGTGGTGGGTGGAAGTTGGAGGGGAAGTGACCGCGGAGCGGATTCCCTTGATCTTGGATTCAAGGAAATCCAGCATCTCCTCGCAGTGAAGGTTGGAGGAGATGACCTGCGCGGGGTGGCGGGGGGGACGGAGGAGTCGGGTTGTGGTGGAAAACAGTAGCCTGGGGTTGTTCTTCGCCTCCAGGATTATCCTGGAGTAGAAGGACGACTTGGCCGAGGCTAGAGTGGAGCGGTAAATTTTGAGGAGGTCCAGCCAGATTTGTCGGTGGACCGTTAGGCCAGATTTGACACAGGTGCGTTCAGCAGCCCGCACCTGGCTTTTCAGTGAGCGGAGGTGGGTGGTGTACCAGGGGGAGGAGCGGGAGTAGGAGACAGTGCGGGAAGTGATGGGGGCAAGAGTATCGAGTGTGGAGGAGAGGGTATTGTGGAGGAGGGAGAGAGGAGAAGAGGGGTCGGTGAGGGTTGAAGGCCAGAGGGAGAGGAGTTCAGAGGACTCCAAGGCATCGGTTAGGGATTGTGGGGGTAACTTCTTCCAAGGGCGGTAGAAGATGGTGGTGGGTCTGGTGGAGGTGGGGAGGGGGGTGGAGGAGGTGAAGGAGATGAAGTAGTGGTCAGAGATGGCCTTGTCGGTAATAGTGACATCCGAGACACTGAGGCCCCGGGTGATCACCAAATCGAGTGGGTGGCCGTGACTGTGAGTGGGGGAGTTTATGTGTAAGGAGAGGTTGAGTGAAGAGAGCAGGGAAGAGAAGTCTGTGGAGATGGAGCAGGAGGGTGTGAAGTGATGGAGATGTGTGAAGGGTACGGAGATGGAAGACTGAGAGCTAGAAACGCTAAGACTGAGGATATCAGATGGAAGATTGAAAGCTGTAAGCAAGAAGACTGAAAGCATGAAGAATCAAGCTTGTGTGCTGTAAAGACACAGTGTTGAACTCTTGAACTCGAGATATCTATAGTGGTGTTATTCTGTTATAAGATCTGTTGACTGTACCGGCCTTTGGTCTGACCCTCGGGATATTGGGGAATAACGAACGAATAATAATAAAACAGTCTGATATCTGGTTAGAGAAATTAGCGTTATTTCCTTACAGATTTGGCTGATTTTATTTTCTAACAAAAACCCTATCGTCCCTATCCTCACTTGACTCCACCGGCTTCCCAACAGAGGATACAATTCAAGATCCTCATCCTCACTTTCAAAGCCTTTCATATCCTTGCTCACCCCTACATCTGCAACCTCCTAACCGCCTACCAACCACCCCACTCCCTCCGCTCAGTGGACTCCAGCCTGGTTAATGTCCCCCACCTCGCCCACCCCACTGGCTTACGGGGCCTTTGGCCAATTTGCGCCGACCATCTGGAACTCCGTTCCACACTTCCTCCACCTCGCCCCCTTCCTTGCCCCCTTCAAGACCTATCTCAAGACCCTCCTCTTCGGCCATGTCTTAGGTCACCCTGCTTCTCCCCCTGCCCTCCTCGCTCCCCGATCCCGACCCCCAGCTTGGATCCGAAACACTGATTGTCCAGCATCTTGGGACATCCTTCCGATGTGAAAGGCATTATATAAATGTAATTTTGGTGAGATTTTGGTGTTGTTATTTGTCATGCTTTTTGCATTTACTCCAATTGTCTGCTTTGCATTTCTCCCCTGTCTGATCTGTCGTTTTTCTGGACTACTCTTTATTCTGAACTTAATGGTCTCTTCCAGTCCTCTATGCTCCTTGTTTCTCCTCTCTGATGTTCCATCCTGGTTCCCCAGCAAAATTAGCTTAAATCTTCCCCCACAGCACTAGTCAACCTCCTTGTGAGGACATTGGTCCCAGCCCTGTTTAGGTGCAGTCCGTCCACCTTGTACATGTCCCACCTACCCCAGAAGTGGTCCCAATGCTCCAGAAATCTGAAGCCCTCCCTCCTATACCATTTCTCCAACCACACATTAACCTGCTTTATCTTGTTGTTCCTATATGCAATAGCATGTGTCAGTGGGAGTAATTCAGAGATTACCACCTTTGAGGGCCCTCTCTTTAGTCTCCTCCCTAACTCCTGAATCTCTGCCTATGTGACCTCAACCCTTTTCTTTCCTAAGTCATTGGTTCTAACATGGACCACGATTCCTCGCTGTTCCCCTTCTCCCCCACAGAATGGTCTGCAACAGTTCCGTGACATCCTCCACCCTGGCACAAAGGAGGGAACAGAAGCTCACATCTGTGGTTGCAGAAACGCCTGTCCATCCCCCTCTTGAATGCCCAATGACAATAGCATTGCTGCACTTCCCTGTGGCCCCCTGTGGAGTTGTTTGCCCCACTGTGACGTGGATTTGCCCTCCTCCGAGGTGTCACCACCCTCACTGGTATTCAGCACAGAAAACTGGTTTGTGAGTGCCACACTCCTGGAGGACATGTGCACTGCCTTTCTCTTCTTCCTATATATGCACTGTAGTGACACCAGCCTCTCCTCAAACTCAGAAACCCTGAGCTCGAGCAGCTGGAGGCACTTTCGGCTCACGTAATTGTCGAGTACAAGCAAAGTTTCCTGGAGTTCCCACATGGCACACAATGTGCAAGCAAGAGGTCTCAGCTGTTCTGCCATATTCCCAGAAGTTGTTTTTATTTTTTTATATATATATAAGCACCTCTTTCCCCACTGCACAGAATCCCCACTCTCATCAAATTCCTTCACTAAGTGTCACTCTGTTCCCACTTCACTCCGTTCACAACTCACTCTGTTGGTTCTTTGCTTCTATTTCAATATTTCAGCTTGGATGATACTTACTGATGATATCTGTCCTTAATGAACCCAGCTTTCTTATTATTGAGAAACTATGTGAACAATCAAGGCCCACAGCAAAAGCCTCACCTAAGTGAGGCTAAAATGAGGAAAAGATATATCAAGATGTGATTTAATGATAAGAAGCGTGTTTCAAAAAATTTGCAGTGTAGGAGTTAGTGAAAATTGATGGAGTAAGACATTTATGATTTTGAGGTTCTGGGAAGAAAGCAGAAGTCAATGTTAGTTGAAGCCAGAATTAACTCATGACTGCACTTTGTTTAGTAGAACGAAAGTGAAATGAAGTGAGATGAAGAGCACTTACTGAGACATGTAGTCAACCAGCGGATCAAAGAATGGCTTGCCTCTATGCTCCTTGTAAAACTCTTCTGCCATCTCCCTGCTTAGTGCCTTCTCATCCATCTGGGATATAACAAAGCCTCCTTCTTGGATTGTGCGTACAATCTCATCTGCCAAAATCCAAACGCAGTGGATTTACCGAATACACTGAACAGCTATAATAAAACTGGGTTGAATTGGTTTAACGTGGGGTCAATCTCAATCATGGTATGAAAAATCGCTCCCAACAACAACAACAACAGATTACATTTATAAAGTACCTTTCACGTTGTCTTGACGTCCAATCGCATTGGACCGTCAAGGCTTTGCACCTGAGCTGTGGGTTGGAATCAAGATGGGGCGGAGGGCAAGAGGGGATGACAGTGGGTGGATCCCAGTCTAATATGAAATAAGGGTGGTTATTAAATGAAAGGAAAATGATTAAACTGACTCACTGTGTGTGAATGCATGGTGGGGAGAATTCTATTTAGATCCTGAGGTTAATTCACATTGTTGGTGTAATCTAAATTTGTACAATTGTTCTTTCCTACTTCTTTCTTCTTACTGGGCCAAAGTTTTCTTAATAAAAGATAAACATAATTGGACAAAACTGAATTTATAACCTTTCAAACATGTTAAACCAGCTGTGTTCAATCACGTTCTCTGGAGGATTGGATCATCGATGTGAGTGTTTCTCCGCTTACCTCTGTGCTCCTCCAGAGCTTCAGGTTTGATCACTGCCAGCGTGTGTTCCATTGGGAAGAAGAACTTCAGTTCCTTCTCTGCTTCTTCTGATGAGATACTGCCATGCAACTGGTTTATTGATGAAGTTTCAACTGCAAATTGTGCTCGGATACTAGACAGTTGGAATCACAGGAAGAACAGTACCATATTATCCTCACTGTGTGATATTTTGTACATCTAGCTCACTCATCAGTACAAACGGTCTATTTCAAACATTTTGGAGGAGTTAATGCAATGTCCTTTTATCTGTATTTTTTGGAAGTTTATTATACTCATAGGGTAATTAGTGACTGGTTGCCAGGAAGGATGGTTGAGGTCAGGAACACTGGGCTTTGTTTAAAAAGAAGCTTGATGCTGCGATGAGGGCAAAATAAGTGAATGTTCTGGAGGGGAGAGATCGGATGGACCAGCGGGCCTTCTTCATCTGAACTGATCTTGTGGATCTTGTAATCTTAGGTTGACTACCAGTGTAATTGATAAAATGGCAGGTCACTGCTGATATTTCTTACTGTTTCCAGCCCTGACATATAAAGGCTACTGTAGCCCAATCCCCTTGTTGAATAGTTGTTGAAAAGAGGTTTGACTGTAGTCACAATGTTAGTAGATACTAAATGTATCAAGGACATTTTCTTTGTTTAAATGGCTCCACATAGTAACAAAAGGAAACCCTTATTCTTGTCACAGAAAATAAAAGGATTTACTGCTGTTTGCTTTAAGAATATAGCTCTTGATGTGTGTGTTATTTCACAGAAGGAATATTGTCCCTTCACTTCTCAAGGGACAGCCATGCAGGGGATGGCTTCCAGGCACCTCATCTAACTGGTCCATTTCCAGTGACCCAAGACATTGAGTATTGGCCAACTATTTAACACTGTGTTAATCATGTTTAATGCCTAATCAATTGGCATCCATATGTAGATTTTCTAATAATAATAATCCTTGCATTTGGGATTATGCCTTATCATTTCAGAAAGATGTCTCAAAGTGCTTCACAGGATGCACTGTAAAGTGAACTGACTGTATATTTGTAGGCAAATGCGGTTGCAAAATTGTGCACAGTAACATCCCACAAACAGCCACAAAATAAGTGATCAATTTTATTTGGGGGATTATTGCCTAGGACACCGGGAGAAAGAAACTCCCTTCTCTTTTCGAATAGCATCATGGGATCTTTAACATCCACCTGAACAGGTAAATAAGATCTCTGTTTAACATCTCATCTGAAGGATAGCACCTTCGACAATGCAACACCAACACCCACCCAGCACTGCATTGGAGTGGCAACTTAGTCTTTGTAACTTCAAGTTTCAATGTGGGACTTCAATCCACAACCTTCTGACTCAGAGGCAAGAGCACTACCGCTGAGCCAGGCTGACACACAATGGATCACTGGAAAGCAATCTGGAGCAGGAATCTTCCTGGGTTTTAGTCCCAAGGGATATTGAGGCCTATTCTAGCACCTGGATGAGATCAGTTAAGCTATCAATTGAACCTGTTACTTTCTGGATCAGTACATCTTGGTTAGACATTAGGGATTGCTTTACCAGCTGAATCACCTGAATCAGAGTTAGTACTGTTGGTTCTTATCAGGTAAATGGATAGTGTTTCCCAATACTGTGCATACACACCTAGGGGACTTGTGTAACATGTGAAGGAATTTTTCTGTAAAAAGCAGTGAAAAACTTTCATGTATTTGAAGGAACAGACCTCTCAGGGGCTTCCTCTTTTGCCCTGCTTAAATCCTTTGGTCCTAGAAGATTCCTCCAATGTTCAACTGCATCTTCACTGGCAAGAGCCAGGGCTAACACAGGTCCACTGGAATAAAACAAATGAGGAATTAAGATGTACTCAAACCTGTTTTGTTAAAGATTGGTACCCTAAAGTCATCACAGAGGAGAAAAATTAAAGGATTGAACTATGAGCAATGACTAGGTGTGGGTCTCTTTCATCTCAAATTGAACCCCAGAAGGGTTTCTATAAAAATATGCAATGAAAATTAATAGAATAGAGAAAGTAAATCTTACAATACTTTCAGATATGACAGGATAGTTGCACAAGAGGGCACAGTTTAAGAGTTGTGAAGGGCAGGTTTAGAACCAACACCTGGAGGTATTTCTTTACACTGTGTAATTAACAATTTACAATAATGGTACCAAAGAGGAGGGCCTAAAATTATGTAGAGAGACAAGAGAGCCTGGGAAATGTTGTTGTTATGGTCTGGAATGCAGTGCCTGAAAGGGTGATGGAAGCAGTCTCGATAATAGCTTTCAAAAGGGAATTAGATAGGTATTTAAAAAGGAAAAAATTGCAGGGCTATGAGATAAGAATGGGTGAGTGGGACTACTTGGTAGGTGTTTCAAAGAGCCGGCACAGGTACGATAGGTCGAATAGCCTCCTTCTGTGCTGTCAAATTCTACGATTCTATGATTCTATGAACAGCTGAAATGGGCGGCCCAGGCAGCCTGAATTATTCAATGTACTACATCCAAATTCCATTTTTAGAGATTTTTCAGACCCAGGAATTTCCTGAGGGAGATAAATGATGTACTGAAACTGCAATGACTAATGCATTGCTACCTGGTCATGTTTTGAAGGAGTGCTGGGAAGTAGTCTTGCTCTGTGTGCTCTTTGTAAAACTCACAAACTTGTTGCTCTGTCAGCATAACCTCCTTCTTCATGGCTACTGTAAAGCCAGCCTCAGCAATCTTTTGCAGGACCTTGTCTATGGGTACAATGAGTTAATTTTCAAAGTTCAGGCTTGACCATTCAGAATACACAGCAACCAGGGATAATTATAAAATGGGTTAGTCGGGTGTCTGACACATGTGGAAATGCATCACCATGCATAACAGTATCCAAATCAAACAGAGAGTTCCATGCATCCCACCTACACAAGGAAATCCCAGAGATATTTTTTGGAATGGAATGCGCGCTCTCTCCCTGAGAAACCATTTTGTTTACATAATTCTGGACAGTATTAGTGTAAGGACAGTTTCCTTACTCCAGACGCCAAAAAACAAAACAATAACAAATTGATCATTTTCAATCCACGACTGTTTGTGGGACGTTGCTGTGCATTGGCAAGTGCAAAGCCTTGGGAACCACAGAGTGTGCGTGGGATAAATGCTGGAGTCCAACCAGCTAAAACCGCATAGCTTGCCATTGAGAGCACTGCCTGGCAAGCTTTCCCACTGCTTGGTAAGCTTTCCCACTGCTTGTCCAGCTCGGACAATCCTACCTGTTATGGCTTTGACTTGAAGGGTTAACGGGAGCTGAATGGGAAGAATCACTACCCCCAATGACTGGTTAATCCTTCCAAGTCTTGCTGAAGAGCCAGGCTGTCTGCTGTCATCAGCAGTGCCCTGGAATACTGAAGGTGGCAGTTTCTGAGGTTCAGAGGACAACAACAACAACAACAACTTCTTTTTGACTATCAAGACTGCCACGGAGGGTTGGCTCAATTCTGACATTTCTTGGAGGAGGGCACCATCAAGGCAAATTGAAGGCTCCTGGTTTCAATCTGAAAGATCCTCATCATTGACCGCCACATAACCCCACTCCCAAAGAACTCAGCATTAATGCCATTTGCACATCTGCATCTGCCTTGCCATTCCAAGATTTGGCCATGTATTTCCACGACTTGCAGTTTCATCATGAGGGCTTCATGAGTCTTGAGGGATCAGTGTAAAACTCCTGGAAAGTTTAATGGGTTTACAGGTAATTGGTATTGGATCATGTGGAATGTATAAGGGTGTGACATTTCCCAGTGTTTTGGAAAACAATACAGGGCAGTGCTGGGAAATAGTTCTTACCTTTTTGCTCCCTTAAGAGGTGAGGCCTGATCAGGGCAAGGGTCTGCTCCACCCTTTTGCCTTGCTGAGCCTGACTCTGTGCTTTAGAATAAGATCGAAAGTTGGGGAAGAAAAAAGCCAGCTCCCTGCTCGCATGCTCCTTGTTATCACTGCCATGGACTGCATTAAATAAAGTTTCTGTACCGTAATGAGCTCGAAGGCTGTGGAAAAAACATTAAGAATCAGAAACAATTCAAGATATTTTTAGGACCTCCATGACATTCAAGTCATAAATATTGGTGTGGTGTGGTTAACATAGCCATAAATTAAATGATTTAATGCAACCATTTAATTTGTATTTACCAGCTAGGACTCTCCCATCATCAGGTGAAGAACATGTCTGCATCAACCATTCTGATTGAGCCAGACAGAGGCTTGTCAACATGCATAATAATAATTTGATATAGCACTTTTTTTTCACCATGGAGATGTCCCAAAGAGCTTCACGGGATAAACTGTAAAATTAAGTGACTGTGTATTTCTGTGCTGAAACGCAGCAGCCAGTTACAAACATCAATGTCCCACAAACAGCCCTGGAGTGAGTGACCAATTTTATTTGGGCGATTGTTGGCGAGGACACTGGGAGAGAGAAACTCTTTTCGAATAGTGCGATGGAATCTTTAATGTCCATCTGAACAGGAAGATGGGACCCTTAGTTTAACATCACAAGTAGTAGTAGTCTGAAAGGATAGAACAGGCATACAAGCCTACATCACCTAGAAAGAATAGGTTTCAGTAACGGGCAGCAGGTTCTAAGACTCGATAAATAGGCTAGTCAGTATAGTGGAAGAAAACACAAAATACTGCAGATGCTGGAATCTGAAACAAAAACAGAGAGAGCTGGGAAAACTCAGCAGGTCGGGCAGCATCTATGGAGAAAGGAAAATGAATCAAAGTTTAGGGTCCACGATCCTTCATCAGAATGTTCTGACGAAGGATCGTGGACCCGAAACGTTGACTCACTTTCCTTTCTCCATAGATACTGCCTGACCTGCTGAGTTTTCCCAGCTCTCTCTGTTTTAGTATAGTGGAAGGTACTGGTGCATGCTGTATATTTCGATGAAGGCAAGACTGCTCTCTGTGACCGGGAATATTCAGGGTTAAAAAGACTGCAAAGTATGATAGGGGTCAGCTATATCTGAAATATAATTTCAGGGGCTGAGGGTCATACCGGTGCCGATTTGAGTATTCAGTGTTAAGGGCTGCAAGGTACTGTGAGGATCAGCTGTCTGAAGGGCAATTCCAGAGGCTGAAATCCATACTGGTGCCGGGTAAAGGACAGAGTTGGGATCCAGTTGCACTCAGTTCCAAACTGTGGTGTCGATCCTCCATGACCGAGAGGTGAGACTGCTGATATTGTGTTGTGCCACCGGGTCAAGGTGCTGGACGCGGGAGTGTGAGTTCAGAATTAATAGTGTATATGTTGAATGTATTAGTGTTAAAAGGCTTGTAGTAGCATTAGGAATAAACAATCCAATCAAATATCCGTATTCTACTTATTGTCTGGCAACTTTGTTTATAACAGGTAAATAATAATAAAATAATCCTTACATTTGATATTGTGCCTTATCATTTTGAAAGCCTCAAAGGCTTCACAGTTTTCCATAAAGTGTAGTAACTGTGTGTTTGTAGGTGAAAGCAGCAGCCAATTTGCACACAGCAATGTGCTACAATCAGTCAGGAGATGAATAACACATTAACTGGAGGTCTGAATTTCCTTTTATGATATCACGTGCATATCAATCTTGAAAGGGTAAAGAGCTGATGAATGACTCCATTCTCAACCTTTCTGGCCGCCGAAACTCTTATACACCCATTCGTCACCACAAGACTTGACTACGGAAATTCCCTCCTTGTTGGCCTCTCCAACTCTTCCCTCCACAAGCTGCAGATCATCCAAAACTCTGCAGCTCATGTCCTATTCTGCACCAGGCTCTGTGACTCCATCGCGCCCACCTTCGCCTGACTCCACTGGCTACCCATTCCTCAGAGGATAGAATTCAAAATCCTTGTCCTCACTTTCAGAGTTCTCCACAGTCTTGCCCCCTCCTACCTCTCTGACCTGCTGAACCTATATCAACCTGTCTACTCCCTCCATTCAACAGGCTCTGGCCTGCTCCATGTCTCCCCCCGACCTGCCCTACCATCGGCGACTGGGCTTTCAGCTTCTCTGACCTCACCCTTTGGAACTCCATCCCACAAACCTTTCACCTTGCTCCCTCCCTTGCTGCCTTCAGCTGTCCTCCTACCTTTCTGCCCTCCCTCATCCCAACCCTGAGCCCCACGCTCAGGTCCTAATCCCTGACTTTTCAACACCTTGGGACGTCCTCCCCAAGGCACTTTACAAAAGTAATTTTGCTGTTGTTGTTGTTCTGGCCCCAAAACCAGTGTTCGACTGAATGAGTTACCTGAAGTGTCTCTGCTGCTGTGAACCTAAACAGAGAATGGATTTGATTGGTAGGATAACACTTGTATACAGCAGTGCGCACTTCATTACCTATCAGGTTGCTCTTGCTTAGCAACGTCCACATTGTTTGGCCCAATGAACTCTCTCCACTCTGGTATGACATCACCCGTGCCCTCTGGTTTGGAAATGATTAGAATGTGACAGGGCCCGCTGGACATGAACCAGATTAGGTCTTCAAAATTAGGCTACAAAGTCAAGAATAAATAAGCAGAACCTTAAATTGGCAGCTCACAACGGTCTTCTCTGTTGCTCTCAAAGTGGCATCTTATAATGCCACTTTGAGACTACTCTCCTCATTTCTCTGTCCACCCTCCTCGCTCAACCTCATCCTCAACATCAACCCTCCCATCCACATCTGTAGCCAAGGGGGAAGTAAGTGGGGTCTCCTTGTAGCTGAGCTGGCTCAAAGATAATGTGCTTGGTAATGTAAGGTTGGTTAAGCCCAACTCAACCCACACTCTGGAGGTCTCAAACATTAGAGTTTGGCAATCTGTGACTAAATCTCTGGAATTAGGGAAACAGCCTGTGTCCCTACGACGGCAGCAAAAGAGTGCGCTTTCCATTCCAGACAGGGAAATTTCCGTGTGTAAGTGGCATACATATCTCTGGTTGTGGACACTCTTAAGCATGGTGGTATGTTCCACAGGTGTCAGACAAACGGTTGACCAAACAAAAATTCAGGCCCACTGCCTTACCCAAAGATTCTCCATCTCTGACTCACCATTGCTGACAAAGATGACACTGGCCAAAATTTGCTCTAATCCCTCATAACTGCTCTCAATCTCTTGTTGAAGCCCTTAGATGCTCAGCATAATTCAAACCTTCAACTAACTGTGTTGTGTTCCAACAGCCAACTTGGGTGACAGACATACTATGGATTGTTTCTTCACTCACCTCTTCTATTCTATGCCGGTAGAAATCACGTGCTTCTTCTTGACTTAACATACGCTCTTCATGGGCTAATATTTCAAAGCCTGTTTCTTGAACCTGAGAAGACATGGAACAAATTTAACCAGGAAAAAACAATTCAGAATTTCCTTTTAATCAACGTTTTGTTTCAAAAGTTTCATATAAGAAGAGACAGCACAGCATCAGAGAGAATGTTTGATACAGTGGATTAGGACACTGGCATTTTCTTTCTGGGTTCTGGGTTCAAATTGGAATGACGCTTTCTCCTCTTTGCAACTGTAAAACTTCTGTGTGAAATGCATTTGGGGCAGTTTCAACCTAGTTTCAACAGCCATCTTATCTTATTGTGGAGGCAGAGGGCATGGCTGATGTACTGAATGAGTACTTTGCATCTGTCTTCACAAAAGAAGTGGATGCACCAAATGCCGCATTATCAGAGGAGAGGGTAGAGCAAATGGATAGGATAAGCATAAACAGAGGAAGTACTGAAACGGTTGACTGGGCTGAAGGTAGATAAGTCGTCCGGTCCGGACGGGATGCAGCCAAGGGTACTATGGGAGGCACGGGTACAAATAGCGGAGGCTTTGGCTACAATTTTTCAATCTTCGTTGGACACAGGGGTGGTGCCAGAGGACTGGAGAGTGGCCAATGTTACTCCCCTGTACAAAAAGGGGCAGAAGGACAAACCTGAGAACTACAGGCCAGTCAGCCTAACATCAGTAGTGGTGAAACTCCTGGAGACTATAATCCGGGACAGAATACATCTTCACTTAGAAGAATATGGGTTAATTAGGGACAGCCAACATGGATTTGTTAAAGGCAAATCTTGTCTAGCAAATCTAATACAATTTTTCGATGAGTTAATGGAGAGAGTGGATGACGTAGTGCAGTTGATGCAGTTTATATGGACTTTCAAAAGGCATTTGATAAAGTGCCACATAAAAGACTAGTAGGAAAAATGGTACAAAAGGGACAGTGGCAGCATGGATCCAGAGCTCGCTGGGAGACAGAAAACAAAGAGTTGTGGTGAACGGCTGCTTTACTGACTGGAGGGAAGTGTACAGTGGCGTCCCCCAGGGATCGGTATTGGGACCACTGCTCTTCTTAATATACATAAATGATCTGGACTTGGGTATAGCAAGTACCATTTCCAAGATTGCAGACGCCACAAAGTTAGGTAGGGGGGTAAACAGTGAGAAGGATACCAGCCAATGGCAGGAAGACATAGACAGAATGGTAAAATGGGCAGACACATGGCAGATGAATTTCAATGTGGAGAAATGTGAGTATTGCATTTTGGAAGAAACGATGAGGGGAGGCAATATAGGCTGGTAATACAATCTTAAGGGGGGGGTGAAGGAACAGAGAGACATGGGGGTTCAGGTAAATGAATCCTTGAAGGTGGCAGGACAGGTAGATAAAGCTGTAAAAAGGGCAAATGGGATTCTAGGCTTTTTAAATAGGGGCATAGAGTACAAGAGTCAGGAGGTTATGATTAACCTGTATAAAACACTGGTTAGGCCTCAGTTAGAATACTGCGCCCGGTTCTGGGCACTACACTATAGGAAGGATGTTAGGGCATTGGAAAGGGTGCAGAGGAGATTTACGAGGATGATACCAGGAATAAGGGACCTTGATTATGAGGAAAAGCAAGAGAGGTTAGGATTATTCTCATTGGAGCAGAGAAGGTTACGAGGAGACCTAATAGAGGTTTTCAAAATCATGAGGGGATTTGATAGGTTAGAAAGGGAAAAACTGTTTCCACTGGTGGGTGTGTCGGTGACTCGAGGTCACAGATTTAAAATAGTTTCTAAAAGAAGCAGAGGGGAGGTGAGAAGAAATTTTTTCACGCAGCGAGTTGTTCGAATCTGGAACGCATTGCCTGAAAGGGTAGTGGAGGCCGATTCAAAAACAACTTTTAAAAACGTGGGGGATGGGTATTTGAGGAGGACGGGTTTGCAGGGTTATGGGGAAAGGGCTGGGGAGTGGGATTGACATTACATTGCTCTTTTCAAAGAGCCGGCACAGACTTGATAGGCCGAATGGCCTCTTTTTGTGCTGTATAATTCTATGACTCTATGATTCTAGTGCATGGGCTCACAGCATAAATTGCTCTTAAACTGGCAATCTCTATTAAAGGCACTGCAGGATGGCTCAATGATTCTGGATTTGAAAAATTATATAGATTTAAAGGAGATGTTTCAGTTTGTCATCATGTCATCAAGTTAACCAATTTAATAAATATCAAGTGGGGAGGGAACCAGGATGTAGCATTCAGAGAGGACCGGGAGAGACGAACAACAATGCAATAAAGAATAGCAGCAATGATCAATGACACGGTTATGGCCCTGGAAGGGGACAGTGTGCTAGAGGGTCCAAAAATACAGTAGTTTGGGTTAGAGTTAAGTAGCAGAAGAGGAGCACTATTATGCGGTGATTAATTGAATTCCTTAATTAATAAATGGAGAGTGGATACTCAGTTCGATCGCGAGCAAGCCTTGCAGACCCACTGAATTGTGGTGGTCTCAGTCGACTGGTTCCTGACACAGGCAGGTCCACTGTATTCTACAAAGCTCTCGCGTAATGCTCTTTAGAATTGGTCCATATTACACCTGCATGTTTAAAACTAATAATGCCAATGGGTTGATTTAACATGGAACAACAATGCCCTTGTTTTTAAAGTATTGGTGATTGGATTGAAGCCCTCTCTTAAAGTCTGGCTGACATTTCCATATGGAAAGGTAAGTGCATTTTACGCTGACATACAACATCCACCTGAACGTGGATGTGTTGTTTTTTGTCTTTTCTGCAACGGAGACCTGTCTCAAATAAGGGCAGGAATTTAAGCTGAATATTCCTGCCTACAATGTATTTAGGAGGGACAGGGAAGGAAAAAAAGGAGGGCTGGGGGTTGACAATATTGATTAAAAGACATGGTTCTGGCCCTGGAAAGGGATGATGTGCTAGAGGGTCCTGAAACAGAATCTATTTAGAGTTAAGGAGCAGAAAAGGAGCTGTTACTCTGTTAGGTGTATACTATGGATCACCAAATAGTGGGAAGGAGATAGATGAGCAAATCTGCAAGCAGATTTTAGAAAGATGCCTGATCAATAGTGCAGTGATAATGGGGGACTTCAATTATCCTAACATAAACTGGCAAAATAACAGTGTTAAGGGCAAGGAGGGGGAAGGATTCCTGAAATGTGTACAGGAAAACTTTCTTGATCAGTATGTTTCCAGCCCAATGAGGAAGGAAGCAGTGCTGGATCTCATTCTAGGGAATAAAGTGGGGCAAGTGGAGCAGGTTTCAGTAGGAGAGCATCTGGATAACAGTGATCACAACATTAGGTTTAGAGTGCTTATGGAAAGGGACAGGGAACAATCAAAGGTGAAGATACTCAACTGGAAGAGGGATAATTTCAATGAATTGAAAAGGGATCTAGCCAAGGTGGACTGGAAATAAAGATTGGTAGGTAAAACGGCTAATGAGCAATTGAAAGGAGTTTGGGGATAGAACAAATACATTCGGAACAGTAGGGCATTCAAAGTTCCCTGGATGACTAAGGAAATTGGGACTAAAATAAAACAGAAAAAGGAGGCTTATGATAAATGTCAGGTCAAAAATACAGAAGATAATCAAACAGAATATAGAAAGCACAGAGGAAAACTGAAAAAGGAAATAAGAGGGGCAAAGAGATTGTATGAGAAAAGATTAGTGGGTAACATAAAAGGGAACCCTGAAGTATTTTATAAGCATATAAAGAATAAAAGGTTAATCAAAGGTAGGGTGGCCCGATTAGGGACCAAAGAGGAAATATTCTTCTGGAGGCATGGCTGACGTACTGAATGAGTACTTTGCATCTGTCTTCACAAAAGAAGAAAATGCACCAAATGCCACAGCATTCAAGGAGAGGGTAGAGAAATTGGATAGGATAAAAAAAAATCGAGAGGAGGTGCTAAAAAGGTGGATGGTGCTCAAGGTAGATAAGTCACCTGGTCTAGATGGGATACATTCTAGATTACTGAGGGAAATAGCAGAGGCTCTGGCCACAATCTTTCAATTCTCCTTGTACTCCTGGTACCATCCTGGTGAATCTTCTTTGCACCCTTTCCAATGCCTTGACATTCTTCCTGAAGTGTGGTGCCCAGAATTGATCACAGTACTCTAGCTGAGGCCTAACCAGTGTTTTAAAAGCTTTATCTACCTGTCCTGCCACCTTCAAAGATTTACTTGTATGAACCCCCAGGTCTCCCTGTTAAGATTGTACCATCAGCTTATATTGCCTCTCCTCAATCTTCCTCCTGAAACGCATCACTTCGCATTGATCCACATTCAACTTCATCTACCATGTAATAGACATGTTAGAAAAATTGAAGCCCACAGTCTTAAAGGGACAGTGTAGATACAAAACTGGCTAGGGGACAAAAAGCAGAGGCTAGTGGTGAATGGTTATTTCTCTGACTGCAGGGAAGTATACAGTGGTCTACCCTAGGGGTCAGTATTAGGACCACTGCTCTTTTTAATCTATATAAATGACCTGGACTTGAGTATAGGGAGTACAATTTCCACGTTTGCAGACGATACAAAGGTAGGAAAATTAGTAAATGGTGAGGAGGATCTGCAAGAGGACATAGACAGATAGGTGAAACAGGCAGACACATGGCAGATGAAATTTAACGGGGAGAAGGTGGGAGTGATGCGGTCACGGAGCCTGGTGCTTGAGAGTACACGAGCTGCAGAGTTTTGGATGATCTGCAGCTTGTGAAAGGAAGAGTTGGGAAGGCCGATGAGGAGGGAGTTCCCGTATTCGAGCCTTGATGTGACAAATGCGTGGGTGAAGGTTTCGGTAGCCTGAGGGGTGAGGCAGTGGCGGAGTCTGGCAATGTTGCGGAGGTGGTGGAGAAAGGACAGTTTAGGGTCAAATAAGACACCCAGGTTCCTGACTAGCTTAGTGACGTTGAGTGTGCAGCCGTGGAGGCTGATGCTGCCAGTGACTGAGGTGCGGAGGCGCTGGCGTGAGCCAATCAGGAGGGTCTCAGTCTTGTTAACGTTGAGTTGGAGAAAGTTGGCCCTCGTGCAGGACTTGATGTCGGACAGGCAGTCGGTCAGGACGCCAGTAGTCCTGGAGTTCAGGGTGGAGGCAGAGAGATAGAGTTGGGTGTAATCCGCAAACATGTGGAAATTTACCTCATGTCTGCGGATGATGTCACCAAGGGGGAGCATGTAGAGGGTGAAGGGGAGGGGACCGAGGACAGAGCCCTGAGGAATACTGCATGAGACGGTGCGGGGGCTGGAGGAGAAGCCGTTTGCCGTGACGAAGTAGAGGCAGTGTGAAAGGTAGGACCTGAACCAGTCAAGGACAGAACCTTGAAGGTTGAGGTAGGAGGAGAGGCGGTGGAGGAGGATTGAGTGGTCCACGGTGTCAATGGGGGGTAATGAGGGGTCGAGGAGGACAAGGAGGCAGAGGGAGTCCTGGTCACACACGGTCAGGATGTTGTTTGTGACCTTGACCAGAGCAGCTTCTGTGCTGTGGGCAGCCCAGAAACCCGATTGGAGGGGTTCATGGAGGGAGTGAGAGGAGAGGAAAGAGCGAAGCTGGAGGCAACAGCTCTCTCAAGGACCCTGGATAGGGAAGGGAGATTTGAGATGGGCCGGTAGTTGGATAGCTGTGATGGGTCGAGGGAAGGTTTCTTCAAGGTGGGAGTGATAGTGGCTGTTTTGAGGGGGGAAGGAACAGTGCCAGATGACAGGGAGAGGTTAATGATGTCGGCGAGTAGTGGGGCAAGGAGATAGAGCTGGGATTTAAGGAGAGGGGTGGGGATGGGGTCCAGGGAGCAGGTGGTGGGCTTCATGGAGCTTACCATGGTGAAGACAAAAGAGGGGGTGACAGGTTCAAAGGTGTGGAAGGAGGAATGGGTAATTGTCGGATGGATAGTTGTGTGGGGTGGGGTAGGGGGGGGGTGGAAGTTGTGAGGGCAGTGGCAACTGAGCATATTCCCTCGATTTTGGACTCAAGGAAGTCCAGCATTTTCTCGCAGTGAGAGTCAGAGGAAAGGATCTGTGAGGCGTGTCGGGGAGGGCGGAGGAGCCGGTTGGTTGGTGGAGAACAGGAGCCTTGGGTTGCCCTTCCTCTCCAGGATTAACCTGGAATAGAAGGATGATTTTGCTGAGGCGAGAACAGAGCGGTAGGTCTTGATGAGGTCCAGCCAGATGTGCCGCTGGACCTTTAGGCCGGATTTGAGCCAAGTGCATTCGGCAGACCGCACCTGGCCCTTAAGCGAGCGGACGTGGCTGGTGAACCAGGGTGAGGATTGGGAATAGGAGGCAGTTTGGGAGGTGAGGGGGGCAAGGACGTCGAGTGTGGAGAGGGTGCTGTGGAGAAGAGTGAGTACAGGGAGTGGGTGTTGCGAGAGTTGGCCAGAGAGGGAGGAATTCAGAGGACTCCAGGGCAGCGGAGAGGGATTGCGGGGAGATCTTCTTCCACAGGCGGTAGAAGATGGTGGTAGGTTTGGAGGCAGCGGGGAGAAGGATATGGGAGTTGAGGGAGATGAAATGGTGGTCAGAGATGAGCTTGTCAGTGATGGTGACATCCGAGACGTTGAGGCCCCGGGTGATCACCAGGTCGAGTGGGTGACCGTGGGTGTAGGTAGCAGAGTGGATGTGGAGGGAGAGGTTGAGAGAGGAGAGGAGCGAGAAGTCTGAGGAGGTGGAGCAGGAGGGCGTGAAGTGGAGTTTGATGTCACCTAGGATGATGATACAGAAGTAAGGAGTTTATGATGAACCTTTATAGAACACTGGTTAGGCCTCAGCTAAAGTACTATGTTCAGTTCTGGGCACCACACTTTTGGTAGGATGTCAAGGCCTTGGTGAGGGCGTAAAGGAGATTTACCAGGATGGTACCAGGAATGGGGGACTTCAGTTCAGCTATTTCCAATGTGGCATTTGTTTGTCTTATAATCTGTTAGATTAAGTAGACATAGGGTTGTCTAGGACTAATAAAACTCTGTTGTATCGTCTCAGTAGTGTCTTCAAGTCTTGTTAAATCCTTAAGGAGGGAGGTAGGTAAATACACAAAACAGATAGTTGCTGGACTCAGTGATCTGGTAGTGCGATAAGGTACTCAATTGCATTTGCAGTAAGTCAGTCTGTTCACAATATATATCTGTTGTCATGTTCCTCTAAGTAGTGAAGTTCCACAAGAGTAGGGATTTGCACTTACATCGATAGAACTGAAAACAGAGGTACCTAGTACACTTTGAATTACTAAACTTTGCGGGTTCACAAAAGGGGTGCGAATCATCACACAATCCACTTCAGAATATATTCTGTGAAGTGCTTTGAGATGTCTCAATGAAGTAATGACGTAATATCAAATGCAAGGATTATTATTTGGGATTCTGCTCTGTCAGCATTTCAGATAAAGGCTTTTCATTATTTCAAATCTGTCCGTTATTTGGTTTTCTCACCTTCATTATTATTTCATCTGCCTTGCCGTGAGCCACGGCGTCTGGTTTGATGATAGCCACTGTGTAAGACTTGCTGGCAGTAACTGCATTAAGAAGAGAGAACCACCATCAGATAAAGACCAATTAATTAGGAGAACTCTAAGGTCAAACATCAAGAGAAATACATTTCTCATTTCAAATAGTGTCAATGGATCTTTAATCTTTAGCCCAAACATGAACAAGGAGACAGGACCCATTTCTAATGTCTCTTCTGTGTTCGTATTTTCCTGTAGCTCAGTGGTTAGAGCACTGATTCGTAAGCGAGAGACCTGGATTCTATTCCCAGCGGGATGAAATGTTGGGCAAGTTTCCTTACTCCACACACCTCTGCTTACCTAGCAGTAAGTAGGAACCTGGTTGTTTTTCGAGGATCGATTTTCCGGGGATAATAATCCCTCAAAAAAAATATAATATTGTGGGACACTGCTGTGCACAATTTGCTCACAAATATACAGTCAATTTACTTTACAGTATATTCTATGAAGCGCTTTAAGACATCTAGAAGATGTGAAAAGCACTACATCAAAATCAAGGATTATTTATTATTATTATTTATTCTACACCGCTATACAAACATCATCCAGTTGTCCTTTTACACATCCCCTTCATTTTGGTTAACATTTTTCCAAAGAGATGTACAGATGTGATGCTCATGTCTATGTTTCTCTCAAAATGATGTAATTTCCTTTTCTGAGGCAATGAAATCAGCAACAGAACAGATGGCAGTGTGATACCATTTCCTTTCAATCGGTAGCACAGGTCTATATCCAAAAGTCCCTTGCAAACAACCCATAACAATTTGACATGTAAATTTATCCATTGGTATCACATTGGAAATGTGGGGATGTGGAACGCATTCCTCAAATCTTAATGTACATTTGCAATGTAATACACAGAATTTCTAACCCACAGTGAGGGCACAGGCAAGGTGAAGAGATGGTAATTAATAATAATGATAATAATAATAATGATAATAATAATTCTTGCATATGATATAGCGCCTTATCACATTTTTGAGACATCTTAAAGCATTTCACGGGATACACTGTAAAGTGAATTGACTGTCATTTGTCGGTGATACGTGGCAGACAGTTTACACACAGCAATGTCCTCAAATTCAATGTCCAACAGCCATGGAGCGATTTGTCAATTTTATTTGGGGGATTGTCAGCCAGGACACCAGAAGAAACTCCCTTCTCTTTTCGAAAGTGCCATGGAATCTTTAATGTCCACCTGAACTAGCATTTGGGAACCTTGGGTTTAATGTCTCATGTAATACTGCGCACCCCTTAACCCGAGCTGTCATTCCTCACCCAGGTCCTGCTCTTCATCGTGCTCCTTCATCACCACCTCCTCCTCTTCCTGCTCCACCAGGCCTTCATCTTTGATCTGAGGATGGGAACAGACAGCAATTAACATATGTTTAAGGTTTAATGATTACAACATTATAGAACTCAAAATCAATGTACAATTGATTTGTAATCAATGTGCAATAGTGTATACAGAATTTTTTCTGTGTTTTTCCTATTCAGTTCTTCCACAGATATTTTTATACTATATTTATAAAATATAAATACTTTATTTATCACACCCTTTATGCAGGTTAGAGTCTTGAAGTGCTTAAAGCTACAGACAGACAAAAAGGACAGAAATGTTAGTCTAAATTTAGGAGAGCACCTATGTTTTCATGCATACAGTTCTCCTTTTCATATATTTCAGTGAGCTGTGAGGAAACTGCAAGGAAACAATAAGGAAAGTATTCAAGGGCTTTGTTAGACTTGAGCTTTATTCTTGAAAAGAATCAACCAGAACCAAAGGAAACTGATTCTCAATGGAATAAATGCAGTATCATGAATGCAATACATTACCATGTTTGCAATAGACTCACCACTTTGCGTTCAGCGCCCTGTTCGAGGACTTTCTTCTCTGCAGCTAGCTGATTGTGAATGTTCTTCTGCAGCAGTGGGCCATTCGCTCCTCTCACAACACCAACTAACTGTCCTCCCTGTGAGCATGCAACACAGCAGTAAACCTCACATCATTCATTAATACACACTCATTGATTGTCAGCCTAGCTCAGTCGGTAGCACACTCGCCTCTGAGACAGAAGATTGTGGGTTAAAGCCGCATGTCGGGACTTAGAATCACAGTCTAAGACACCCCAATGCAGTGCTGGGAGTGTGTTTTATTGTCGGACGTGCCATCCTTCGGATGAGATCCCATGGCACTATTTGAAAAAGGAAAGGAGTTTCTCTCTCCTGGTGTGCTGGCCAACAATCCTCAAATACAATTGGTCACTCACTGTTTGTGGGACACGGTGTGCATAAACTGGCTGCTGCATTTCGCCCACAAAATACAGTGAAATTTTGTGAATTTTTTTAAGGAATTATTAGCCCCGGAAAGCAATTTGGCTATTGACTAACATCCGGTTTCCTACTTACTAGTAGGTGAACAGAGGTGTGTGGAGTAAGGAAACTTGCCGAAGTTTTCACTCTGCCCGGGAATCAAACCCGGTTCCTCTCACTTGCGAGCCGAGTGCTCTAACCAATAAACTATAGGACTCCACTCTTGCCTTGGTCTTCTGACAATCCTCTTTTTTTTCCTAAAATACAATGTCCAGCATCATCTTTCATTCTCACTGTATTGAAATCGAACCTCAGTCTCCTAATTCTAATTCCTGGAACATCAAGACCATAGAATTCCTTCCCTCCCTTGGATTTCCCTTCCTGATATACTCCACAGGTTTTAACCTGGTGAAACCATAACATTTTCTCTAGTAGGAGACTGAGGATTGGATGGAGTCAGTGATTCGGACAGATCATGATCTGCAGTGCACGTTTGAAGAGGCTAATGGCCTTTTATTTCTGTAATATAATTCAAGAAAACAGAAACTCACTCCATAAAAAAGAAAGGTGGGTTCACATTTCCCTCTATATTTTTGCAGGAAGTCAATGCTGTCCGCTTCAGCCTGAAAGATGTGGCAAAGAAGATGTGGAAAGAAGAAATAAACTGTTAAATACAAGATACAAAAACTGTTGCCTGCAGTTACTTCAATCGGTATGGGGTCCTTAGTTGTGTTTAGGTGGCATAGATAAGGGGCACACTACAATGAGGAGATATGATTGGATACAGTATCTCTTGGTCAGAGCTCCTTTTCTTTTATCTGTTTGTTTAAGTTATTTGAGCAGATGGGCAGACGACCTATCCAAAGATATACAACAATTAGATATACGAATGAGGGAGAAGGGAATAGAAGGGTATTGGAGGGAGTAAGGAGTAGGACAAGGAGTAAGGAGTAAGGAGACGTGTGTGCAGTATAAATGCCAGCACGGATAAGTAGGGCTGAATGGTTTGTTTCCGTGCTGTACATTCTATATGAATCTATGTAAATTGTACCCTGTCAATAGGTGTCATGGGGAATGTTAGAGAGGACCAAACTGTGAGTGCTTTAATCGCCTGTCTGGCTCCTCACCATGATACATATTTCCATCATCCATATCACTGAGTTTTTGAACTTTCTAGAGTTGACATAAAAATATATATATATTCAGTAAAGCCATTGTTTGATTATAGGAGATTATATTGATGTATCGGGGATATTGGCTTAGCTGTGCACATACTGAAAGCAATGTGTACTTTTAAGATTTGGAGCAACACGTGTCCCCAATTGTGATGGAGTGTCTACACCGAATGTGTGGCTGATGTAGGACTCAGGTCTTGGAACTTCCAGGCCATCCAGGGCATAATTGATTATTAACATTTTGGTTCTAACTTGGTGAGTTTGGTGCCACCTTTAATAGCTCAGTAACTGAACATCACAGGCATCAGGTGAAAGAGCAGAAAACCAGGGTGCTTTGTGTTTTTTTACTGAAGACTCTTTCTTAGAAACACAAGAGGCCATTTGGCCCATCGAGTCCATGCTGACTCACAGAGCAAGGAGATCACTTCAATCCCACCATCCTACCTGTTCCCCTTCAAGCCCCCCCCGCCTACTTCCACTCTTGAAAATCACAATGGACTCCACCTCCACCACCCGACTCAGACAGGACAATCCATATCTCCAAAACTCGGCTTGAAAAAAATTCTCTTAGGTTCTCCTTTCCATTGATAGTGGTGGTCTTATAACTATGTCCACTGGTCACTGACTCTCCTGTCAATAGAAATAACGGGTGATGACTTACCACAGCAAAATGTAAGAGTTCGTCTCCGAGTTCATTCTTAATCTTCCGAAACAAACTGATCACAGCCTTACAGGGACCGCACCAGGCCTGGTACACATCCACCACTGTTAGAGTCAATGTGTCAGACGTCAATATACGGTACTTTCAAACAAGATTGCAGACAGAGAAAGACTGTTAATTTGATATCAGCCTGCTCACTTGATTCTGGAGGTAACCAGGGACATATCCTTACCTCCGCAAACCCCTGTGTATGAGAAAGGAACTCCATACAGTGCTTTCCAAACCATCCTCTGTGAAATCAAATAAATTGGGGAGAGCAAAGCCTCGGGAGAAAATATAATTGGTGGGAACTGGCTTAAAATGCAGCAGATAAGGAAAGAACAGCTCTGCTCAGACTTGTTCTAATTCCCCTTGGCTTCAGCTGATCTTTAGCCTGGGCACTTAATAAATAATAATAATCCTTGCATTTGATACAGTACCTTATCATGTCGTTGACACGTCACAAAGCGCTTTACAGACTATATTGTAAAGTACATTGACTGTATCTTGTGGACGTAATGCGGCCGTCAATTGCGCACTGCAGTGTCCCACATACAGTCCCAAATTGAGTGACCAAATTATTATTATTATTAATTTTTGAAGGGATTTGTTACCCCTGGAAAACAATCCACCAATCGACTAACAACCAGGTTCCTACTGACTGCTATGTAGAGAGAGGCATGCGGAGTAAGAAAACTTGCCTAAGGTTTCAATCGAGCCCAGGTCCTCTCGCTTGCGAGTTGAACATTGCTATGGGAATCTCTCTCTCTCTCTGTCTCCCATTCTCAGTTCTCGCTCTCTGTTCCTAATCTGGATCTAACTTGACTTTTCAAATGCCCTCTCACTGATCTCTCCAGCTCCACAATGCACAAGATCCAGCTAATCCCAAACTCTGCCACCTACACACTCACCTGCACTAACCTCCATACCCCCATCATACCAGTTCTAGCCAGGCTCCACTGGTTCCCTATAGCTGAAAGGATCGATTTCAGGATTCTCACACTTGTTTTCAAATCTCTTCATACTCTGGCACCTCTCTACCTCTCCAACTTGCTTACTCCCAAACCTACTAACCCCTGCTCCTGCTCGACTGGTTCCAGCCTTCGGCTTGTCCCTCATACCATTGGTGGACACACTTTCAGGCGCTATGCCCCAAAACTCTGGAATGCTTTTCCTCTATCTCTCCATCTTGCCCCTTCCTTCCCCATCTTCAGGTCGCATCTGAAGACCTTCCTCTTCGACCTTTAAGGTCACCTCCCCCTCCCCCCAGCTTGACGTTGTGCTCCATCACTGTCAAGTACTCTGGGATGGTACCCTGCATGAGGGGCGCACAATAAATGCAAGTTGTTCTAAATTTTTGTAGGGAACATTTTAAATAAAACAGTAACTCCACTCCCCCAGAGTTGGCCTCCTCTTTAGCAGAGATTTATGTATCTCTTTTCTTACCAGTCAGTCCTTTTATTGCTAGAATTTCATCCCATTGCTCCTGGTTTGAGACTGTTGTCTGCAGAGAGAAAACAGCAGCAGCACATTACTGAGAAACGTATTGGTTTTACCAGCTGAGTTTGTTTGTCTGAGTTGGTTTCTCCATCAACATTGCTAAAATAAGTACAATTTAGAGAGAAGTGTCAGTGAACATTTCCAGTACAAAGTGATCCTCAAGTATATCATTGCTTTCTACTTTGTTAAGAAGAACCTCCTTAGACGTGGAACTAGTGCAGGTGGCTTTCTCAAACTTGGGCTCAGTAGAGAGGTGAAAACAAGAGCGATAGAGCAATGTGAGCTTGCAAGCAACCATAGCAACAAAAATCTATTAGTTTATGGGCAGACAGCAGCAGAAATCTAGAAATTCTAATGGACTAAACAGAAAGTGTAGCACTATTCAACTTTTGCAGACTTACCTGAAGCGTAATTTCTCTCTTCTTCCCAGCCATGTCAACTTCTTCTGATCAAAATAAATACACAGCAATCACTCACTGAATTCATGCTCCCTCTCAAGCAGAGAGCCCAGGAGCATGAGGAGGCAATGGAATGAGGAGGAACAGAGTGAGAATTCTGTTTAGGAATTAGGTGAGAGGGGGAATTCAGTGCAGAGGGGAAATTTGGTGCAAGTGAGAACTTGTAAAGGAGAAACAAACCACCCAAGAGCTTGCACAAAAAGTCAAATTCCTGTGGCGGTAGGTGTTGAGTAGGCGTTTAGTACATAAGGAGTGTGAGCAAGGGAATAAGAAAAGCTGTTTCCGCTGGTAGGTGTGTCTGTGACCCGTGGTCACAGTCTTAAGATATCTACCAAAAGAAGCAGAGGAGAGGTTAGAAGAAATTTTTTCACTCAGCGAGTTGTTCGAATTTGGAATGATCTGCCTGAAAGGGCAGTGAAGTCCGATTCGATAACAGCTTTTAAGAGAGAACTGGATAGGTATCTGGAGAAGACAGGTTTGCAGGGTTATGGGGAGAAAGCTGGTGATTGGGGTTAGTGAAAGTGACTTGCTCTGTCAAAGAGCTGGCACAGACTCGATGGGCCGAATGGCCTCCTTCTGTGCCATAACATTCTATGAATCTATGAATAAAAGGTGTGAAATTACTTGTTTTCACCTATTACCCCAAAACTGTTGAGATATATTACAAAACATGTCTGAAAACCTGGCAGGGCAGCTGAGACCCATTTCATGCACACTGTGTGCCATGTGGGAACTCCAGGATGGTTCATGTGTTCTGGACAAACACGTGTGTAGGAAGTGCCTCCGGCTGCTTGAGCTTGAACTCAGGGTGAAGAATTTATGGATCGGACTTTTCAGGAGGTGGTCACCCCACAACCACAGAGAGTTCAGGAGGTGGTCACCCCAGCTACACAGAGGGCTCAGAAGAAGGGTGAGTGGGTGATCATCTGACGTAGAGCAAAAAAAGAACAGGCAGTACAGAAATCCCCTAAGAGTGTGGCACTCATAAACTGGTTCTTGGTACTGGATACCGGTGAGGACGCCTCTGGCGAGAAGAGTCAAAAGGTAATGGATGTTCAGGGGGATAAGGGGAAAAATGCCAAATAGTTAAAGGGATAGACAGGCGTTTCTGCCATAAAAGACGGGACTCGCGCATGGTATGCTGCCTCCCTGGGGCCAGGGTGCATGACGTCACGGAACGGGTGCAAAATATACTACAGGGGGAAGGGGAAAATCCGGAAGTTGTGGTCCACGTCGGGATCCATGATGTAGGTGATAAAAGGGCTGAGACCCTACAGGGAGAATATGAGAAGCTTGGGAAGAAGCTAAAGAGCAGGATCTCAATGGTGGTGATCTTGGGATTACTCCCAATGCCTAATGCAAGTGACTACCAAACCAAGAGGATCAAACCCATTAATGCCTGGCTGGAGAAATGTTGCAGGAAGGAAGGCTTCAGGTTTCTAAACCACTGGGAATCAGCTTCATGCAATGCATTCCAGATCCGAATAACTCGCTGTGTGAAAAAATTTCTCTTCACCTCCCCTCTGTTTCTTTTAACGACTCTTTTAAATCGGTGTCCCCGAGTTACCTACCCACCAGCCAGTGTAAATAATTTCTCCTTGTTCACCCTATCGAATCCTCTCATAATTTTGAAAATTTCTATTAAGTCTCCTCTTAACCTTCTCTACTCCAGAATAATCCTAGCCTCTCCTGATAACTGAAGTATCCCCACTGTCTCCTCCCCCTTGTTTGCAATTGTAAAGCAATCCAACAACGTTCTACATCAAGAATGTAATATATGTGCAAATTGTTGTTCTTATCTTGCCAGTGCTATAGTTAATAGGTTCCCAAATGAAGATTTGGAATGAGGTACTGGATGGAATTGCAGTTTACATTGATAGAGTTGCATCTTAAAAACACATTCAGTATGAGAGGAGCAGTAAGTTTAGGGGGAAATGGTCCAATTTTCTCCAATGATTATGGGTTCAAGCCCCTTGTCAGGGAATTATTTTGGAAAGTATTAGATTCAGGTTGGCAAGAAACAAGATTTTGGAACACCAGAGTGTGCACTGGGGTAACTCCTGGAGTCTAACCAGCTAAAACCGCTTAGCTTGCCACTGTCTGGCAAACATTGATTGAAGAAAGATAAACAAATCTGTTTTATCCAGACAAATGCAAACAGCTGACCTGAACAATTTTAGGATTGGTAACATCTCTATTATTTAATTATTATTAATTATCTCTATTGTTCGATAATAATAATCCTATAGTGATAATAATAGTAATCCTGCATTTCATATAGTGCCTTATCACATCTTCAAAACATCTCAAAGCGCTTCACAGAATATACTGTAAAGTGAATTGACTGTATATTTTGTGATCGAAATGCATCAGCCAATTGCGCACAGCAGTGTCTCACAAACAGTCGTGGATTGAAGTAACCAATGTTTTTTAAAAGGAATTATTTATTCCCCCCTGAAATGTGATCCGCCAATCGACTAACAATGGACTTCCTAATTACTGCTAGGTAAACAGAGGCTTGAGGAGTAAGGAAACTTGCCCAACATTTCGCCCTGCTGGGAGGCCAGCGCTCTAATCACTGAGCTACAGGACTCCACGATATCTATCTTGCAATGTAAACTCATGTAGCTCAAAAAACTGCTTTGCAGTCTGAGTACAAAGAGAGTTTTGTTCACGGAAAGCAATTGTTAGTTTGAACTACACACAGAAAATCATTGTGAATTTGTTTCTGGGAGAGAAAAACACGTTGGTGCTTAATACCTTTTTGGAATGAAAGTGGTTTCTGGTAGTTATTCGAATCCTATTTATCTTTCTTGAATTTCACTGGGTTTTGCAGCTTGGCTGTTTGGCTTGACAGGCTCTGCACAAGTATTGCAGGGAGCAGAGATCGGGAGCGGAAATGTAAACAGCTCTGGTTGCCATGGGCTTGTACCATGTGATGAGACTAACCACTCCCATGCTGTTTGAACCAGCTCGTACATTTGCAGTGACACTGAATCTTACTTTTGCTGACTGAGATTATTCCTGTTATTATAATTATAAAATATCCTCGAATTTGATGCAGTGCCTTTCACGGTCTGAAGACACCTCACCATGCTTTGCGGGATTTTACTGTGCGGTAGTCACTGTGTATTTGTGTGGCAGCCCATTTGCATCCAGCAATATCCCACGCACAGTCATTAAGTAAATGACCGTTTTATTTGGATATATACAATTTTATTTGCTATCAAATTTTACTTGATTAAGCTCCTTATCAACAATAACAACGACAACTTGCATTTACACAGTGCCCTTCATCTAGAAGCACTTACCATTGAGCTTGACATTGAGCTAGGAAGAGAGAGGAGGGGACCGTAAGCATGGTGGAAGAAGAAGGTCTTCAGGTGTGATCTGAGACAGGCAAAGAGGGGCAAGCTGTTGAGGCAGAGAGTTCCAGAGTCTCAGGGCATACTGGATGAAATCACTGCTGATGGAGCGGAGGAGTTGAAGGACATGCAGGAAGCTGGAGCCAGCTGAGCAAATGGGGTGGTTCGGGAGTAAGGTGTAGCATGTCTCAAAATGCTTCAGAGAATGTTGTTGTTATATGTAGTGAATCATAGAATCGTAGAATCATACAGCACAGAAGGAGGCCATTCGGCCCATCGTGTCTGTGTCGGCTCTTTGAAAAGAGCTATCCAAATCAATCCCATTCCCCCACTCTCTTGGAGTCCTGTAGCTCAGTGGTTAGAGCACTCGCTTTGCAAGCGAGAGACCTGAGTTCAATTCCAGGCAGAGGGCGAAACCTCGGGCAAGTTTCCTTACTCCACACAGAGCCTAATAATAATCCCTCCAAAAAACCCAAAACAATAATAAATTGGTCATTTTCAATCTACAACTGTTTGTGGGACATTGCTGTGTGCAATTGGCTGCCGCGTTCGCCCACAAATATACAGTCAATTCACTTTACAGTGTGTTCTGTGAAGCGCTTTGGGACGTCCTCCCGACGTGAAAAGCGCTATATCAAATGCATTGTAATTGCTGAATGATCTGCCACTCAGGAGCTGGTAACGCCCCTCTAAGTTCTGATTGGTTAAACGCCTTGTGAGTAAAGAGGCGATGCTATCTTATATGAGTATTGATTGGCTTAGCTAGCTGTCAATCACAAGCCGTTGCTGCCAGTTGCGAGCAGTGACTGGCTGGACGGGTCATCAGTCAGAGTGCGGTGCCGCCTTCTATGAGCGGCTGAGCGGCCTTGGGGTCGTTGCCGGCGCCGCCATCATTAACTCTTTGTCACCGCGGTCAGGGAGACATGTCTGAGTCGCCTGACGCCCGCAGCCTACTGTCCTCGTCTTCCCAGCTAAACCTGACCGACATTGACGGGGTAAGTGAGGTCGGGGCCTCCCGCGTTTGTGATACAAGTGCTGGGGCCCGCGCGCGGTCAGCTCAGGCCGCCTCTTGCCCAGGGCCCGGGTCCGGCCAATTCAACAGGGCACTGCTGACAGCCCGGCCCGGCCCGGCCCGGCTCAACGGCAGGACCTGGAAGGGCAGAGCAGTCACTGGGGGCAGGGAATCCGCCCCTCAGCTCCTGTTAACCCTGCAGCCAAAGCCCTGAGTGTTAGGGTGGTCCTGGCCGAGCCAGCAGCGGGACAGCGATAACAATGACAATCAATACATTTTTTAAGCTGTAATAATATAATCCTTGCATTTGATATAGCGTCTTATCACATATTTGAGATGTCTCAAAGCGCTTCACAGAATATACTGTAAAGTGAATTGACTGTATTTTTTGTGGGTGAAAGATAGTTAGACTCCAGCAGTACCCCAACATTGCGCGATTTGTTTGATTCAGCCTAACTGATCTCATCTCTCCAGAGCATCAAACAAGTGCCAATATCCTGGCCTTAACCACCCTTCCTGGTAACTCTGTTCCAGTTGTTAAATACCCTTTGGCTAAACAAAAACGTATTGGTGTCTGTCTTGAAATTGCCCTTTACAACCCTAAACCTGTGTCCTCTTGTTCTACTGTCTTGATGCATCCTAAAGTATTTTTCTGGATTTAATTTTTCAATTCCTTTTAATGTTTTATACACTATAGTGTCTCTTCTGTCATGTCACAATCATTGGTCAGGCTGCAACTGGAGTATTGTGTCCAGTTTTGCGCATCTCACTTCATGTTAGAGTGTTGGAGGGGGAGTGCAGAGGTTTACGAGAATGATGCTGGGGATGAAGCTCATGATGCTGGGGATGCTCAGTTCTGAAGAAAAATTGGAGAAACTGGGCCTGTTTTCATTGGAGCAGAGAACATTGAAGGGTACTGATCTATGTGTACAAAATCATGAGTTTTTTTAGGGTAGATAATAATAATAATCTTTGCATTTGATATAGCCCCTTATCACGTCTTCCAGACGTCTAAAAGCGCTTCAGATCAGGCTGCTCGCTGTTATTTGACGTCACTGTGGACGGAGCAGCTCCAGACACCCATGCATGGTGTGGTGCAAGTGGCAAATGGGCTTCACTCGGAGGTCCTGTTGTTGTGATTGTCTGTGTCTGTGTTATTTGTGAGTGTCTGTTTGTGTCTCTATGTGACACCTCAGGCGCTGACAACATCATCATCCAAGGTTGAACACTCCACCTCACTGAGCCAGTCCGGAAACTTGTTTGACCCTCAACTATCCTTTCTACCCCACATCCATGCCACGACCTTCCCCCACCTCCGCAATATCCCTGTCTCTGCCATTGTCTCACAACCCAGGCCACTAAAAACCCTCATTCGCGCATTCATAAAATCGAGGCTTGACGATGCAAACTCCCTGCTTGTCGGCCTCCCCAGCTCCTCCCTCCATAAGCTGCAGATCATCCAGAACTCTGCGGCCCATGTCCTCTCCCCAGGCACCACTATCACCCCTATCCTCGCCCAACTCCACTGGCTTCCAATCACACAGAGGATACAGTTCAAGATCTTGGTACTTACCTTCAAAGCCCTCCATGGCCTTGCTCCCCCCTACCTCTGTGACCTCCTAACGCCCTACCAACCTGCCCGCTTCCTCCGCTCAGGAGGCTCCGGCCTGCTTCACGTCCCCCACCTCACCCGCCCCACCATTGGCGAGTGGGCCCTCAGCCACTCTGCCCCCACCCTCTGGAACTCCATCCTACAGGCTCTGCCTTCCCCCCCCTCTTGCCGCCTTCAAGACCTGTCTCAATATCCTCCTCTTCAACCGTGCCTTCGATCACCCTCCTTCCCCCGCCTGCCCTCCACCCTCCCTAACCCCCAGCTCGGTTCCGAAATACTGATTATTCAGCACCTTGGGACATTCTCCCGACATGAAAAGTGCTATACAAATGTAATTTTGTTGTTGTTGTTCGTGAGTGTCTGTATGTGTTTCGCTATGTGCTTAGGAGTGTATGTGCCTCTCTCTCTGTGCTTGTGACTGTCTGTGTATCTCTCTCTCTATGTGTTTGTGTCAGTGTCTGTGTGAGTGTCTTTCTCCTCTATGTGTCTCTGTTTGTGAGTGTCTCTGTATTAGTGTGTCTGCTTGTGTCTTCTATGTGTGTGTGTGTTTCTGAATGTCGTGTGAATGTGTATGTGTGTCTCTCCTCTGTCTGCGTGTGTATATCTCTGTGTCTATGAGTGTGGGCCTCTCTGCGCCTGTGAGCATGTGTCTCTCTCTGTGTCTGTGTTTCTGAATGTCATATGTGAATGTGTATGTGTGTCTTTCCTCTGTCTGTGAGCGCGTGCCTCTCTCTGCCTGTGAGCATGTGTGTCTCTCTGGGTTTGTGTGAGGTGCCGGCCCTGAGAGGCAGGAGGAGGTGAGCACCTATAGTCTCGCTGGTCCCCCCCACTCCTCCCAACAAAAAAATGGTCACACGGTTTATGTTAAAGAAGTAATTTTTTTCAACAATCTAATTTTTTTATTTCCTTACATTTAGTTTTTATCAATAAAGTGAAAAGATGTAGGTTGGCAGTAAAATGTACCTCAATAGCACCAAGCAATGCCCCGCAATTTCCCACAAAATACTCAACGCCCCTGCAATTTTTGGCAAATATTTCTGCACTTTTCTATTGGCCCAGCTCATAGCTCATTCTTCTTAACATTGCGGATCATCGTATTGCTCTCCTCTGCACTGCCTCTGGTGTTCTTGGTGATGTTTTTTTTCACGGTGACCAGACTGTTTGCTGTACTCTAGGTGAGGTCTAAGCAGAGCACTACACAACCTGAGTATGAAGTCTTGAGATCTAAACTGAACTGGTTTCGCAATACAGCCCAGCTGCTGTTTGCCTTGTTTATTGCTGCCTCACACTCTTGACACAGTGAGCGATGAGTCAGTTAATACCCCTTGATTTCTTTTAGCTTCCTTGGCGGGTTCTATCCCATTTATGGAATATATGTGTTTTCTACTCTTCGAGTATGTAATACCTTGCATTTATCATTAATCATTTGGCTACTTATATCAACATTTTTTTCAAATCTCGAACAGCATTAAGTACATTATATCGACAGGCAGGTTGCTTTAACCATTGGCTTTTCCCGCGTGGAGCCTGGCTTTCCTACAGGCTAAAGCCCTGAAATGCTCCACTTGAGCTTTAGCGTGTGTGCAGACCCCCTGGAGTTACAGTGTGCACCCGGACTACAACTCCCAGCATGCTTCTACCTGCCAGTGACTGACAAAACGTGGTTCGATCATTTATGACGAACCCCGTTTATCATAGAATCATAGAATTATACAGCACAGAAGGAGGCAATTTGGCCCATCGTGTCCGTACTGGTTCTTTGAAAGAGCTATCCAAATTAATACCACTCCCCTGCTCTCTCCCCATAGCCCTGCAAATTTGTCCAAATATCTATCTGCTTCTCTTTCAAAAGGGTTTAATCTTAAATTCCTGAGAATAAACCTTGATAACCTATGGGGGGTGGGGTAGCCTGAGTAAGGAAATGTGATTGGATGAACCAGTCTGGGGATATGATTGGCTAATGGAATTTTGGGTTTGATTGGACAAAACAAATTTTGAATTCCATTTTTGGTTGTAAGGGTCACATGGGCTAAATTGGGGTATAAGTGAAAGAATTATTTTACTTTGGAATAGTTGGAGTTGTGTAGAGGGTTAGCTCGCTTCCCAGTGGAATCAACATTGTACTGTATCTGTGGTCTCAGTTTTAAGAATAAGTTAAGCTATTTGTATTACTTAATAAACCATGGATTATTACACCAGTGTATTGTTTTAGTTTTTCATTTGTTTGGTGAAGGTGAAAAATCATTGAAAACAATCAATAATGTCTTTATTTGGGACACAACAATTACTGTTTGCACTTGAGATTTTTTCGATATGTTTCAAGAAATAACAAACTGGTGGCAGTCAGTCCTTGTGTAATATCTCCACACATCAGGCACCGACAGCATCACCAGCCATGGATGCACACTCCACCTTACTAAGCCAGTCCAGAACCTTGGCGTCTTGTTTGACCCTCAGCTATCCTTTCTACCCCACATCCGTGCCTTGGCCTGCTCTGCCTTCCCCAACCTCCGCACCATCGCCCGGCACTGCCACTGACTCACATCAGCTTGCCATGCAAACTCCTTGCTTGTCGGCCTCCCCAACTCCTCCCTCCATAGACTGCAGATCATCCAGAACTCTGCAGCTCGTGTCCTTCGTGTCAGTTCAAGATCCTGTTCCTCACCTCACCTGGTCCTCAAAGCCCTCCATGGTCTTGCTCCCCCCTACCTCTGCGGCCTCCTAGCCCTCTACCATCCTGCCTACTCTCTCCGCTCAGCGGGATCTGACCTGCTTCACGTCCCCTGCTTCGTTCGCCCCACCATTGGCAGGCGGGCTTCAGTTGCTCTGTCCCCATCCTCTGGAACTCTATCCCGCAGACTCTGCCACGCTCTCTCCTTGCCTCCTTCATCCCATCTAAGACCCTCGTGCTTTCGATCACTCTGCCCCCCCCTCCCCCCCCCAGACCTCCACCACCCCCCACTCCCCCACAAATCCCAACCTCCAGCTTGGGTCCGAAACTGTGACTGTCCAACGCCTGAGGACGTCCTCCCGACGTGAAAGTCGCTGTACAAATGTAATTTTGTTGTTTTTCATGCTGTGCCGTTTAATTTTCTTTGTTTCTTTCTCCCCTCCATTATATTTTCTGTCAATCACCCTCTCTCAATCTCCCCTATCTCTCTCCCTCAATCTCATGTCTCACTCACTCTCTCACACACGTCTCAATCATTCTCTCCCCTCTCACATTCTCTCTCTCGCACTGTCTCTTCTCTCTCACACTGTCTGTCAATCACTCTCTCCTCCCTCTCTCTCAATCACACTATCTCTCTCTCACCCCTCTCACAGTCTCTTTCTCTCACTCCCGCTTTCTCACGAGAGAGTGTGCAATAAGGGGAGAGAGATACACACATTCTCTCTTCTCACACTCTTCTTACTCAATTCCTTCTCGCCCTTTCTCTCTCCTCCCACCTCTCTCTCCCCTCTCCTCTCTCTCTCTCCCCCCATCTTTCCCTCATCTCTCTCCTCCCCCCTCTCTCTCTCCCCTCTTTGCCCCTCTCTACTCCTCTCTTCCCTCCTCTTTTCCCCCCCTTTCTCTCCCTCCCCTTTCTCTCGCCCCTCTCTGCCCCTCGCCCCTCTCTGCCCCCTCGCCCCTCTCTGCCCCCTCGCCCCTCTCTGCCCCCTCGCCCCTCTCTGCCCCCTTGCCCCTCTCTGCTCCCTCTCCCCCCCTGGCTCTCTTCCCAACCCCCCCCAGTTCTCCCCCCCCCCCCCGGCTCTTTTCCCCCCAGCTCTCTCCCCCCCCACCTTGCTCTCTCCCCCTCCCCCTCTTACCCCCCCTCTCTCACCCCTCCCCTCTCTCAACCCTCCCCCTCTTTCTCTCCACCCCCACCCACCCACCCTGACACCTTTTCCGGGGTTAATAATCCTTTCTCAAAAAAAAATAATAATTTGGTCACTTTATCTGCGACTATTTGTGGGACACTGCTGTGCGCAATTGGCTGCTGTGTTTCACCTACAAAATATACAGTCAATTCACTTGGCAGTGTATTCTGTTAAATGCTTTGAGACGTCTAGAAGACGTGGTAAGGTGTTATGTCAAATGCAAGGATTATTATTATTATTTTTGTTATTATTATTATTTTGCCTTTTTTCGCTCCTTGGAAAGTGCCACTGAGACAAGCTGGTACTTGTCTGAGACCAGGTTTAAACTTCAATCAGATAATAATAATAATAATCCAACTGCAACAAGATCAAAGTGAGAGGTTGTAAATATAATATTATCCTATTTTGGGAACCCAAAAGTGTCCAGTACTTCTTGTTCAGTTATTACACCTTTGCGTGAAGTTCTTTACTCTGAAGAGCATTGCCTATGTCACCACTATGACAGCTTCCATTTCCCACTCTGAGCACTCTTGATTTCTAAATTAAATTGATGATTTTGTCAGATCACTGATTTACTGTTAACTAAGGCCAACTACGGACTGATGAAACTGCCCAAATTTAAATCTAGGTCCCAGAAGTAAACGTTTAAAACCTTAGGCAAGTTTCTTACTCCAGACTTCTGTCACACTGTCTGTCAATCGCTCTCTCCTCCCTCTCTCTCAATCACACTATCTCAGTAAATAGGAACTTTGCAGTAAATCGAAACCCGGTTGTTAGTCGATTGGTGGATCGCTTAAGCTCTTCTGGTCACTCAATCCATGACTGTTTGTGGGACACTGTTGTGCGCAACTATCTGCGTCATTTTACCTACAAAATATGCAATCAATTCACTTTATAGTGTATTCTGTGAAGAACTTTGAGACATGTAGAAGTCTTGATAAGGTGCTTTATCAAATGCAAGGATTATTATTATTAACCTACTGCAGTATCATGTATTGTACTCATACTAATCGCTATATACAAACATGTTGCTTTTTTTCTTTACAGATTGACGACAAGGAGTTTGATATTCCCCAGGTTGATACTCCACCTACTCTCGAAAGCATACTCAATGAGGTAAGATTCTTACCACTCTGTGTACCTCTAAGGATGGAGAAAGGAGTGCAAAGCACAACAGTGTAAATCGCAGCTAAAAAGTTCAAAACTAAAACATATTCCAAAAAGCTTGCATGGAATTTTAAAAAGAATACAATGGAGCTTTGTATATCCCAGGAAGGTAAAATTGGAGGGACTGTCATTACTGATGGTTCTTGTCTTCCTCCAAGTGGTTAGTTTTCAGTGAGATAAGCAAGGCATCCATGATTGCTCATTGTACCATGTAGTGTGCAGTAATGGCCTGACTGAGGTTGTAACACTCTCATCCCAGGATCAAAGGTTGAGGGTTCAAAGAAAGACATTGGGACTTGAGACTCATAATGTAAGATGATACTCCAGTGTAGTACTGGGGGAAGCACTGAGCCTGAGATTTCGTCCTTTGAATGAGACATTAGACTGACGTTCCATCTGCCTGTTCTTTGACTGGATGCTAGATATCCCATGACACTGTTTAGAAAGAGAAGACACTTTCTCCCAGTGTCCTGACCAATAATTGTTTTGGTAAATCAATTTGTCATTCTGTTCATTGCTGTTTGTGGATGATGCTGTGTGCAAAATGGTTGTGCCATCTGCCTATAAAAACAATCACAACAACAACTACTTGCATTTATATAGCGCCCCTCACGTAGGGAGGTATGGTTGCAGAGCGCTTGACCGTGGCTGAGGAAGTCGCTGATCCGGGGGGAGCGGGGAGGTGACCTTAGGCACGATCGAAGAGGAAGGTCTTCAGGCACGACCTGAAGATGGGGAAGGAAGGGGCAAGGCGGAGGAATAGAGGAAGAGTGTTCCAGAGTTTCAGGGAATAGTAGCTGAAAGTGCAGCCACCAATGGTCGAAAGGAGGGCACAAGGGACATGTAGAAGGTTGGAGCCAGTTGAGCTGAGGTGGGTTGGGGATTAAGCAGGTCGGAGAGGTAGGGTAGGCAGGGATTGAAGGGGATTCAAATGAAAATGAGTGTGAGGATGTTGAAATCGATCTGTTCAGCAATGGGGAGCCGGTGGAGCCTGGCTAGGGCTGGTGTGATGGGGGTACGGAGTTTAGTACGGTGAGTACGCAGGTGTCGGAGTTTTTGGTTAGCTGGATTTTGTGAGTAATGATAATTACTGCAAAGCATTTTTTAACCTTCAAGCATCCAGCTGATCTGCCCTTTAATAATAATAATAATAATAATAATCCTTGCATTTGATATAGCGCTTTTCACGTCAGGAGGACGTCCCAAAGCGCTTCACAGAACACACTGTAAAGTGAATTGACTATATTTGTGGGTGAACGCGGCAGCCAATTGCGCACAGCAATGTCCCACAAACAGTCGTAGATTGAAAATGACCAATTTAATTATTGTTTTGGGTTTTTTTTTTGAGGGATTATTATTAGGCGTGTGGAGTAAGGAAACTTGCCCAAGGTTTCGCCCTGCCTGGAATTGAACTCAGGTCTCTCACTTGCAAAGCGAGTGCTCTAACCACTGAGCTACAGGACTCCACACTCCTTTTCCCAGCTGGGGTCCCTCTCCTGATTGCTGCCAACAACTCCATTGGTTTAGTTTGGCTTCTGCATCCTGCAGCCTTGACACTGTTTTATGGAGAGGATAGGATAAAAAATGGGATAAAACTGCAGCTTGCCTTCCCTTGTTTGCCACAGGAAGTCCTGTAGTAGATTGGTTAGAGCACTCACCTCGCAAGGAAGAGGACCCAGGTTCGATTCCCAGGCAGGGCGAAACCTTAGGAAAGTTTCCTTACTCCACACACCTCTTTTATCTAGCATAAAGTAGGAACCAGATTGTTAGTCGATTGGAGGATCACTAACAATCTCTTCAAAAAAATTATAATAAGTTGGACACTCAAACGACTGTTTGTGAGACAGTGCTGTGCTCAATTGGCTGCTGTATTTCGCCCACAAAGTATACAGTGAATTCATTTTACAGTCTAACAGTATATTCTGTGAAGCTCTTTCAGATGTCTCAAAGATGTGATAAGGCACTATATCAAATGCAAGGATTATTATTATTATTACTACTCGTAATATTACAATAGGGAGTTTGTAGAAGAGAAAACCAGCTATTGAAATGAGACAGACCCTCGAAATTTTGGCTACCAGTTTTGTCTCCTCTTTCAAGGCAGAAGATGAAGAAGAATTGTTTATATTGGAGGACCCGGCATTGCTGAATACCGATAACATTGATGCACACTCGATTGAGACCTCGTCTCTTGCCAGCTCAGATAGTGGGGACCGAACGCACTTAAGACGGTGAGTTTACAAGCCTTATTAAAGATTTCCAGTGCTTGCCAATAAAGGGAAATCCACAAAATAACAATAGCGTATGGATGAACTGTAGCAACTTTCATTTAAGTTGAACGTTTTCCGCTGGTGTGAAACTTGGCTAAGAATCGAGGCATATCGATAACCTGAGCCACTTCATAGAAATAACTGTATTGTAGGAATAAGCCAAAAAATAACAACAACAAGATTCCATTTATAGAGCGCCTTTCACGTCGGGAGGACGTCCCAAGGCGCTGTACAGTTGGGTCAGGACCCGAGCAGGGGGGGAAATGGTCAATGTGAGGGGAGGGAAGGGAGGGAGCGAGGAGGGGGTAGAGAGTCGAGAGGGGAGCTGAAGGCACGGTCAAAGAGAAAGGTCTTGAGACCGGCCTTGAAGGAGGAAAGGGAGGAAGCGGCGAAGGCACTGGGGGATAGAGTTCCAGAGCCTATAGTCAATAAATTGATGCTGGTGGGGTAAACGTTTTGGCCGTGATTCATTCATCAGCCCCATGAATTTTTATTTCAGAATAGGATTGACTTGTGATGTGCTTGAGGCGTTTTCTGTTTCTATTTGTATCAGCCTTTCTGCCCCTATCCTCTAGAACTCCATCCCACATTCCCTCTCTTGCCTCCTTCAAGGCACACCTCAAGACCCTTCCCTTCGACCGTGCCTTTGGCCATCCTCCTACCCCCACCCTCCCTGATCTCAACCCTATGTCCCTAACCTCTTTCTGTCGTTGTCACTTGTCCTGCCTCAAATCCCGCCTCTCTGAATGCCTGTGGCCATCTCATTCGCTTGCTCAATCCTGGACTATTTGTGGGACATTGCTGTGCGTAATTGGCTGCCGTGTTTCGCCCACAAAACACTCAATCACTCCACTTTACAAATATTCTGTGAAGCACTTTGAGACATCTCAACGATGTGATAAGGCACTATATCAAATGCAAGGATTATTATTATAATAAATATAAATTGTATTGCATTGTAGTTTTTTTCTTCACTGAAGTTCTGCACTTGCAATATAAATAATGTTCTATCACCAGTGATGCAGGACATGTATTCTATTTGCATTGTTTAGCTCCTGTAATTTGTACTCTTGAATGTCGTTGGGCGTTCTTGATTTATTCAGGAAAGTCTGCATTAGATCAACAGATGAATGATTGAAATAGCGAAACTGTATAACAATATAATGTTTGTAGGGAGAGAGAAAGACACACACACACTAACAAGCATTTTCTTCTTGAAACCTATATCTACCATCAGAAGGAAAAAAGTGACAGAGGCCACCTCATCCATTCATGGTTCAGTGGTTCGGCAATCAATTCTTAAAGGAGTTTCTGCACAGATTGTGTCTGCCGCAGTGAGTATGTTTAATAATGTGTCAAACAGTTTTTTTCTAAGGTGGTTTGTGTAGCTCTTTGTTTTCTTCTTAATCATCTTCTCTTCCATGTCATCACACCTTCCATCCCTGTCTTCCCTGTGTCTCCTCAGGCTCTGTTCCCATTCCCTTAAAAACTGCCACCATCACTCCCACCTTGAAAAAACCCTCCCTTGATGCGTCGTAGCTATCGAGCTACCGGCCCATCTCCAACCTCCCCTTCCTGTCCAAGGTCCTGGAACGAGTTGTCACCTCCCAGCTGCGCTCTTTCCTCTCCACCCATTCATTATTGGAACCCCTTCAGTCGGGTTTCCGTGTTGCCCATAGCACAGAAACTGCCCTGGTCAAGGTCACCAATGACATCCTGATCACCTGTGATCAGGGCTCCCTCTGCCTCCTCGTCCTCCTTGACCTATCAGCAGCATTCGATACAGTCGACACGCTATCCTCCTCCACCGCTTGTCCTCCCACCTTAACGTTCAAGGCCCTGTCCTTGAGTGGTTTAGGTCGTACCTCTCCCACCGTCTTCACTTTGTTTCCACAAATGGCTTTTCCTCCAGCCCCCGCACTGTCTTGTGTGGTGTCCCTCAGGGCTCTGTCCTCGGTCCCCTCCTCTTCACCCTCTATATGCTCCCCCTCGGTGACATCATCCGCAGACATGGGGTTAACTTCCACATGTATGCGGATGACACCCAACTCTACCTTTCCTCCTCTACCCTCAACTCCACGACCACCGATGTCCTGACAGCTGCCTGTCCGACATCGAGTCCTGGACGAGAGACAACTTTCTTCAGCTCAACGTGCGTAAAACTGAGGCCCTCCTGATTGGCTCACGTCAGCGCCTCCGCACCTCAGGCGCTGACAGCATCAGCATCCAAGGCTGCACTCTCCACCTCTCAAAGCTGGTCAGGAACCTCGGCGTTTTGTTCGACCCTGAGCTGTCCTTTCTCCCTCATATCCGCGCCACAACTGGCACCGTCTTCCATCACCTCCGAAACATCGCCAGACTACGGCACTACCTCACCCCTCACGCGGCTGAAACTCTGGTCCACGCCTTTATCACCTCAAGGCTGGACTATGGGAACTCTCTCCTCGCCGGCCTTCCAGGCCCTCCCTCCACACTGCAGGTCATTCAGAACTCTGCAGCTCGTGTACTGTCCCGCACCAGACACCGCGACCACATCACTCCCACCCTCGCTCACCTCCACTGGCTCCCCATCCCCCAGAGGATCGAATTCAAGTTCCTCATCCTCACCTACAAGGCCATTCACGGCCTTACTCCCTCCTACCTCTCCGACCTACTATCCCCCTCCCTACCTGCCCGTACCCTCCGTTCCTCTGGCTCCGGTTGCTCCACATCTCCCGCCCCAACCGCCCTACCATCGGTGGCCGATCCTTCAGCCTCTCAGCCCTTAGGCTCTGGAACTCTATCCCCCAGTGCCTTTGCCGCCTCCTCCCTTTCCTCCTTCAAGGCCGGTCTCAAGACCTTTCTCTTTGACCGAGCCTTGAGCTCCCCTCTCAACTCTCTACCCCCTCCTCGCTCCCTCCCTTCCCTCCCCTCACCCTGACCATTTCCCCCCCTGCTCGGGTCCTGACCCAACTGTACAGCGTCTTGGGACGTCCTCCTGACGTGAAAGGCGCTCTGTAAATGGAATCTTGTTGTTGTTGATCGTTTTACAAACGGAAGCAACCTCACCACCGTTCCATGTAACCTAATACATTGTAGCATGTTGGTTAGATCGCTCGCCTTGCAAGCAAGAGTACCCGGGTGAGAATCCCAGGCAGGCCAAAACTTTAAACAAGTTTCCTTACTCCATACTCCTCTGTTTACACAGCTGAATGTAGAAACCAGATTGTTAGTCGATTGGAGGATCACTAACCGGGGGTAACAATCTTTCCAAAAAAAATGTAGTCACTCAATCCACGACTATTTATGTGCAATTAGCTGCTGCATTTCCCCCAGGAAATATACAGTCAATTCACTTTGCAGTATATTCCGTGAAATGCTTTGAGAATTTTTATTATTATTCTTCACAAGATGTCATTATTCTCCTAATTTTTCTCTCTTGCACCCATCAGTGGTTCTTGTCCAGTTAATTCTCTGTATTGGTCTGAAGAGCCACAAAGTCCATTGATCTCATCCTCAAATTTTAAACATTTTAATGAAGGCCCCATAGTCATCTGTTTCAGTTATTAATTGCTCACTGGATAAAGAAATTCAACCTAGTATCTATTTTGAAATTGCCCTTTGCAACCCTATGTCTGTGCTCTCTTGTTCTGTTATCTCTGCATCTGAATGCATTGGTCTGGACTTATTTTCTCAGACCCATAACTCAAGACACCATAATTCGGTGTTTAAAGTCTGAATCTCTAATATCACCAAACTGTAACATATTATTGGTGAGGCTTATGCTCTTTATATCAAATGCTTTTTTAACCAAGTTTCTAAGTACTCCAGACCGTCTCTTATAATGAATTCAGAGGACATGCAGGAAAGATAATTTCTCATTTCTCACCTGATCTTTGCTCATTTCTATTTTTTTTTACTGCTACTTGTTTCCAATAAAGATTTATTTTGTGCTTCACTCTGCCGAGGGCTTTTTTTTATAATCTGCGAAGCATATACTTTCTTCATTTGTATTTCCTACTTACAAAGAGTTTTCAGAACAAATGCTCCGCATTTCTTAACTGCTTCTAAAATCAAACTTTTAATGCGTAACCCATCACCACGCTACAGTACCTTGACTTGACTGAGAGTTCCACATATGTATGCCACTTACACATAGAAATTTTGCAGCATCTGGAATGGAATGTACACTCTCCTTGGCGGGATGCACCGTGCCTAATTTCATAAGAGTTTTAAGTTCAGGATGGGAAAGCACAAAGATTGATGACCTCAGTGTGTGTATTGGTAGTTTGACCAACTATAATCTCACCCTGTTTTGATAGGTGTGAAATCTTAACCCAACAATCTACTCACTGAGTTCCCTCCATTCCACAAATTTCAGCCAGGTGCTTCTTAAACCCATTTACACTGTCCGATTCCTTTGCAGGACATTCTAAGGCTAAGGGGAAACCCACTTAAGTTGCATTCATTGACTTTCGCAAAGCTTTCGACCTAGTGGCTTGGCGTCAGACTCCGCTACTGTCAAGCGCTAGCCAACGTGAAGGGTGCTATATAAATGCAAGTTGTTGCCTCATGAGGCCCTCGTGATGAAACTGCAAGCCATGGGAGTAAGTGACTGAATCTTGGATTTTATCTGGAATGTGTATTCCATCTCCCAAGATACGTGCAAGGGTTGACCGTGGATTTACTGTGCCCAACCCTCTGGAAAAGGGAGCAAGGCAAGGCTGCCCATTGTCGCCCACCCTATTCGATGTGTTAATCAACAACGCGTTGGATGACATCATGGGAGCCTCTCTAACAAGATTGAGGCGCATCTGTTGTGGATGATATTGTGCTGCTGGCAGACTTACCTGCCATCTTGAACACTGGGCCAAATGGTGGGCCATGGTGGTAGGCGCCCCCAGGTGGGGAATCATCATCCTGCACCGGCCAAGGGAAGACATGAAGGGGATTGCTTGGAAGATACAAGGAGCATCAGTGTCCATTCTTATCAACAGCAACAACAAATTACATTTGTATAGTGCCTTTCACGTCAGGGGGATGTCCCAAGGCGCTGGATCAGATTCTAATCAGTACTGGGGTCGTAGTGAACACCAACTTCAGCGTGAACACCATCCTGAAGAGGGGTGAAGGGCATGCTCATTCCTCTTCAAGGACAGCAAGGTCCCAATGTAGGTCAAGCTTGTGAGATACAAGACCTGTGTGCAGACAGCTCTCCTTTATGGATCTAAGCTCCTAGGGATACAATGGAGAGGCTTCCTCTGACCCATTTGCAAAGTCCAGGATCAAGCAGTGAGGTGGATTTGTGGCAAACACGAGAAACGACTTCAGGGAGGGAGGCCTCTGGCCTACAATGACCTGTCACTAAGCCCCTGGAAGCAGAGTTGGCTTTACAGTGGGTACATATATTTGCCAAGGCTCCTCTCATGAGGACCTGGATTAAATAAATAGCTGGTGCTGAATAAGCTGGTACATGGCATTGAACTTGGACCTCGGGAACAAGCTGTCCTGCAAAGGTCCTCCCACCACGCTGAAGGCTGATGCCTGCCAGATAAGCTGAGGAGGAAACTCTGAGGCTTGGGGCAGCAGCTGCTGGAATGCGTTACCTGGAGTTCGTGAACACGTATTCGTATATCCAGCGCCTGGAATCCACCTTGATTGGCTTGCAAGAGAGGCAAGCGGCTGCTGCTTAAACTCTGCACTTACAATTGGTGGAACCATTGCTCAATGGGAAGGGATGTGTGCCTGAGCTGTGGACAGGAAGGCGGTGGTAATGCCGAGATACGTTGCTCAAGGGAAGCTTGCAGGGAATTCCTTGTACCTACTATCCATCTAGTGTGGGCTCAAGGGCTGAAAACATGCTTGTCAGATGTCGAACAACCAACTAGTAATTATCATCTTTTGGGGAGGGTGGGGGAGGTATGCGGGGTCTCCTTGGAGCTGATCCGGGACGTCTTCCTGACGTGACAGGCACTAAACAAATGTAATTTGTTTGTTGTTTTGCTATTTTACAGGACAGAGTCGATGCAGGTTTACCCACTGCTGTTGTAAGTACTTCTCCACCTTACAGAATTTTACATTACATAAATCAGGAGTATCCAACTGGTTGGTCGTCGCTAGGTGGCATCTCACACATGCTCAATAAAAACAAGAGGATGGATGATATTTACCACAGTTTAAACATTACAGTTTATATTTTTATTTTTAAATGCATTAAATACTTTGTGCACCTGGCTTCGTTTTCAATTGGACTCTATAATGCCGCAGTTCTATCGCTCCTTCCTTTTGTCTTTCTGATCATGCATGAGAATGCCACCTAGCGGCGATTGGCTAGTTGGAGACCTCTGGTGTATATCATTATCAGCTAAATCTTTTTTAAGAATTCAGTATGTCTCGAGTTTACAGCTGGGTGGCAGCCCCGATAGTAATAGTGGATAGAGCTTTTGGACCAGGAGCTTGTTTACTGTGCTCAGTATGCTGGTCTCAGCCAGAGCTACATGGGTAAGCTAAAGGCTCTGGCCTTTCTTATAGCGCCCTCCACACCGGATAGCGTCTCAGAGCATTTATCAGTGGCGGAGCCAGACTCCGAGTACCGGGGAGGGGGGAGGTGGCTATAAGCACGGTCGAAGAAATTTTTCAGGCAGAATTTGAAAGAGGGGAGAGAGGGAGTAAGGCAGAGGCATTGAGGGAGAGTTTTCCAGAGTTTTGGGGCGTAGTGGCTAAAAGTGCGACCTCCGATAGAGGAGGGGAGGGTGCTGGTGGCCGGGGCCAGTCGAGCGGAGGTGGTGGATTGGGGTGTGATGAGGTCGGAGAGGTAGGGAGGTGCCAGGGAGTGAATGGATTTGAACACGAGTGAGGATCTTGAAGTCGATCCGTTCGGTGATGGGAAGCCAAATGAGCCTGAGAAGAACTGGTGAGAAGTGGGTACGGAGTTTGGTTCGGGTCAGTATGCAGGCGGCAGAGGTTTAAATGAGCTAGATCTTTTGAATAGTGGAGCTGGGGAGACTAGCGAGGGGTGCGTTGGAATAATCCAAGTGGGAGATGACAAACATATGCAAGAGGGTTTCGGCTGCATTTGGGGTAAGGTATGGTCGGAGGTGGGCAATGTGGCATAGGTGGAAGAAGGCGGTCCTGGTCAGGGACCAGATGTGGGGGAGGAAGACCAGCTGGGGGTCGAACCGGAGGCCTAGGTTGCGCACTGGTTCGGTGAGTATGAGGGAGAGCTCAGGGAGGTTGAGGAGTTTAGATCTGCAGGAGTGAAACTGTTGATGGGAGCCAAGGAGTATGGCTTCCGTCTTGAACCTATTCAGCTGCAAGAAGTTTAAGCTCATCCAGGCTCTGATGTCTTGTCAGATAAGCTGATAGAACATCGGCAGACCTGGAGTTGGTACTGGAGGAGGCAAAGTAGATTTGTGTGTCATCCATATACATGTGGAAGTTTACCCCGTGTCTGCGGATGACATCGCCCAGAGAGAGCATATAGATAAAAAAAAGAAGAGGGCTAAGGATGGAGCCCTGGGGTACCCCACAGTTGACTGGGCGCAGGGGTAGGGGGGAACTATTTGCTGAGATGAAATTAAGGCGGTTGGCTAAGTAGGACTCGAACCGTGCGAGTGCGGTTCCACTAAGGTAGATGAGGCAGGAGAGCCGATGAGGTGGATGGTGTGGTCGACTCTGTCGAATGCAGTAGAGAGATCCAGGGGGACGAGGAGGCAGAGGGAGCCCTGGTCACAGATAGAGAGACTGTTGTTTGTGACTTTGACAAGCGCTGTCTATGTTGTGGGCAGGATGAAAACCAGACTGCAGAGGCAGCAATGCATTCCGGGACTTTGGAAAAGAAGGGTAGGTTGGAGATGGAATGGTAGTGTGAGAGATTAGAGGGATCGAGGGTGGGGCAGAGCTCCACCCTAGGAGGTAAACTCATGCAATACAGGTAAATTTACTTCACATGTATGTTTACAGGTAAATTTACTTCACAAACATCTACTTAACAAACATCTACCTCCATTCAGTGCAGCAGTTTGCAGTCTTCTCTTTATTTTTCTTTCACAAGACCCGTCCCTGCCCTCCATCCAGAACGCTGTTGGAGCTGCTCATTATTGGCTGGACTGGGATTGCTTTCTTTGCTGGCCTGCAATGGTTATTCCAATTGGTCAAGCTGATCACAATTGACAGCTTCCATCTCTTTACAACATTGCTGGTGTTTCCATGGTGTTGAAATCCAGTGTTTTTGTGCATGCTACACACCATTTTAGAAGATAACCGATTGCCAGGAAGTAACGCACACACAATGATCAAAAAACACTCCCACCCTGCTTTTTATTTTATCATTTATCAAAAATCGTAAAAAAAGGTCAAAGTATACATGCATACACTATGCAAATATGAGTATTGAGGTCACATGCCAACAACAGCATCTATTCGCCACATCTGGATGCCCAATATGCCACATGTGGCTAGAGGCTAACATATTGGACGAACCTGCTTTAGGCGAGGGGAAAACCAGCCAGGGTTTCTGTTCCTTGTGTTTCTACAGCACTCTGCTGAGTGGAGCTTCCGGTTGAGAAGAGATAAGGCTTGGCTTTGATGCCTTCTACAGTTGAGTGACACTCACTCCCAAGGTTTACACATGAACATAGGAACAGGAGGAGGCCGTTCAGCCCTTTGAGCCTGTTCTGCCATTTAATTAGAACATGGCTAATCTGTATCTCAACTAATCCTTTCAATTCCAATTTCCCGCTTTCTTCCCATATCCCTTAATAGCCTGACCTACCAAAAATCTATCAACCTCACTCTTGAAGGTGTGGATGGATCCAGCATCTGGCTTTTTGGGGAAGAGAATTCCAGATTTCTACCACCCTTTGAGTGAAAAAATGCTTCCTGATTTCACTCTTAAATGGCCTCTAATTTTAACACGAACAAATCCTTGTTTTGGATTCCCCCATCAGAGGAAATAGCTTCTCTGTAACTACATTTAAATACCTCAATCAAATCACCCCTCAACCTTCTAAGCTCAAGGGAATACAATCCAAGTTTACGCAGCCTTTCCTCGTAACTTAACCCTTTTAGGCCTGGTAACATTCTGGTGAACCTGCGCTTCACCCCCTCCAGGGCCAATATATTTTTCCTGAGGTGTGGTGCCCAAAACTGAACGCAGTATTCCAGATGGGGTCTGACTAACACTCTATTCAGCTGAAGCATCATTTCTTCTCCCTTGTATTCAGGCCCCTTGAGATGAAGGCCAACATTTCATTCGCCTTTTTGATTACTTTTGGCCACTTGAATGAGGTGGTAGACGGCAAAGCGTGCCTGTGGAACTGGAATTGAGATACAGTGAGAGGCGTAAGGGGAGAAAATTAGAAAGAATAATTGGACTTTTTAATAAAAAATGTTTGTTAGTCATGTAAGTTAGGAGGAATGAGTTGAGCAGGAAAAGCTCAGCAGATTTTGAATCTCAGAACCCGTTTGATTCATGCCTATAAACAATAAAGTATCCTCTGTTTGATTCTAGTTTCGCTAGATGAAATCTTGGGTATGGCCAAGACTGATCAGCACCCTGTCTAAGTCTTGGTCACTGTATCTGAAACAAAGGAGTGAAGGCAGTGCAACGGGTTCATAGTACCACTTGTGTTATCCTGACCCAAGTCTTACATGAATGAGCACTGAAGAAAATGGAGTTCGCTGTGTTTTCATCAGTGGTTGAAGGCAGAACACTTAAAAGTGTGGGGAAGTTCTTTGTGAACAGGGGAGGAAAAAGTAGAAAGGGACAGAATTTAGGTTGTCTGAAGGGGTGAATTTGGAATGGATGTTGATAAAAGTGAACAAAACAGGATTTCTTGTTTTGAAGCGTGGGTTTTTTAACCAGGCTTCAAAACAAATCAGATGGTTTGGGAGTTTATACTCAGTGGACATTGCATGTGTAAGTAAGAAGTGCGAGGGGACGGTTCAATTTTTCAGCCTCTTTTTTAAAAAAAAAAGTGGATCTTTTTATTTAAGAAAAATGATTTGAAGCAATTTTCTATGTTAATTTGTGTTAGGTGTGAGTTGCTTCACAGTTGCAATTTCCGGTTTGCATTTTGCTCTTCATCTATTTTTCTTGAATTGGAGTTGTCGACTGTACATGTGGTAAACAGGAAATTAAAATTACTGTGGCGAATTTGATTATTGCGATTATTGCAAATTAGACACCATAGTGTTTGGATGAGGGTTAAAAGTAGACAACGAGTAAAGGAGGGAGAAGGGAATGAAACAGATTTTTTTTAAAATCATAGTTGTGTGGAACTTTGACATTGCTGGTTTAGGAAACAATTTGATGTAGATAAGAATTTTCAACAACAACAACTTGGATTTATATAAATTGTTCTTGTATTTTCTTTTCTTTCCATCTTTGTGGTTTTCTAGGTTGTGTCGAATGTAATAGCAGTGGGAACATCACATGGATTGGCACTCATATTTGGTAAGGTGGAAGGAATCCTCTGTAGTCTCTAAACTAATTCTTGTCTCTTCTGTTAAAACTTTCTTAGCTGTGTGGTTCCTTCCTGGTTTGTCCCTTTGACTGTATCGTACTTCCTGGAGCTCAGTGAGCAGGTGGCCAGCACTATGCTGCTTTTGACTACGTGGATAAAAGAGTCACTGTAATGGTACCCTCCCTCGGTTTGTCAGTCTGCCTTGTGGGGAAGCCACAGACTATAAGAGAGCGAGGGGCAAAGGCCGAGAAGCAAGATTAAACCAAGCTCTTTCTGAGAGCCGACACAGACATAATGAATATTTGTGAGTTCATGGTTTCCTGGACTGAAATAATTCTATGATTTTCTGAAATAATATACAGCCCCTTTTAGAGTAAAAATCAAAGATACAACAGTGGTAACTAGATAAGTACACACCCGAGTTTTATATGTTTAAAGTACTGAGAGCATTGCATATGCAATATTTATGGACTAATTATATTCACAATGGTTATATTTAGCATCTTTGACACTAAAATAAGTGCCTGCCAGTTCAGTTCTTATGGAATCCCGTAGTTTAGTGGTTAGAGCACTTTCCTCGCAAGTTAGAGGACCTGGGTTTGATTCCCTGGGAGTGCAAAATGCTGGACAAGTTTCCTTACGCCACACGCCTCTGTTTACCTAGCAGTAAGTAGGACTCTGGTTGTTAGTTGAATGGCATATCGCTTTTCCAGGGTAATAATCCCTTCAAAAATAAATAAATAAAAATAATAATAATTTGGTCACTCAATCCACGACTGTTTGTGGGACACATGCTGTGAGCTATTGACCACTGCTATTTGTCCACTAAACCTACAGTTACAGTATAAACATACACTTTGCAGTATATTCTGTGAATGCTTTGAAACATCTCGAAGACGTGATAAGGTGCTATATCAAATGCATTGTTTATTAATATAAAACAGCTGCTGTAAAAAATGGCTTGTACCCACGGTCTTCAGACATAGAGAGGTTTGGCCTGTTACAGTAGGCACTGAAAATATCTTTGCCAAAACGTTGCTTGGAAATTTGAAAATTTACTTTGTTTATCCACATTTCCTGGAATCAAACAAACAAAATTACATTTGTACGACGCCTTTCATGTCAGGAGGATGTCCCAAGGTGCTGGACAAACAGTGTTTCGGACCTGAGCTGGGGGTCAGGATCGGGGAGGGTGGAGGGCAGTGGGGGAAGGAGGGTGACTGAGGCAAGGTAGGGAGCGAGGCGGAGGTTCCTTGGGTTGGAGTTCCAGAGGGTGGGGCAGAGTGGCTGAAGTCTCGCCCGACAATGGGGGTGCGGGCAAGGCGGAAGACATGAGCAGGCCGGAGCCCACTGAGTAGAGGAAGCGGGCAGGTTGGTAGGGGGTTAGGAGGTCGCAGAACTAGGGAGGAATAAGGCCATGGAGGGATTTGAAAGTGAGGACCAGGATCTTGAACTATATCCTCTGTGTAATGGGAAGCCAGTGGAGTTGGGCAAGGATGGGGGATGATAGGGTTGCGAAGCCTGGTGTGGGAGAGGACACAGGCTCCAGAGTTCTGGATGATCTGCAGCCTATGGAGGGAGGAGTTGGGGAGGCCGACGAGCAGGAGTTTACACAGACAAGCCTGGGTGTAATGAATGCGGAGCCGGGCGATTTTGCGGTGGTCGGGGAAGGCAGAGTGCCATGGCACGGATGTGGGGTAGAAAGGATAGTTGAAGGTCAAACAAGATGTTGAGGGTTCGGACTGGCTTGGTAAGGTGAAGTGTGCATCCATGGATGGTGATGCTGTCAGTGCCTGAGATGTTGAGGCGCTGACGGGAGCCAATCACATCCTCCTGACGTGAAAAGCGCTATATCAAATGCAAGGATTATTATTATTATTGGTTGAAGAGGAGCCTGCTGTTGTCCTTAGTCTCTAAGATTGTCTTGGAGAAGAACCACGATTTAATGGAGGCGAGGGCAGAGCGGTAAGATTTGATATGGTCCAGCCAGATCTGCCGATGGACCTTAAGTTCGATTTAGGCCAGGTGCGTTCAGTGGCAGGCATCTGTGCTTTCAGGGAGCGGAGGTGACTGGTATACCACTGTGACTTTCGTGAGCAGGAGATGAGGAGGGGAGTGAGGGAATCAAGAGTGGAGGAGAGTTACCTGTGAAGAAGAGTGACCAAGGTCATTGCGGGAGGAAGTGCAGAGGGGAAGGAGTTCAGATGACTCCAAGGCAGCCGAGAGGGAGTGGAGGAGATTTTGTTTCCAGGGGTTGTAGGAGATGGTGGTCGGTTGGTTGGCAGTGGGGAGAGGGATTGAGGAGTTAAGGGAGATGAAGTGATGGTCCGAGATTGCTTTGTCGATGATGGTGAGGTCTGAAACAATGAGGCCCCGAGTAATCACATACATGTCACTGGTACATTTGCCTTTTATTGAGCTGAAGCAAGTGATTCTTTGAATCGTAGCAAATTAGTACATTTCTATAGTTCTGCCTTCTTTGGATTTGGAAGCCTACGAATGTTGTAAGCAATTTAACTGCTTGTGTGCACTACTGCACAGTGACATATACAGTTGAAACCTGGTTTGCGGTCACCTCGGTAATCCAGCTACCTCACAATTGTGGGCACATTTTCACAGTCTTTCATTGTCAATGTTAAAAGATAGGCTGCCTGCTTCAGTAAACCGGGCACCTCACTATTCAGGACAATGGCTATTGATTGCGGCCGCAAAAGCGCCCTCCCCCGCATCAAACTCGTTCCAAACAACCCCCTCTGCTACTAACCTGTACAGTAGGGACGCCTGTGCACTAGGCCTCAGGCTTCTCACGCTATTTCCTCGCCATTGCTTCTGTGGGTGGAGTGGGCTCCGGTCACATATGGGCGGGGAGTGTTGGGATCACGGAAGCGGCGCGAGCAGAAAATCTACTTCGCCCGGCGTCTGCGCCCTAACCTGAACTCCTGCGGCCAACTCTTGGTAAGTGCTGTAAACATGCCACCATGGAAGGAGTTGTCCTTACATGAGAGAGTGGACTTTATCAAAAACAGTGAGGGCAAAAGTCATAGTTAGCTGTGATCTATGGCATTGGCAGAACACAAGTTGGATGCATTCTCAAAAGGAAGGCTTTTAAATATGACAATGCCTTTATTTTAATGAAATTGCAAAGTATGGTTGTTGAACGTTCATCACCCTTGCCCATTACCAATGCCCTTAAGATTACATCAGTGACCTGAATCACCCGACCTGTTTCAGTAATCAGATCACCACACCCAAGTAGGTACTCTTGTACAGTCACTTGAGTGACCGGATTGATGAGGTTCTGCTGTAATTAATGATCTGCCATGTTTCACTGGTTCTGTGAATGTCAGTAACTTTTTTCCTGATTTTAAAGTTAATAACGTTCTATGTGCAGCTTTTGTGTGAATTCTACTGAATAATCCCTGAGCACTGACTTGTGGTCTCTTTTTTTTCTTTCGCCTTCTGTCTCCATGGATATAATAGGAAAAGGTACAGAGCACACAGCTGTGGGTGTACCTAGGAATTTCATGCTTTCTGCTTCTATACTTTGTAATCTGGATCACTCTTCATGTCTGCCTGAGCAACATATGGGCTTCAATGTCTGGAAAAAGTGTTGGGATTACATTTATGTGGTGCTATGATTAACAAAGTTCTTACAGAAGTTTTAAAGATATGAATGTGTGTTATCCTTTGGGTTTCTTTTCACAAGCTATCTCTGACCCAGATCCATTGGGTATGCTTTATACAGTGTGCTGGGAATGACTAGAAAGTTTGCTAGGTTAGTACGTAAAACTTGCATAAGTCTTATCTTTATAAATTGTATAAACGTCTATGTTGTACATGCACCCAAGTTCCATTCAGTTGCCTATCAAAACCACTTAGATTTCTTTCCACTACTCGTATTACTCACATCCTAACTCGTAAATCCACTCCCCTACCCTCCATTACTCCTGCACTTACCGGAGCCTTGAATCACGGGAAATAACGTTCTGATGCATCAACCCATGCGCACTTACCAACCGGCTTGAATCGCAGGAAATGTAGTCTTGATCGTAGAACAACCTCAATTTCCTGCAATTCAATGCAATTCCAACGTGTGCCGGTAGGTGTGCTTACCTGCCCGCTCCCTCCGTTCAGCGGGCTCCGGCCTGCTTCATGTCTCCTGCCCGACCCGGTGGCCGGGCTTTCAGCCTCTCTGCCCCCACACTCTGAAACTCCATCCCACAGTCCCTTTGCCTCGCTTCCTCCCTTGCCTCCTTCAAGGCCGGTCTCAAGACCCTCCTCTTCGATCGTGACTTCGGTCACCCTCCCACCTCGCTGCCTTCCCTCACCCCTACCCCACCCCTCCCCCATGCTCGGGTCCCATCCCCTGACCAGCGCCTTGGGATGTCCTCCCGACGTGAAAGGTGCTCTATAAATGTAATTTTGTTGTTGTTGTTGCAGCGACTGGTCAAGGCGCATAGAGTTGTGTGAAATGTAGTCTTTACCTGTCAGTGCATGTGCACTTACCAGCTGCAATGATGAATTACCGCATACCCACTTACCGGCTGCACTCATGCTCAGTGTTAATTATTGATTAAATCAGATTTTCTACGGCTTCTATTGTTTGCCTGCAACTCGGACTTCAGGTAGAATATTAAATGTTATGTTCTGGACTGATATGATTTATGCGAGTTTTACATATTCAAATAGAGATCTAACCTTGATTACAACAAGCTTTAGTGGCTTTAGTCTACACAAGCTTGTAAGAGGCCAGCACAGTTTACTGACAAGTATACCCACTGTCTCACTGGTAGAGGTACATTTATTCCTGCGTGCATTTGCTGAGTTACTGCTTTTGAGTGAGGAGGGGAATGAGGTAAAGGAACATTCTTAGTTTGTAAATGTAAATTGTGGGTTCAAATCCCACGTTTGAGCTCATAATCTAGGCCGAAACAATTGCAAAGCTGGGAAAGCATAGTCAGAGGTGCTTTCCTTCAAATGAGACCACTTGTTCAGGTACATGTTAAAGATCCCATGGCACTATTCAAGACGAGAAAGGAGTTTCTCCTGGTGTGCTGAGCAACAATTCCTTAAATAAAATTGTTTTTTCACTGCATGGCTGTTTGTGTGGGATATTGCTGTGTGTAAATTGGATATTGCTTTTGCCTACAAATACTCAGTTGCTACACTTTACCAAAATTACCTGTGAGGTGCTTTGAGTCATTTAGGCATTATAGGCATTACATTAAATCCAAATATTATATCATTGCTTTAATATCCTTGGCATCCACCTCTCCCTGTACCTTGCTGTTACAAGAGGAGGTGATAATCTTTTTTTATCAGTTAGCGTGGTAGCATTGCACAGGCCTGAGAACTGTTGTGGTATGGAGATGCTGACTCCCAGGAAATTGAGTACCTGATGAATGCAATACACAATGTTTGATCATCTCCATCTATACATAATCTTATCACCAGCAGCTAGACAATTCATCCAATCTGTTAATTGTTGCAGCATTATCTAGAAGTCTATTCCATCTGCCCACTACTGAAGAGGATGAGGAAAAAATTCCTTGTAAGTCAAATGTGTAGCAAAAAAAAGTCAAATCAGTCAAATGCTGTTCACTCTTGGTCTTGTCTTGGTTAGCCTTGGAAGTTCCATTACAATGAAAAAGACACAAAGCATTCTCATTGCTAAATTGTACTGAGCTTCCTTCTTGTAAGTTATCGGATGGAAAGGGAATTCTTCTGATTTTGCAGAATCCCAGGTTCCCTGCTTGCATGAGAGCAGAGGATATGGTAAGCTCTTTAAGATTTAGTATAAGCTACTAGTTTGAGCTGGAAGCTGGCAATATGTTCTTTCCTCAGCCTTCACTTAGACATGTAATCTGTTTTAAAGTTTCTTTCTTCCTCTTGCTAAGATGTGGTTGTGTTTCAGATCCGAACCAGGCACTGCGGCTGTGCCTGGGCAGCACATCAGTAGGCGCTCAATATGGAGCGGTGTCTGCACTTAGCATTAACAGTGACTGCACTCGGCTACTCTGTGGGTTCGCCAAAGGGCAGGTAGGCTGGCTTGTTAGGCTGATTGACATCATACAAGATAATGTTGAGAAATGTAACCTTTTGAAAAATAAACAGTGATTTGAGGAATGTACAAGGATATTGCTTTGTTGTGGAGAAAGATGATGAAGAGAGATTTGGAAATTCCTGTCAAGGTTATGCTGCTTAGTATTGGGTTGAAGAAGTGGAAAGTTTTCAAATGAACTAAAATTGAGTTCTTTAAGGTAAATGTTAGTGCCAAGTTTCTTACAAATATGATGACTGCATTAAGTGTTTTGAGATATTTCCATATGATAAGCCACAATAAAAAGGGAAGTTCTTTCTTACACAAGAGGATGATTTCAGTTTTTTCTATGCCTCATGTAGATTACTATGTGGGACCTGGCGAATGGCAAGCTGTTGAGGACAATAATGGATGCCCACCCACCAGGAACAGCTATCCTGCACATAAAGGTGACTTTGCACCAACAGCTTTTATAAGTATAGAACAATTTTTCTTTATTTAATAACACATTTTATTTTATTAGAGAAATTCAGAATCTGTTATCACAGAGGGTGGGAAATGGCTTTGATACAGCTGGCACTTGGTTTGAAAACTATTGTGAATCTTTTGACCATTAAGGTTAGTTTGAATTATTATGTAGAATAATTTCATTAAAATGGTAATGTAGATTATTGTATGGTTAAGTGGATGTCCATTTTTGCAATCTGTTACTTCCAAGTTAATACTTCAAGTTTTGCCCAAAAGGAAGCAGCCAAACAAAGTTAATTAATGTAATAATTAAATTAAGCCACTAAAACATTTGCTTACGAAAAGCAGTAAATCCTATGAAGCACTTTGAAATATCCTCCCAACGTGAAAGGCATTATATCAAATGAAAAGATTATTTTATTACTTAACCCATTTGGTGGAAGAAAGCAGTAGGTGTCATTGAAATTACATCTGGCTGTTCAGCTGTTTTAAAGTGGGGTGTCTCGGGGTTCTGTGCTGGGACCCCTCCTATTCCTTGTCAAACCTGTTCAAACAACTACCTCCATTTGAAAATTAGTGGAAGATTATATTATACTGTTTTTAAGGCTTTTTAAAGAGTGTGAATTATAGAATCATACAATTATAAAGCACACCTCTCCCCATAGCTCTGTAAACTTGTGCTCCTTAAAGGGAAGATTATTATGAGCAAAGATAACAACCACAATCTCTGAATAAACAGCTGAAGATTCTGTCTGGAAAAAATCAAATAAAACTGGTAGGAGTTGTTGCATACTAATTAATAAATAAGGACTAATTGACTAGGACCAATGGAAGGAGATCAGGAGGGAGAGAAAAGCAGGAAGCAGAGAGAACTGAGGAGAAGGTGTTGGGTGTATCTGGAGACCTAAAATAAAAGAGGGTTCTACACATTGTTGAAAGTGTAACAGGAGTGGAAACAGGAAGTCAGTTGAGGGCAGTGTGGTAGAGACTGATTCACAGCTTGTCCAACTTCATTATTCTCTGTTAAATTGTAATTTTGGCTCCAGTGAAAGTAAGAGGAAAGATTATAGCCAGGGGTTCTTAACTATACTGCAGCATTGATGAGAGCAAGTATTTCATCTTTGGTGTACCTGAGAGACCAACTTCACTACCTCGGTTATATATTCCTGAAGCCAAACTAATTTATTCAACATCACCAGCAGTACAGTACTGGAAATGAACAGCATTTAAACAGGTCACTCGGCCCAACTCATCTTTGCTGGTGTTTCGACTCCACATGAACTTCCACCTAACCATAATCCCCTTCCTTCCTCACCCATACCCCTCTCTACCCCCATTTGTATACATCCATTACCCTCTTTCTTTCTCCCTTATGTCTCTCCCACAAAAATGCACATTATACACATTATTTTTGTGGGCGAAACACTAGAATATATTCTGTGAAGCGCTTTGAGATGTCTCAACAATGTGATCAGGTGCTATATATCCAAAGCAAGGATTATCACTATTAGCATATAGCCCTGAGCAAAGGTTTTATTTTGTGCATTGTAAGGTTGTATATTTTAGTTTGTGAACCCTGAGGTAAAGTTCACACAGAAACCAAACCAAATGTAGTACAATCAATCCAGTTTATTAGTTATGAGAAGTAGCAATATCTAGCCGTTAAAGGGTTAATGCTTATGAATGGGAATACAATTCCCAGCAGATAAATCAATTGATCAAACGGGATCACCATGGAAGAGATGGAAGGAGACTGGCTGGATTTGAGTGCGTTATGGACAGTCTTGACTGGAGAATACAATTTACGGCAGATGAATCAGTTGACAGAACTGGATTGCCGTAGAAGAGATGAGAGGGGACTGACTAGATTAGAGTGCGTTGATCAATAGAGTGCGTTGTGGAAGATCTTCTTGAGATCTGTTGCGGTTAGCTGCTCCTTTCCCCAGCTCTGCTGTTCTTATTTTCCTCTGAACTTGTCTTACTTTATACTCTTCCAAATCTCACCAAAGCTGCATCTGAGAAATCTGTCTCCTGACCTGTTTGATGCCATTCATCACTGATATTCATGAATGCAAACATCTTCCATCCTGACCAGCTTCTGTCTGACCATTTGGTTAAACCATGCATTTTAAAGTCTCAAGAGTAATTAGCACACAGGTCCGAATAGATTGTTTCCACCATTCCTTTTGATCTTTGGCAATCTTTGGAATTCAAAACCATAACTACCCTTATGATTTATACAGTAAACAAATCCACAATGCTTTGCATCTTCTTTGGTTCATTCCACATGAACTGTGAGTTAGCTTACAGAATTAACCAAGCATGTACAACTTCACTTTGTAAATTGAATAGCATTTTGACCAATCATCCATTTCATCTGAAGACTAAGTGATCAATTGTTATTCTGATACCTCTAGAAGTCATGAGCGATGAATATATCCTCTGGGGTTTTTTGCTGGTTCAAAAATGCTTTGGATACATTTCTAAAAGGAAAGAAATAGTCATTGGCGTTGTGTTTCTATGTTAAATATAAATATAAATATTTGTATGTGGATTTGCCTGCTCTTCCTTGGATCGATTCCTGGCAGGTCGAAACGTTAAGCAAGTTTCCTTACTCCACACACCTCTGTTTATCTAGCAGTATGTAGTAACCCGGGTGTTCATTGATTGGCAGATCTATTTTCCAGGGTTAATAATTCCTTTTTTAAAAAAAAATTCGTGACTCAATCCACGACTGTTTGTGGGACAATGCTACCGCATTTTGCCCACAAAATATATAGTGAATTCATTTTACAGTCTATTCAGTGAAGTGCTTTTAGGCGTCTCGAAGATGTGAAAAGCGCTATATCAAATGCAAGGATTATTATTATATCAAATGCAAGGATTTTTGTTATTGGATTGGAGCCTGACACTTTTTTTTGACCAGTATGAAACCTAAGTGATTTTACTCAATTTAATTTTTTCAGTTCACCGATGACCCAACAGTAGCCATATGTAATGACAGTGGAGGCTCGGTGTTTGAACTCACTTTCAAGTAAGTTTGCGGTTTGTGCTTCAGAGGAGATACTTTATATATCTTCATTGATATCTCATGTTATTTAACTTCTAGTACACAGATGTACTGATTGAATTTCTCTCCAATGCTTGGGGCTTCACTATACAATATGAAACAAGTTATCACTGCTGTCAGTTTTCCGAATTTCACCTTTCCAAGAGTCATTCAAAACGTAATAACTTTCCGTAATGACTTGTGTTGAATACTTTATTTTATTTAAAATAAAACAGTAACACACACCTAACATCTCTATGGAGAGAAAAATTAGTCAATGTTTCTGGTCGATAACCTTTTGTCAGAACCTGTGTGCTGTTGCTGACAGTGTCAAAATGTCTCAAAGAACTTCACAGATAATTTCCATCAAGTACAGTGACTGTGCACTTGTGTATTTGTAGGCAAACCAAGCAGCCAATTTACACACAGAAAGTTTCCCACAAATAGCCATGAAATGAACTATAATTTATCTGGAGGATTGTTGTCAAACGCACAAGACCAAATTCCCTTTTCTCTTTCAATAATGCCATGGGATCTTTAATGTCCTTTGAACAGGCGGACAGGACCTTGTTTTAACAACTCGTGTTGAAAACAACATCTACAACAATATAGCACTTTCCTAATTCTTCACTGGAGCGTCAGACTAAACTGTGATCTTGAAGTCCTATTATGGGAGATTCTTGAACCACATACCCTTCACGTGTGCTATCCTGCAGAGCAGAAAGATGTCCTGCTCTGAAACTTTTGCCAGTGATGTGCTTGACCTGCTTTAGAGATGCACTTACTTAATGATGTTCCTTCGACTTCTTTCCTTCTCTAACACCATGCAACTTCTTAGGTCTTTTTTGAAACTTTAACTTCTAGCTAACTTGGAACTATTATATGTCAGCCTGTTTCAGCTGATAGCATTCTCGCCTCTGGATCAAGCACCACATTGTTTGAGCAAAGAAATAATAATAATAATAATAATCCTTGCATTTGATATAGCGCTTTTCACGTCGGGAGGACGTCCCAAAGCGCTTCACAGAATATACTGTAAAGTGAATTGACTGTATATTTGTGGGCGAACGCGGCAGCCAATTGCGCACAGCAATGTCCCACAAACAGTCGTAGATTGAAAATGACCAATTTATTATTGTTTTTGGTTTTGGAGGGATTATTATTAGGTGTGTGGAGTAAGGAAACTTGCCCAAGGTTTCGCCCTCTGCCTGGAATTGAACTCAGGACTCTCGCTTGCAAAGCAAGTGCTCTAACCACTGAGCTACAGGACTCCAAGTGCTCCAAGAAAGTGCTGCATTGTCAGAGATATCAAGCTTCAAATTGGATCTTAAACCGTGATCCTGTCAGTCTTTTCAGATGGACGTTAGTCCATGGCATAATAAGAATGGAGTTTCTCCTTTTGTCCTGATCAGTAATTTTCTAGATAAAAATTAGTCATTCACATTGTGGTAATTTGTAGGACTGCTGTGTGCAAATTGTGCTTACAATTAGACAAATCTTTAAAAAGTAGTGCACAGGTAAAGAAGGTAATCAGAAAGGCTAATACAATGTCGGCATTTATCACAAGGGGGCTGGAATACAATAATTAAATGATATTACAGTTGTATAAAATTCCTGATTGGCTCCTGATTGACTCGCGCCAGCGCCTCTGCACCACAGGCTCTGGCAGCGTCAACCTCCATGGTTGCACACTTCAACACACCAAGCCAGTCAGGAATCTAGGTGTCTTGTTCGACCCTCAACTGTCTTTTCTTCCCCACATCCAAGCCATGACCCCACTCTGCCTTCCCTCACCTCCGTAACATCACCCGACTTCGCTACTACCTCACCCCTCAGGCCGCTGAAAATCTTGTTCATGCCTTCATCACCTCCAGGCTCGACTATGCAAACGCCCTGCTTGTCGGCCTTCCCAACTCCTCCCTCCACAGACTGCAGATAATCCAGAACTCTGCAGCCCGTGTCCTCTCCCACACCAAACTCCGTGAGCCCATCTCCCCCACTCTCGCCCAACTCCACTGGCTCCTTATCCTTCAGAGGATCCAGTTCAAGATCCTGGTCCTCACATACAAAGCCCTCCATGGCCTCACCCCACCCTACCTCCGCGACCTCCTAACCCTCAACCAACCTGCCCGTTCCCTCCGCTCAGCCGGCTCCAGCCGGCTTCATGTCCCCCGACCCACCCGCCCCACCATTGGCAGGAGAGCCTTCAGCCACTCTGCCCCCAACCTCTGGAATTCCATTCCCCAATCACTCCGCCTCACCCCCTTCTTAGCCTCCTTCAAGTCCCGCCTCAAGACCCTCCTCTTCAACCATGCAATCGGCCACCCCCCTTCCCCTCCTCTCCCTTCTCACGCCCTGAACCCAGCTCGGGTCTGAAATGCTGTACACCGTCCAGTGCCTTGGGACATCCTCTCGACGTGAAAGGGGCTGTACAAATGTAATCTTGTTGTTGTATAAAATGGTGTGCAGTATTGGGTCAGTGCAGGCAGAGTCAGTTGAAGAATTTAAAAGGCAAATAGGTAGAAGGGAATGTGGAAAGAGCGCAGGGAGGTGGAATTAAGTTTTCCATCGGCCACAGTCTTGGAAAGTGGTGGGAAAGGCTTGATGGGCCAAATCGCCTCTTCCTTTTCCTGTGTTCCTAAATATACAGTCACTCAACTTTACAAATTTGGTGAAGTGCTTTGGCACATTATAAGCACTATATCAAATACAAAAGTGATTATTATTATTTTTTCTTTAGAACAGTTATCTGGGAACAGTATCTCAGAAGTTGCATTGTAACGAAGCATGAAAAGATTGCTGACCTCTGGACCTTTAGATTATTATCATGTCACTTCCTGTGCATTGCGCGCACACACTGTGTTCAAGAAAGTCACTTCCTTTACAAAATGACAAGTTTCCTGCTCATAGTTCAAGTGATGCTCCCTGAGTACAGTGCAAATGTGCAATGCGCAGGAGTAATAGCAGCTACCTGATAACCTGCAGATTGCCTGTGTTTTAATGGGAAGCCAACTAGTCATTGCCAGAAGAGAGGTGAAGTCTACAATATAAAAGGAGAGGTTTCCACGACTGTTCCAAGATTGTTGCTGCAGCCGACTTTGAGCTGAATACAAAGTTGTAAACATCCACCAAACCCTGAAGAAAAAAAATTATAAATTGAACCAAATAATCAAGAAATCTAACATGATGAATTCTTGAGCAAGCGAAATGGGAAAACAGAGTGTTTCTGAATTTTGTTCTGCTTTCTGTCACAGGAGAGTGATGGGAACGAGGACGTGTGAGTCTCGCTGTTTGTTCAGCGGAGCCAAAGGAGAGGTTTGCTGCATTCAACCCTTACTAGTAAAGGCAGAGCTGAGAGATCATCCGATTACACAATATGGACTATTGGCAATGGCTTCTTTAACAAAGGTATGCATTTCTTTTAGCTTTTTTTCACCTTTGTCCCTGGTCTCCCAAGCCAAGCACTAACTGTGTTCTCTATGAAATGGCCACTTGGAAGTGCAAGGCAGGTGATGTCCCTCTGAGCCTGAAAGAAAAGCAGAAGTATAAGTCAAAAAATATTTTTAGTGAGTAAGAAGTTCATTTGGGTTTAGTGAATTGCTTCCACCCTTTCCCACAGGATCAAGTGCGGGGCGGTATGATACATTCCATGGAAATGCAGTGCCAGTTGTTATTATAGTTGCCACCATCACATAAGGTAAACAGGGTCCTCAAAGGTTTTGGAACAAAGATCATTGGTTGCCCAGCCTCTCCTCTAGTGCCACAAAATAAACATCATCACTCCCATCGCAGTAGATTTAGGTAAAACTAAGGAATAAGTAACTTGAGAACATTTTCCAGAGTCAAGCTGATGTGATTTGACTACAGCTTCTTTCATCATGCTTAAATATAGAAACAAACAAACAGAAGTACGCCATGCAGCCCCCTGAAGCCTGTTCCGCCATTCTATAAGATCATTGCTGATCTGTACCTCAATTCTAATTACCTCCCCTTGCCTCATATCCTTTGATACCCTGACCTAACATATATTTATCCACAAATAAATGCAAAAGTGTTCCCAGTGATCACTGTGGTTATGTATCTATCCACCTCAGTCTTGAAAATATGAATGGATCCAAAATTCACAACCTTTTGGGGTAGAGAGTTCCAGGTTTCCACTACCCTTTACATGAAAAACTACCTGCTGATTTTACTCCTAAATGACCTAGCTCTAATTTTAAGATTATGTACCTCTTGTTCTGGATGCTCCCACCAGAGGAAATAATTTCTCTGTATCTGCCCTATCAAATCCCTTGATTATTTTAAAAACCTCAATCAGATCACTCCTCAACCTTCTAAATTCAAGGCAATAGAGATCAAGTTTATTCAGCCTGTCCTCATAAGTCACTGGTGAATGTGCACTGCACCCCATCCAGAGCCAATATATGATTCCTGAGATACGATGCCCAAAACTGAATGCAATACTCCAGAAGGATAATTTCCTCTCCTTTATATTCCAGCCCCCTTGAGATAAAGACCAACATCCCATTAGCCTTTTTGATAACTTGGAGTCCTGTAGGTCAGTGGTTAGAGCACTCGCCTCACAAGCGAGAGACAATTCCCTGATTCAGTTCCCGGCAAGGTGAAATGTTGGGCAAGTTTCCTTACTTCAAACGCCATTGTTTACCTAGCAGTAAGTAGGAGCCCGGTTGTTAGTTGATTGGCGGATTGCTTTTCCGGGGGTAATAATTCCTTCAAAAAAAATAATAATCAATTTGTCACTTCAATCCTTGATTGTTTGTGGGACACTGCTGTGTGTAATTGGCTGCTGCATTTTACCCGCAAAATATACAGTCAATTCAGTTTACAGTATATTCTGCAAAGCGCTTTGGGACGTCTCAAAGATGTGATAAGGTGCTATATCAAATGCAAGGATTATTATTATTAACTTTTTGTACCTGTGAGCTAGTTATTAGTTTTTTAGTGATTTGTGTATGTGGATACCCAAATCCTTTTGCACCTCCACAGTTCTCAGTTGTTCACGAAGTAGAAAATATTTTGTTTGCTCTTTTTGGATCCATAGTGGATGACCTCAAATTTCCCCATATTGAATTCCATCTGCCACAGGTTTGCCCACTCACTTAATATGTCTAAGTCCCTTTGTAACTTCCTGTTCCCATCTACACAATTTACTGTGCCTCCTAACTTTGTGTCACCTGCAAATTTGGATATAAAACTCTATTCCTTCATCCAAGTCATTCATGAAAAGCTGAGGCCCCTATAGAACACCACTTATCATGTCCCGCCAATTAAAGAAAAGTCCTTTTATTCCTACTCTGTGTTTCCGCCTCCCAAACAATTACCAAGCCACATCGCAAGGTTACCTCCATGCGGTTTTATTTCTGATAATAACCTCTTGTGCGGAACTTTATAAAATGCCTTCTGGATGTCCATGTAGACGACATCAATAGACACTCTTAACCACCATGTTAGTGACATTTCCTCCCCTGCTTCTTTTAATACCCTAGGATGGAATCCATCAGTTCCTGGAGATTAGTCCAGTTGTATTTATATTAAGTCTATTTAGTACTTCACGATGGCTTATTTTTAGGTTCCCTTGTACCACTGGTATTCTGTCCTCTTCCTCTACTGGGAAAATGAAACCAAAGTATTCATTCAACAAGCCTGCCATTTCCTTATTTTCCATTATAATCTCACCTACATCTGTCTTTAATGGTCTCACATTCCTCTTTACCACTCTTTCTCTTAATATATTTATAAAAACGTTTCCTGTTGCCCTTCATACCCCTTGCACATTTTTTCTCATATTCCCTTTTTGCACTTATTATTTTCTTTGTATCTCTTTTTTGCTTTTTGTAGCTCTCCCATTTTGCTGGATTTTCTTGCATTCATCTAAGACTCTTACCTCACTTGTCAACCAAGTGGAGGTTTTGTGTTTTAGGGGTATGTACTGGTGTTGTGTTGTACCAAATTCTTCTTTGAATACTTCCCACTGTATGTCCTTGGGTTTACCCTTTAACAGTTCAGCCCAGTTTACCGTAGTTAATTAATTTCTCATCCCTTCCAACGGTTGCCTTAATTAAATTTAAAATCTTGATTTGCGACTCTCCCTTCTCTCCCTCAAGCCTTATATCAAGTTTAATCATATTATGGTTACAATTTGCAAGATGCTCCCTTACCATCAGATTGTTAACTAATTCTGGTTCGTTGCCCATCATCAAATCTAGTATGGCATATTCCCTTGTTGGTTCTAAAACATTTTGTTCCAGAAAAGGAGGCAAGGGAGGGGGCAAGGCGGAGGGAGAGACTGGGATAGAGTTCCAGAGGGTGGGGGAAGAGAGACTGAAGGCCCGGGCGCCTGCCAATGTTGCAGCAGGCAAGACGTGGGACATGATGCCCACTGAGCAGAGGGAGCAGACAAGTTGGTAGGGGGTTAGGATCTCGTAGAAGTAGGGAGGAGCAAGGCCATGGCGCGCTTTGAACATGCGAACCAGGATCTTGAACTGTATCTTCTGAGTGATGGAAAGTCAGTGGAGTTGGGCGAGGATGGAAGTGATAGGGTCCCGGAGCCTGGTGTAGGAGAGGACACGACTGGAGAGTTCTGGATGATCTGCAGCCTGTGGAGGTTAGGAGGTGGGGAGGCCGACAATCAGGGAGTTTGCGTAGTTGAGCCTGGATATGATGAACATGTGGATGAGGGTCTCGGCGGCCTGCAGTGAGAGACAGGGGCGGAGGTGGGGAAAAGCAGAACGGGTCATGGCACGGATGTGCGTGATGAAAGACAATTGAGGGTTGAACAGGACGCCGAAGTTCTGTATTGGCTCTGAGGTGTAGACCAGATCCATGACGGGTGATGCTGTCAGCGCCCAAAATATGGAAGCACTGAAGGGGAGCCAAGCAGGAGGGCCTTGGTCTTGTTGACATTCTGTTGACGGAAGTGGTCCTGGAATCAAGAATGGAGGCAGAGAGATAGAATTGGGTGTGATTCTTGCGACGGTTCTCACACCTAATGTAAACCGACAAAGTGTTTCCCGCGTAGTGAACTAGATGGCCTCTGTGTTCGATCCTTCTCTGTGAGTGCAAGTTCCCTATTCTAAAGTGTAAATTCACTAACTATTAACGAGAGTCAACACGACGACAGGTACTGCCAGTGCTTTATAATTATAGCAAAGGAAAGCTTCTGTCAGAGTCCTTCGCAGACTGACTGGAGTGGGCTCAACCTGTGTATGTAAATCTTCTCCCTTCTGATTTATACAGAGACTGCCTTACTCTATGTTAAATCTGAAAAGGTTTGCAACATTGAATAGTAATCCCGAACGCACTATACTATACTAGCAGCCTTTTAACACATTTTTTTCTGTTGTTAACTATCTTGACCCAGAGTGTATGAGAGATAACTTTCTAGAGCAGCATGCCAAGGAACCAACTAGGGGACAGGCCATCCTAGACCTTGTTTTGTGTAACGAAACAGGACTAGTTGGCAGTGTGGGTATTAAGAATCCTCTAGGGCAGAGTGATCCAAATATGATCGAATTCTGCATTAAGTTAGAGAGGGATATAGTTAAATCCGAGGCAAGTATTCTGAATTTAAATAGGGCTAATTTTGTAGGTATGAGGAAAGATTTAGGTAAAATAGACTGGAGAATAAGATTAAGAGGTAAAAATGTAGACCAATAGTGGCAAATATTTAAGGATGTAGTGCAAAATTCTCAGCGGTCGCATATTGTGGAGTCCTGTAGCTCAGTGGTTAGAGCACTCGCTTTGCAAGTGAGAGACCTGAGTTCAATTCCAGACAGGGCGAAACCTTGGGCAAGTTTCCTTACTCCACACGCCTAATAATAATCCCTCCAAAATCCAAAAACAATAATAAATTGGTCATTTTCAATCTACGACTGTTTGTGGGACATTGCTGTGCGCAATTGGCTGCCGCGTTCGCCCACAAATATACAGTCAATTCACTTTACAGTCTATTCTGTGAAGCGCTTTGGGACGTCCTCCCGACGTGAAAAGCGCTATATCAAATGCAAGGATTATTATTATTATTATTATTATATTCCGTTGCGGAATAAGAGTACCACAGGGAAAGCAATTTGTCTGTGGCTAACTAGAGCAGTTAGGGAAAGCATCAAATTAATAGAAAAGCGGCAAATCTGAAGATTGGGAGAGTTTTAGAAACCAGCAAAATAAAACTAAAAAACTCATTAAGAGTCAGAAAAAGGAGTATGAGGGTAAGCTAGCGAGGAACATTAAGTCTGATTGTAAAAGGTTTTACAAATATATTAAGAGGAATAGGCTAGTGAGGGTAAATGTAGGTCCACTTCAGTCAGAGACAGGAGAAGTTGTAATGGGGGACAAGGACATGGCAGAGTCCCTAAATGGGTACTTTGCATCTGTCTTCACCCGAGAAGACACAACAAGACTGCCAACAATAGAGATGCACCAAGGGGATAAGGACAGGGAGCAACATAGGGAAATTTTCTTTGTAGAGAATTGGTGCTCGGGAAACTGTTAGCACTAAAAAGTGACAAATCCCCTGGTCCGGATGGCTTGCATCCCAGGGTTTTAAAAGAGGGAGCTCATGAGATAGTGGAGGCCTTGTGTCTGATCTTCCAAAATTCCTTGGATTCTGGAACAGTCCCCATGGATTGGAAGATCGCAAATGTCACACCACTATTTAAAAAAGGTGGAAAGGAAAAGATGGGGAACTATAGGCCAGTTAGTCTCACATCAATCATAGGAAAATTTTAGAATTGTTGATTAAGGATCTGGTAGTGCGGTATTTAGGGGAACACAATATAATTAGGCCAAGTCAACATGGCTTTACAAAAGGGAAGTCATGTTTGACAAATCTTACAAAGTTTTTTGAGGATATTTTCAGTAAACTAGATAAGGGTGAATCAGTGTATGTAGTCTATTTGGACTTCCAGAAGGCATTTGATAAGGTATCGCATAGAAGGTTAGTCCAAAAGATAAGGGCCCATGGAATTGGGGGGAGCATATTAACGTGGATTGGGGAATGGTTAACGGGTAGGAAACAAAGAGTAGGGGTAAACGGGTCCTTTTCAGATTGACGGGATGTGACTAGTGGAGTGCCACAAGGATCAGTCCTTGGGCCTCAGCTATTTACCATCTACATCAATGATCTAGATGAGGACATCGAAGTTAATATATCTAAATTCGCGGATGACACAAAACTAAGAGGAAGTGTCAACACAGAGGACGACATTAAAAATTAAGGTACAGCAAAGAAGGCAAGATTCTGGTGGGAGTTGTCTACCACACCTACCCTCCTCGATCTTTCTTCTCCACAACTCCCTCTCCTCCATCCTTGACTCCTTTGCCCGCCTCATGTCATGAACCGCCTCCTACTCCTGTAAATCCCCCAGATACACCAGCCGCCTCCGATCCCTCAAGGCAAAAGTTTCCTAGGAAAATTGTACTCCTTATACCCAGGTCATTTATATAGATCCAAAACAGCAGTGGTCCCAATACTGACCCCTGGGGGACACCACTGCACACTTCCCTCCCGTCAGAAAAACACCTGTTCATCACCACTCTCTGCTTTCTGTCTCACTCTTATGTGCTGGAGTGTCTCTGACTCGCACTCCAACTCAAAGACTGACTCTGAGTGACTCAAGACATAGGCATTTCCCACAGATTTGATTATCTGAGACAGTCTCACTAACCACAAATTCCACATTCTGCAGTCTCGACACAGTGTGCCTGTGCTGCCATTTGTTAGAGAGCACTAATTTATTTACCTTTCCATTTGTTTATTATTTATTACTTGTTTATACCTTCATCACTTCCAGGCTCAACTACGCAAACACCCTGCTTGTCGGCCTTCCCAACTCCTCCCTCCACAGGCTGAAGATAATCCAGAACTCTGCAGCCGTTGTCCTCTCCCACACCAAAGTCCTCTACTCCATCTTCTCCTTTACCTTCCTTGCCCTGCCTCCCACCTCGCTGTTAGCCCTTAAAAGCCTCTCCCTCCCAACATGCCCAAGTTCTGATGAAGGGTCGTGGACCCGAAACGTTGACTCACTTTCCTTTCTCCATAGATGCTGCCTGACCTGCTGAGTGTTCCCAGTGACTTCTGTTTTTGTTTCCAGATTTCCAGCATCTGCAGTATTTTGGGTTTATTTAAAATGAAATAGTCTGGGGATGGCTACAACTAATGATCTGATTGGGCAACCATTGATATTTGTTCCAAGACCTTTGAAAACCCTATGTACCTTATGTGATGGTGAACACAGACAACCAAAACTCAGTGGGCTTGCAACTAGTACTGCATTTCCATGAATGCATACATTAATGGGCTACTAATGTGTGTCATACCGCTCCACACTTGATACTGCGGAAAAGGGTGGAAGCAATTCACTGCAATGAAAGTGTGTGCGTGTAGGATGCATTCCAGAATACTGTTAAAATCGACTTGTATTTGCACAGCACCCTTCATGCAAGGACAGTGTCTTGAAGCGCAAACACAATTCACCACTGAATTTCTTTATATTTCATGCTCCCTCTACACTTCAAAAGAAATCGGCGGCTTTTGGTAGAGTAACTATGTGAAGTCCTATGGCTTTCCATTGTCAAATTAGGATGTCACCTCATTTTAAAAGAAAAGTCCATGAGGTTGACTAGATATGATCCACCCCTTACAAATCCCACTGCTATTTATTATTTCCATTTTGCTTCTAATAATTTATTCCACATTTTTCAAATATTACGGTCAGGTTGATGACTTTATCTTTGCTGGGTATGAATGAGACAGAGCTGATGGAATACACCGGGGGAAACAGACTGATGGACAACAAATGAACTCTGCACCATTCTTACAAACTATTTGCTGTCACTTCAGACCAGCACAATGTACAAACCAGTTGACAAGACAATTGTCTTAATGGAACTATTATTGCCAGGATGATTTCAATCAGTTTATTAAAATTTCATCAAACAGGGTGGTCGAATTCCCATGCTGTATGAGGCTGTACTGATGAGGAGGGTCTTGATGGTCTGGGCTTCTGCCTTTAATATATATTTATATAATAAATAATCCTTGCATTTAATATGGCGCCTTTTTACATTGTCGAGATGTCTCGAAGCGCTTCACAGGAATTATTGTAAAGTCAAGGGATGACTGTCTTTTGTGGGCAAAAGGCAGCAACCAGTTTGCTCACAGCAATATCCCACAAACAGCATACATCAACAGCAACAACTTGGATTAATATAGCGCCCTCTACGCCGGACGGCGTCTCAGCATAGGTGAGGGACTAATTTTATTTGGGGTATTGTTGGCAAGGACACCGCGAGAGAGAAACACCCTTTTTTGAATAGTGCCAAGGGATCCTTAACGTATACTTGAACAGGCAGATAGGACCTCAGTTTCATTCGAAGGACGGCATCTCTAACAATGCAGGTATTGGATTGTCAGCTTAGACTCTTTGATTGATTTGGAGTCCTGACTTTTCAATCAAGGTGATTATATTCACCCATAAAACTCTATGGTATATCCTGTGAAGGGTTTTGTGATGTCCTCTTGACGTGAAAGACGCTGTATATATCAAATGCAAGCATTATTATAATTGTTGTGGACTGATCTCTGAAGGACAGTTTTCAGGATTGCAGGGATCAGAGACAGTAATGAAGCTATTCTTCTTCATGACCATTAGTTTCATAGTACAATGATGAACAAATTTAGGTGAGGCTGATCATTTTTATCTATGGAGCATTATTAGCTGGGTCTAGATATTGGAGGAGAATGAACACTATTAAGCGGTGATTAATTGAATTCCTTAATTAATAAATGGAGAGTGGATACTCAGTTCGATCGCGAGCAAGCCTTGCAGACCCACTGAAATGTGGTGGTCTCAGTCGACTGGTTCCTGACACAGGCAGGTCCACTGTATTCCACAAAGCTCTCGCGTAATGCTCTTTGGAATTGGTCCGTATTACACCTGCATGTTTAAAACTAATAATGCCAATGGGTTGATTTAACATGGAACAACAATGCCCTTGTTTTTAAGGTATTGGTGATTGGATTGAAGCCCTCTCTTAAAGTCTGGCTGACATTTCCATATGGAAAGGTAAGTGCATTATACGCTGACATAAAACATCCACCTGAACGTGGATGTGTTTTTTGTCTTTTCTGCAACGGAGACCTGTCTCAAATAAGGGCAGGAATGGAAGCTGAATATTTCTGCCTACAATGTATCTAGGAGGGACAGGGAAGGAAAAAATGGAGGGCTGGGAGTTGGCAATATTGATTAAAGACATGGTTACGGCCCTGGAAAGGGATGATGTGCTAGAAGGTCCTGAAACAGAATCTATTTAGAGTTAAGGAGCAGAAAAAGAGCTGTTACTCTTTTGGTGTATACTATAGACCATCAAATAGTGGGAAAGAGATAAAGGAGCAAATCTGCAAGCAAATTTCAGAAAGATGCAAAACCAATAGAGTAGTGATAATGGGAGACTTCAATTATTCATAGACTGGCAAAATGACAGTTTAAAGGGCAAGGAGGGGGAAGGATTCCTGAAATGTATGCAGGATAACTTTCTGGATCAGTATGTTTCCAGCCCAACGAGGAAGGAAGCAGTGCTGGATCTAGTTCTGGGGAATCAAGTTCTGAATCTAGTTCTGGGTAAGTGGAGCAGGTTTCAGTAGGAGAGCATCTGGACACCAGTGATCACAACATTGTTAGGTTTAGAGTACTTATGGAAAGGGCCAAGGAACAATCAAAGATGACGATACTCAACTGGAAGAGGGATAATTTCAGTGAGTTAAAAAGGAACCTAGCCAAGGTGGACTGGAAAGAAAGATTGGCAGGTAAAACAGCTTTCAAGGAGGAGATAGTTCGGGAACAGAACAAATACATTCCCACAGAAGAGTAAAATGTTAGTCAAAGGTAGGGTGGGGCCAATTAGGGACCAAAAAGGAAATGGCATCAGAGAGCATGGCTGACGTACTGAATGAGTACTTTGCATCTGTCTTCACAAAAGAAGAGGATACAGCCAATGCCGGAATATCACAAAAGGTAGAGAAATTGGATACGATAAGAATAAACAGAGACAAGGTACTAGGAAGGTTGACAGTGCTCAAGGTAGATAAGTCACCCGGTACGGACGGGATACATCCTAGGTTAATAAGGGAAGTAAGAGTGGAAATAACGGAGGCTCTGGCCGCAACGTTTCAATCCTCCTTGGACAACAAGGTTGTGCCGAGGGACTGGAGGGTTGCCCTGTACAAAATGAGCAGCAGGATAATTCCGGGAACTGCAGGCCAGTCAGCCTAATGTCAGTAGTGGGGAAACTTCTAGAGACTGTAATCCGGGACAAAATTAACTTTCACTTAGAAAAATATGGGTTAATAAAGGACAGTCAACACAGATTTGTTAAAGGCAAATCATGTCTTAACAAACCTGATGTTTTTTTGACGAAGTATCGGAGCTGATGGGTGAAAGTAGTGCAGTTGATGTAGTTTTATTTTCAAAAGGCGTTTGATGAAGTGCCACGTAAGAGACTTGTAAGCAAAATAGAAGCCCATGGTATTAAAGAGACAGTGACAGCATGGAGACAGAACTGGTTGTGAGACAGATAGCAGAGCGTGGTGGTGAACAATTGTTTTTTCTGAGTGGAGGGAAGTCTGCAGTGGTGTCCCCCAGGGGTCAGTATTAGGACCACTACGTTTTTTTGATCTATATAAATAACCTGGACTTGGGTATAGGGAGTACAATTTCCAAGCTTGCAGATGATACTAAGCTAGGAAAAGTAGTAAATAGTGAGGAGGATAGTAGCAAGAGGACATAAACAGACTGGTAAAATGGGCAGACATGTGGCAGATGAAGTTTAATGTGGAGAAATGTGAAGTGATGAGGATGAGGGAGGGAGAATGAGGAGAGGCAATATAAGCTGATGGTACAATCTTAAAGGGGGTGAAGGAACAGAGAGACCTGGGGGTTCATATAAGTACATCTTTGAAGGGGCAGGACAGGTAGATAAAGCTGTTAAAAAAAGCATACGGATACTTGGCTTTATAAATAGGGGCATAGAATACAAATGTCAGGAAGTTATGATGAATGTTTATAAAACACTGTTTAGGCCTCAGCTAGAGACTGTTCAGTTCTGGACATCACACTTTAGGGAGGATGTCAAGGCATTTGGAGATTTACCAGGTTGGTACCAGGAATGAGGAGTTCAGTTATGAGGAGAGGATAGAGAAGCTAGGATTATTCTCCTTGTCGCAGAGAAGGTTAAGAGGAGAGTTAATAGATCAACAACAACAAAATTATATTTGTATAGCGCCTTTCACGTCAGGAGGACATCTCAAGGCGCTGAACAGTCAGTGTTTCGGCCCCGAACTGGGGCTCGTGATTGGGGATGGTTGAGGGCAGGGGGGGGAAGCAGGGTAATCAAAAGCATGGTCAAAGAGTAGGGTCTTGAGTTGGGTCTTGTAGGAAGCAAGTGAGAGGGCCAGATGGAGAGACTATGGGATGGAGTTCAAGAGGGTGGAGTTAGAGTGGCAGAAGGCCTGCTCGCCAATGGTGGGACGGGCGAGGCGGGGGATGTGAAGGAGGCTGAGCAGATGGAGCGGGCAGGATGGTAGGGGTTTGGGAGGTCGCAGAGAAGTTTTCAAAATTATGACTGGATTCAATAGGGTGAACAAGCAGAAACTTTCCACTGGCGGGTTGGTTGGTAACCCGAGGACACTGATTTAAAATAGTTGTTAAAAGAAACAGAGGGGAGATGAGGAGAAATGTTTTCACACAGTGAGTTATTTGGATCTGGAATGCATTGCCTGAAAGGGTGATGGAAGCCGATTCAACAACAGCTTTTAAGAGAGAAGTTGATAATTATTTGGGGACGACGAGTTTGCAGGGTTTTGGGGAGAGAGTGGGGGAGTGGGATTGATTTGGATAGCTCTTTTCAAAGAGCCGACACAGACACAATGGGCCAAATGGCCTCCTTCTGTGCTGTATAATTCTATGATTCTAATTGTGTGTCGCTGCACCACGATTAGAGGAGCAGGAGGCTTGCTCTCCAGACTCTCTACCAGTGTTTGGAGGTACATGAGAACCTTGCAGGGAATGGTGTCCCCTTTTTGCTGTCTCTTCCTCCCTTTCTATAACTCTGGTCAGGAACCAATCCACAGCTGTTCGAGGGACAGTGCTGTGCGCAATTGGCTGCCACGTTTCACCTACAGTCAGTTCACTTTTCAGGACATTCTGTGAAAGCGCTTTGAGACGTTTCAATGACATGACAAAGTTATAATTATCACTTCACAAACCACATTGTTTGCCCCAATATTTTAATTCTGCTGTAGTCCAAGTATCTCATTCTTTTTGATGTGAAACAAATGGCATAAAATTGGCTCTCTGTTTTGCCAGTATAATAACAATATAATAATCCTTGCATTTGATATAGCACCTTGCCGTATCAAAGCGCCTTACAGAATTTTACTGTAAATTGCAGTAACTATTTGTAGGTGAACACAGCAGCCTGTGAAACACCAATGTTCGACAAACAGCCATGAAAGGAATGACCAATTCTATCTCCGGGATTCTTGGCCAGGAGAAACTCCCTTCTCTTTACCAATAATGCCTTGGGATCTTTATCGTCCACCTGAACAGGAAGGTGGAACCTTGGTTTAAGCGCCTCCTCTGATGGACTGCATGATGATAATGCAGAAATCCCCACCCCCGCACTGCACTGGAGTGTCACCATAGACTGTGAGTTCAAAGTCCCAACGTCGGGCTTGAACTCATAAGCTGCTGACTCAGAGGTGACAGTGCTCCACACTATATGTACATGTTCGAGTTATGGGTGCTTCAGATTTCAGACAAAGTAATAGTGCTCTTGTGCGGCCAATTCAATCAGTCCAGCTCAGCCAAGGGGATATTATTCAATTACCCAAATGGATTAAAAACAATGAAAAGTATTTTTGTTTGCTAGGCTCAGTTAGTAGTACTTTTGTCTTTGAGTCAGAGGATATGAGTCCAAGATACACATCAGGAATTGAGCTCACGGCTTAGGTTAATAGTCTAGTTGAAGACTGGAGAGTGCTGCATTGTCATGGATGCCATTCTTCGGTTGCAAAGTTAAACTGAGTCGCTATCTGCCTGATCGCAGTGGATGTGTAAAGATCTCATGACTTTATTTGAAAAGAGAAGGGAGTTTCTCCTAGTGTCCTGCCCAACATATCTTTACATTAATTTGTTATTTATTTTATGGCATTTGTGGGACCATGCTGGTTGCAAAATGGTCTGCCACATTTACCTATAATATAAGGCATTGCACTTAGGAAGAGTTACTGGGAAGTACTTTGCGATGCTTTGATATATAAGGTTCCATAAAAATTCTAGTTTTTTTTATTCCTTCTCTCTTACCTCTTACCCCTCCCCCCCTGCTTTTTTCTTCTCTATTTCTTTCTTTCTCTTGTTTTTGCCCTTTTCCCAGGTTCAGGTTCACTTAATGTTGCTTCCACAATGTGAACAGTGTGATACAGAATTGTAAGCACATCCCTCAGATGACTTCCAGCCCACAGCAACCAATACCTCCTCCGCATCGCAGAATCTTAAGATAATAATCCAACACTAACTAATGTTGATTTTGAGTGCAGAAACAACAGGTTATGTGGTATAAACAAACTGTACCCTGCAGGCAGCAGGCTTCCAAACCCCAGTAAAAATATGTGGAACCTCACAACTTCACAGCCTTCACATATCTTCACTTCCTATGTTAGTAAACTGTGACACATTGGGAACTGTTTTCTTATTGCAAAATGTTGTAGTTCTGTCAATTCTGCCTTATTAATGTTGGACACTTGTTTTTCTTCTTTATTCTCGATGGTCCCAGACAAATCCAGCAAGCGTTCCCCTTTTATCCTGGCATTTCATTGCAGTGCAGAACGCAGTGACTCCCATGCTCGCCTTTTGTAGAGGAGGCACCATCCACTTTCTTCTGGTATGATGCCTGCAATTAATGATTTAAGGATTTACGTGAAGTGCTTTTATTAAATTAATTAATATTAAATTATTATTAAATGTATTAAATTAAGCATGTATCTTAATTGTGTATCACAGTAAAATAAAAGCTTTGATTAATGAGATGTTTCTTGTATGTGACACATAACAACAACAACTACTTTGATTTATATAGCGCCCTCCATGCCAGATGCCGTCTCAGTGCGCTTCACAGTAATGGACCGAGCCAGGACACATCTAGCCTTTCACTACAGAACTATGGGATTAAGTTTAAGATACCCTTCCAAAGCCCTTGATGGTTTTGACTTGGGACATCCTCCCGACATGAAAGGTGCTATATAAATACAGTGTGTTGTTGTTGGAGGCTAGAATGTAGAACTGAATCGATGGGATAAGATCTGTTGCCTGTAAGGTTTCTTTGTGAAATCTGAATCAAGTTACCGAAAAGCGATCCGCCAATCGACTAACAACCAGGATTGACATTCCGGCAGAGTGGAGCAATGAATGGCTGGTGTAGTGAATGAAAAATATCACACTAGCACTTGACCTTGGGGCAGAGTAGAGAAAGCTTTATTCTGGATTTAACTGACTTCAGAAGAAAGGCCTTCAGCTCATTTGATCTTATCCTCCCAATAATATTTTATTGTGGAGTCCTGTAGCTCAGTGGTCAGAACAGTCACCTTGCAAGCGAGACACCTGGGTTCAATTCCAGGCAGAGGGCGAAACCTTGGGCAAGTTTCCTTACTCCACACATCTAATAATAATCCCTCCAAAACAAAACAATAATAAATTGGTCATTTTCAATTCACGACTGTTTGTGGGACATTGCTGTGCGCAATTGGCTGCTGCGTTTCGCCCACAAATATACAGTCAATTCACTTTACAGCAAATTCTGTGAAGCGCTTTGAGACGTCTAGAAGACGTGAATCGCGCTATATCAAATGCAAGGATTATTATATTTATTATTTTCATAAAACTGAATGTGGTACCTGCTTACCAGTCAATTGTTTATTTCAGCTTTAAATGAGACTCAAAGGAAAGGCCTTGTTAGCTCTCACATTCCTGATTACTGCCAGCACAAAACCAATCTAAACTGAGTGATAATTAAATAAACTGGGCAGAATTTGAACAAAATAGTTTCCTATCAGCTTGACATTCATCAGTTTGTCTTGTCTTGGAATATGCCACCACCAGTTTTATTCTGGTTTGAACCTGGGAATAAATTTAATTCTCGCAGTTGTTTTGGCTATAAATTAGAACCACTTTTAATTGAAGCCTGTAGCACCAATGTACATCTAATTCATCTTGGAAGGTGAAATCTTTAGGGTTTCCATTTTGTATTCTCCATGTGCTTCTGCTGAATATCTTTATCAATGTTGTGTTACACATTCATGTATAGTAACAATAAAAATGCTTTGTGCTTCTGTCCATTGATTAAAGGTAAAGAAGGATGAATCTGGAGCTGTACACGTGAGCAAACAGAAACAACTGCATCTGAGCTATGAACTGATCAATTTAACGGTTTGTTTTGATTTCAAAGTTTGTGTGTGATTATGTACTTAATAATAATCCTTATATTTGGTAAAATTTGCCTTTGACAACGTACGACGTCCCAAAGTGCTTCATAGGATATATTGTAAAGTGCATTGTCCTTGTTTTGTAGGCTAACATGCATGTCTGTGAAAACACGCTGGGTGCTAGATTTCTCTATTCAGTGTTGGCATAAGTAGAAATGCAAGTTGTTGTTGCATAATATAGCAGGCATTTCTTTGCAGCTCTGTGAAACCAAACACTGCATTATATATTCTTTCATATTAAAATTGTTGTTTGATAACAACAACTTGCATTTATTTGGCAAGGATTACAAGGATTAATATTATGTCAAAGGGCTTGATGAATGTAGTGGTGGACACTAAGCAGAGGAATGAGAGATTTAAAGATGACCACTAAATAGTTGACGAGATGTTTTCTGAAGGTTTTTCAAGCAAATGGAGAAAGCTAGCAAAAGTCGCCAGCTAATAGTGTCAGCCTGGCGCTGTGGTAGCACGCTCGCATCTGAGTCAGAAGTTGTGGGTTCAAACCCCACGCTGGGGCTTGAAATCACATAGTCTAAACTGATACTCCAATGCAGTTCTGGGGGGGGGAGTTACATTGTCAGAGATAACATCCTTTGGATGAGACATTAAAAGATGTCCCTTCTCTCCTCTGTATTGCCTTGAGCAGTCTAACCTCCTCCCATCAACAATGTTTCAAAGTGCTTTGACGTTCCAAAGTGCTTCACAGGATATATTGTAAAGTGCAGTGACTGTTTTATGGGATAATATGCATGTCTGTGACACATACTTGCTGTTAGATTTCTCTGTTCATTATTAGCCTAAGGAGAAATGCAAATTGTTGTTATTGCCTGTTCAGATGGGTGTTAAAGATCCCATCGCACTATTGGAAAAGAAGAGTTTCTCTCTCCAAGTGTGCCATCCAACAATCTCCCAAATAAAGATGATCATTCACTTCATGCCTGCCTGTGGAACATTGCTGGGTGCAAACTGACTGCTGCATTTTGCCCACATAAATACACACAGTCACTCCACTTTACAGTATATCCTGTGAAGCGCTTTGAGATGTCTCAACAAAGTGATTAGGTGCTATATCAATTGCAACTATTATCATTGTGACAGAGAGACGTCTGCCTCTTTGGGGATTACTCATCCTGTTCCGATTTCGGAACCACTGAGTTGGTCAAGCATAGATAGTTTATGTGGAGAGCTGTGAGGACCAGTCTATCCATTGCGCCCCCCACCCCGACAAAAGTGTGGAGTTTGGGGATTTAAGAGCACTTTTCAGTCACAAGAAATACTGTTGCTTTGGATTTCTTAACTAAATTATTAGACATCAAGTCTTTTTCTCTTTAAACAAATTAATTAAAATCCAAAGTATAGTAACCTAGGGTTGATGTAAACTCTTACCCTCGGTGCTTGAATGTTAATCATTTATTCATTGCTTTGTGTTTCTGAGACTTCCACAAAATCATTGTTGCCTTTTCTATTCTAATATTGAAACTAAAATGCGATTCTTAAAAGATGTGAATGTTCTGCAGTCTGTTTAATTCTTATCTTGCTTCTGATACTGACCACCAGATGGCGTTTGAATCCATACACTGAGTGATCAAGAAGCTGATATAGTGCAGGTGAAGCCGAAGGTTGATGAAATCAGCTTTCAGCCTGGATTTAATTTAGCAAGACAGGACACACAAAGTGCATTAGTTCTACATACAGTGTTGGTTGCCATGATATAAGGAGGTTGGAGTGTTCAAAGCAATACAGAGGAGAGCAACAAGGGTTGCAAGCATGGGCTATAAGGAATGATTCAATAGGCTAGGACTCCTCAGCCTTGAAAAGACTCTTCTCCGATGGGACCTCATAGAAGCATAGAAAATGCTAAACGTACAGCAAATTAAATCCAGACAACTACTTCAGATATGCCAAAGGAGCTGGACAAGAGAGCACAGCCTCAGCATTGTGAAGGGCAGTTCCAGGAAATGATGTTGGTCGTAGCCTGATGACCCAGAAATTGCCAGCTTTAGTACTGGGGAAACAAGCCGTCCAAAGTGCTGACCAGTGAACTATAAGGCTGGTTTTATGAACCCCAGCTACTGCATTATAACTGGATTTTGCTGTATGTTGCCATTGCGAGAACTGTCTTACAAGCTTCTTGCTCTTTTTGTCGCTTGGGTGTTTTCTCACTCTGCTTCTGTTAACCCTGCAAGCCAATCCATGGTTTGGTTGTATTACTGCATTAGTGCTGCATACAGTTTTGGCTGCCATGATGTGAGGAGGTTAGACTGCTCAAGGCAATGCAGAGGAGAGAAACTAGTGTGATACTCAGTGATTGAGAAAAGAGGAATAGGCTAGCTCTTTTCAGGTTTGAAAAGAGTCTTCTCAGATGAGATCTTATAGAGGAATAGAAATTGCTAAATGCGATAGAAAATTAAATCCTGAGAGCCTAGAAAGCATAGTCTGAGGACGTGGTTGAATAGAATTAGAATCATAGAATTATACAGCACAGAAGGAGGCCATTCGGCTCATCATGTCTATGCCGGATCTTTGAAAAGAGCTATCCAAATCAATCCCATTCCCCCGCTCTCCCCAGAGCCCTGTAAACTTGTCCTCCCCAAATAATTATCTACTTCTCCCTTCCACCACCCTTTCAGGCAATGCATTCCAGATCCAAACAACTTGTTCTTTGAAAACATTTCTCCTCAGCTTCCCTCTGTTTCTTTTAATAACTATTTTAAATCGGTGTCCTCGGGTTACTGACCCACCTGCCTTGTTCAATAGTTTCTCCTTGTTCACCATTCGAATCCCCTCATAATTATGAAAACTTCTATTAGGTCTCCTCTTAACCTTCTCTGCTCCAAGGAGAATAATCCTAGCTTCTCAAGCCTCTCCTCAGTCTCTCATTCCTGGTACCATCCTAGTAAATCTCCTTTGCACCCTCTCCAATGCCTTGACATCCTTCCTAAAGTGTGGTGCCCAGAACTGAACACAGTCTCTGGCTGAGGCCTCAGTGTTTTATAAAGGTTCATCATAACCTCCTGACTTTTGTATTCTATGCCCCTATTTATAAAGCCTAATATCCCGTGTGCTTTTCTAACAGCTTTATCTACCTGTCCTGCCACCTTCAAAGATTTACTTATATGAACCCCCAGGTCTCTCTGTTCCTTCACCCCCTTTAAGATTGTACCATCAGCTTATATTGCCTTTCCTCATTCTTCCTCCCAAAGTGCTTCACTTCGCATTTCTCCACATTAAATTTCATCTGCCACCTGTCTGCCCATTTTACTAGTCTGTCTATGTCCTCTTGCAGTCTGCTACTATCCTCCTCACCGTTTACTGCTCTTCCTAGCTCAGTATCATCTGTAAACATGGAAATTGTACTCTCTATACCCAAGTCCAGGTTATTTATATAGATCAAAAAGAGCAGTAGTCCCAATACTAACTCCTGGGGGACACCACTGCAGACTTCCCTCCAGTCAGAAAAACAACCGTTCATCACTACTCTCTGCTTTCTGTCTCCCGGCCAGGTCTGTATCGATGCTGCCACTGTCCCTTTAATACTGTGGACTTTTGCTTACAAGTCTCTTATGTGGCACTTCATCAAACGGCTTTTGAAAATCCATATAACTACATAACTTCATCCACCCTCTCCGTTACTTCATCAAAAAACTATCTGGTTTGTTAGACATGATTTACCTTTAACAAATTCGTGTTGGCTGTCCTTTATTAACCCATATTTTTCTAAGTGAAAATTTATTTTGTCCCAGATTATAGCCCCCCAATGGGTTATTAGGGTTAATGTTACAACGGTATAACTGCCCTGAGAGTGCTGCAGTCAGGGTAGATATGTGTGCACATCTATTAGTGGAATACATGGGGGTGGAGGAAAAATCAAAGTTTGAGATTGAAGATCAATTTGTTGTACTTAACAACAATTAAGTACAACAATTAAGTACGCGAACGCGGCAGCCAATTGCGCACAGCAATGTCCCACAAACAGTTGTAGATTGAAAATGACCAATTTATTATTGTTTTTGGTTTTGGAGGGATTATTATTAGGTGTGTGGAGTAAGGAAACTTGCCCAAAGTTTCGCCCTGACCTGCCTGGAATTGAACTCAGGTCTCTCACTTGCAAAGCGAGTGCTCTAACCACTGAGCTACAGGACTCCACTGAATGTCCTGTAGCTACTGAATGAAGGAATAGAGAGTTCTATATCCAAATTTGCAGTTGACACAAAGTTAGGAGGTACAGTAAATTGTGTAGATGGGATCAGGAAGTTACAAAAGGACTTAGACAAATTACGAGTGGGCAAAACTGACATGGAATTCAATGTGGGGAAGTGTGAGGTCATCCAAAATGAATCCAAACATAGCAACATAATATTTTTGAAATGGTGAAAATGCAAAGGGATTTGGGTGTCCATGTACACAAATCACTAAAAACAAGCTCACAGTCACAAAAAGTTATCAAGAAGGTGAATGGGATGTTGGCCTTTATCTCAAGGGGGCTGGAATATAAAGGAGAGAAAATTATACATCAACTATATAGAACCTTGGTCAGACCTCCATCTGGAGTTCAGTTTTGGGAATCGCACCTCAAGAAGGATATATTGGCTCTGGAGGGAATGCAGTACAGATTCACCAGAATGAATTATGAGGACAGGTTGCATAAACTTGGTCTCCATTCCATTGAATTTCAAAATTTTGAGGGTGATCTGATTGAGGTTTTTAAAGTAAAGGGATTAGATAGGGTAAATACAGATGAATTATTTCCTTTGGCAGGGGAATCCAGAAGAAGATCCATAATCTTAAAATTAGAGCTAGGCTATTTAGGAGTGAAATTAGGTGTCAGTTTTTCACTCAAAGGGTTGTGGAAATCTGATACTTTCCCCCAGAAGGCTGTGGATGCTGGATCCATTTACATTTTCAAAATATATTTGTTAGGTCAGGATATTAATGAATACAGGGCAAGGGTGGGTAATTGGACTTGAGATACAGATCAGGCATGATATTATAGAATGGTGGAACAGGCTAGAGGGGCTGAATGTCCTACTCCTGTATCTATGTTCGGGGGCCACAAAAGCAATGTTTTTGTGTTTCCCTTCCAGAAGCATAGCAACATTTTTACATCACCTTTTTTATGCCAGAAGGACATCTTAAAGCGCTCTACACTGCTGGCTGCGCACCTGAGCTGAGGGTGGGAACCTAGGCAGATGGGATCGGGAGGAGAAAAGATGACTGAAAGCATGGTCAAAGAATTAGGTCTTGACATGCCTTGAAAGGGGAGGGGGGGAGTCGGAGGGACTTCAGAAATGGAACTCTAGAGATTGGGGTCAAAATGGTGATGATTGGGCAGATCGGGACGGGGGACTTGAAGCAACCCAGTGTTTGCTAGGCAAAGGAAACAGCCTGGTTGGGATGGGGGTGGGGTAGGGATGATCGATGTGGAGGAGTTTCTCATTGGCGGAAAAAGGGAGCTTTCTGTGAGGAAACTGCCTTCGCCTTTCTCTCTTTCTCTCAATCTATGTTTCTCTCTCTTACCCCTCTCCCTCATGCTCACTCTCTCTCAATCACTCCTCTCCCCTCTCTCAATCATTCTCTCCCCTCCCTCTCTCTTATGCACTCTCACGCACTCTCTCTCACTGTCTCTCATGTACTCTCACATCCTCTCTGCCACACTCTCTGTCACCCCTCTTTCAATGACTCATTGCCCCACTCACACATTGTCTCTCCATCTCAATTACATTCTCTCACTCCCCCTCTCCCACTCTCTCTCTCCCCTCTCTCAATTACTCTCTCCCTGGTGGGAAAAGCCTGGGTGAATTCTGTGAAAATCTTTCTGAGTCTCTCTCTCTATATCTCTCTCTCTGAGACTATCTCTTGCATTTTCTTTCTCTTTCTCCTCACTCTGTCTCTCTGAGTGACTCCTCATTTTATCTCACTCTCTGTCTCTCTCTCACACTGAATTTCGTGCTATTCTGGGTGTCTTAATTTTTTGTTTGTTTCAGCAACTTTTTCTACGAATACTGTACAGATTTATTGCAGACTTGTGGGCAAATTTATGTAGGCATTGTTTTCCTAGTAACTAGGCAATCAGCCTACACAATACCAGAAAGTGATTCAATTGCACCATTCCAACACCAATAAGTCCATCAATGTGTTTTTCCATATATCAAACTGGACAGAAAGTTGTATTTTTACAAATTGACTTTTACCAAAAAAGAGTGGGAATCTGACTTTAATGATCCTTGTGGATGAACTTGCAGACTGTTCAACTCTGCTGAGTGGAGACAATTGATCAGCAATTTCTTCTTAAATTGTCCACAGTGGATCAATTCTCGGACGTTAGCTCTTCTGGATAGTGCAGAGAAGTTGCACGTGGTGGATCGTCACAGTCAGGAGGAGCTGGAGATGGTGGACATGGCAGAAGTTCAGCTTGTCTACAACAGCAGCCACTTCAAGTCTCTGGCTACTGGTGGGAATGTCAGCCAGGCTCTGGTAAGTGCTCAGGAAATCCAGGCTGTCTGAATTCTGAAGGAAACGTCACTGACCGACATATTCACACTGGAGAAGAGAAGGTTGTGGGACAATATGATTACGGTCTTTAAGATTCTGAAAGGACTAGATAATGTAGACCATGTTTTATCTTGTACTGAACAGTAGAGCCAGAGGATATGGCCTGCGATTCAAGGGGGGTAAATTCAGCACAAATCTGCAGACCCGCTACTTCAGTGGTAAATTAATGGAACAGGATGGTGGAAGCAGAAAGTGTTGTTTGTTTCAAGAACATATTAGATAGATTTCTGCTAGAAAATAATATCTCGGGATACAGTATATAGTTTGGGACACAATATGTCAGGCGACTGCCAGGATGGTAGAAGGATGGACCTTGGTCTTCTTTCGCCTAGCAAATTCTAATGTTCTTATAACCTAAGGCACTTTGACCCATTTGAGCTCAAATCTTTCAGAATAAAACCTGAAAGGAAGCGGGCCAAAAGGTCTTATGTTAGCTGTACTTGAGATTAATATTTTCCATAGACGCTTGTTGTGAAACCCTGCCATAAAATCCCCAAATGACTGTTTTTGCAGAATTTTGTGAATTGGACAGCACTGCAGGAACACACTGTGCATTGATTGAATCTCTGTAATTTGTAACTATATATTTTAAGAGGCTGCAAGTTGTCAAAAGCTTTTAATTGATTTTTACCATTTTAGGACGAAACGTTAACGGCATGTTGCATGTTAAATGGTAGAGCTGAGGAAGATTCTGTTTTTTCAAATGAATAATGATAATGTAATAATGATTGCAGTTCATATAGCATATTTTGTGTTGGGAGGATATTGCAAAGCGCTTCAAAGAATTTACAGTAAAATGCAGTTATTGTGTATTATAGACAAATGTGGCTTCCAGTTTACACGTAGCAATGTTCCACAAACAGCCATGAAGCGAATGACCAATTTTATCTGGAGCATTGCTGGCCAGGGAGAAACCATTCTCTTTTGAGCAGTGCCATCTTCAATTTCCACCTGAACAGGCATATGGGACATTGGTTCAATGCCTCATGTGTAGGATGCAGCTCTAACAATGCAGCGCTCCCCTGCATTGGAATGTCAGCCTGTAGATTCTTAACAGTGCGACAGGTGACATCCGGCTGATCAGGTTCCAATGTGTATTTGAACAATACAATATAAAACTACATTTGTATAAGTGCCTTTCATATTGGGAGGATGTCCCAAGGTGCTGAAAGACTAAAGCCCGAACTGCCGACAGTGGTGCCGTCCAGGCGGGGGTCATGGAGCAGGCCACAGCCTACTGAGCGGAGGGAGCGGACAACAACAACAACTCGGATTTATAAAACACCCTCCACGCCGGACGGCGTCTCAGAGCAATTCACAGTAACGGATCCCGGGGCCGAGCCAGGGGGAGGGGAGGAAGGTGACCAAAGTGCAGTCGAAAAGAAAGGTCTTCAGCAGAGACCTGAAAGTAGGAAGAGAACGGGTGAGGCGAAGGGAGTGAGGAAGGGAGTTCCAGAGCCTTGGGGCACAGTGGCTGAAGGCACGGCTGCCGAGGTTGGAGCGGAGGACTCGGGGGACAAGGAGGAGGCCAGACCTGGAGGAACGAAGGCAACGAGCTCTGTTTTGAGGAGAGAGGAGGTCAGAGAGGTAGGAGTGGAGGGATTTGAAGACAAGGGTGAGGATCTTGAAATCGATTCTCTCTGGGACGGAGCCAGTGCAGTCTGGCGAGGACTGGGGTAATCGGGGAGTTTGGTGCGAGTGAGAATGCGGGTGGCAGAGTTTTGAATAATCTGGATTTTACAGTGGTGATTTCCACTTTGGTAGTGGAGGGGAGACCGGGGAGGAGGGCGTTAGAGTAATCCAGCCGAGAGGTGACAAAGGCATGGACCAGCGTTTCAGTGGCTTTTGGAGTGAGGTATTGGCGGAGACGGGTGATGCGTCGGAGGTGGAAGAAAGCGGTGCTGGTGAGGGACCGGATGTGGGGCAGGAAGGATAATTGGGGGTCGAACCTGAAACTAGGTGGCATACGGGTTCGGAGAGTTTTAGTGGGGAGGTCGGGTAGGTGAAGGAGGTGAGAACCGTGAGAATTTAGACGTTAATGAGAGCCAAAGAGTATGGCTTCCGTCTTGTCAACATTCAGCTGAAGGAAATTTGCGCTCATCCAGCCCCTGAGGTCTGACAGGCAGGTTGACAGAACATCAGGGGACTGGGGGTTGCAAAGAGAGGTGGAAAAATAGAGTTGGGTGTCATCCGCATACATGTGGAAATGTACCTCATGTCTGCAGATGACATCCCCAAGAGGGAGCATGCAAATCAGAAAGAGGAAGGGGGCCAAGGATGGATCCTTGGGGTACTCCGCAGGTGACCGGGTGAGAGCGGGAGGAGAAGCCATTTGTTCAGATGTACTGCTGGCCGTTTGTGAGGTAGGACTCAAACCAGGCGAGTGCGGTCCCACTGAGGTGGATGACGGAGGAAAGGCGGTGGAAGAGGATGGCGTGATTGACTGTGTCGAACGCGGCGGAGCGGTCCAGGAGGACAAGGAGACAGAGGGAGCCCTGGTCACAGATAGAGAGGATGTCATTTGTCACTTTCACAAGCGCAGTCTCTGTACTGTGGGAAGGGCGGAATCTGGACTGGAGGGGTTCGAAGAGGGAGTGGGAGAGGTGTGCACGGAGTTGATTGGCAACAATGTTCTAGGGCTTTTGCGAGGAGGGGCAGGTTAGAAATGGGGTGGTAGTGGCTGGGGTTTGTGGGATCCAAGGAGGGTTTTTTGAGGAGGGGGATGATGACAGCAGTTTTGAGGGAGGCAGGAACTGATCCGGAGGAGAGGGACTGATTGATGATGTCAGCCAGTACTGGCCAGAGGAGGGGGAGCTGCGTGACCAGCAAGTTGGGGAGGGGGTTGAGGCAGCAAGTGGTGGGTTTCATGGTTGATATGGGGTCAGCAGGTTGCAGAGTTTGGGAGGAGCAAGGAGGGCCTCGAAGGCACGGACGAGGATTTGGAACTCTATCAGCTGGGGGATGGGGAGCCAGTGGAGCTGGGTGAAGGTGGGGGTGATGGGGTCCCAGAGCTTGTGCATGAGAGGACACGAGCTGCAGAGTTCTGGATGATCTGCAGCTTGTGGAAGGAAGAGTTGGGAAGGCTGACAAGCAGGAAGTTGGTGAAGTCGAGCCTAGATCTGATGAATGCGTGAATGAGGGTTTCAGCGACGTGAGGGGTGAGGCAGTGGCGGAGACAGACGATGTTTCGGAGGTGGAGGAAGAACAATGCTGACGTGTGACTTGAGTCACTGACAATTGCATAACTGAGCACCTCCTACCTTAAACATGGACTTTCTTCCTAAAGGACCATCATAAATGTGAATATACCTATATTAGATATACAGTGGAAGCTGCTTAAACCGGACACATCGTAGTTGTCCATGTTTCCGTGGTTAACGAGCGTCTGAGGTTAACTGAGTTCTCTTAACTCTTCCCACTCAGTAGAGGAGCGGCGGTGGCCCCTCTTCCTTCCCATTGCTGTTCCCATTGGAAGGGAACCAATAAGCGGCGACTCCAAGGTGATTGACAGCCTGAAGCCACTTGTGAAATGATGGACATTCCAACCATTCATGCATGGCTCTAGCTGTCAATGAATCCTGATTTGACTCCTCCCATTCTCTTCATTGTTTCTTCCCAATTCCTCCGCCCCCTCACTGACAGTCCGAAGCCGCTTGTGGAGGCTGGAGTCCGGTGTCAATCATCACAATTTGACTCCTCTCATCTCCCTCCTGGAGCCGTTCATGGCTGGATGGACCTGCTCGAGACACAGAGTGAGTAGCCACAGCGGCGACCAGCATGGCATTTTGTTTGTATTAACTGTCCAAATTAACCGCTATATTAAAAATAGGTGACAATACGAATGAATTGGGCCAGGGCTTTTGTCCGATTTACCTGCATCTGGGGTTATCCAGCTTCAGTGGTTTCCACTGTATATGTATTATGTACTAGCTGTACCCATTGCAGCTCTGCTTGCAACCAAAGGATCCAATATGGAACGTAGATTGACACAGAGACAGACACTTACTTATCCTTGATAAGTTTTATCTTTGCTTAGGGATCTTTATAATGATAAATATAAATGTATAATCTATCACTGAGACATCCTCCCGAAGTGAAAGGCACTTTAAAAATGTAATTTTGTTGTTCTTGCCGCGGTTTAGCTTCGTCTGTGTTCTTTATTCCTGCCGCTGCTTGGCTACATGCATGCTCTGCAGTCAACTGCAGTGAAAAACGCAAAACTGAAATATATTATAACTTGTGAACGCAAATATGCCGATGTCGATCCCAGATGCAGGACCTTTCCGATGAGGTATAAATCATGTCTCTACGTCAATCGGTTATTGAGATCCTTCTTGAAGCGCACACAAACAGACATTGTCGTTTATTAGTATAGATTCCACACACAGTGGAAGCCGGTTAAGACGGACACATCAGGGCGGCCGTTTCATCCGTCTTAATCAGCGTCTGAGATTAATCGAAACACCAATACCTCTTCCTGCCCAGCAGAGGAGCAGCAGTGACGTTTCCTCACTCCTCCAATTGCCGTTCCCATTGGACGGGAAGGCGACTAATTAGTGTTGTCTCCGAGGTGACTGACAGCCTGAAGCCACTTGTAAATAGTTGGGCGCTCCAATCATTCACAAACGCTCCAGCTGTCAATCAATCACAATTTGACTCCTCCATTCCCTCCCTCCATCCTCCGCCCCTTCACAGATTGGCAGCCCAATTGGAGTCTGCTGTCAATCAATCTTAGATTCTTCCCAATTCTGTCCTGGAAGCCACTCATGGCTGAATGGAGCCACTCGAGACACAGAGTGCACAAGTGAGTATATTCAGCAGCGAACAGCGAGGCATTTTTTCCAGATTAACTGGATTGTTGTACGAATTACCCGGCATAGTTAAAACGTGTATGATTATAAATGAATCGGGGCTGAATGTTTTATCGGCGCCCAGTTAAAGTGGCTTCCAGTGTGGGTGCGTGCGTGCGTGCGTGCACACAAGGTATAGAGAAAGGTAGGCAAATGAGACTGAAAGGACTGTTTTTTAATGGGCTAAATTCTTTTATAGTGTAACTTGCTACACGCTTTAGGTCTGTATGCTTTAGGTTCCGAAGCTAATGTTCAGAATTTTGCATCAGCAAAACCTGTTAACTTATTTAACATCCCTGCTGTTTCCTGTGTATTTATACTCCACATGAGTCACCACCCATTCCTCACTCTCTCCCTACTCTCCTATTCCCCTCTCTTTTCTGTGAATATCTCGGTTCCTCTTAAATGCATCTACATTATCTGGTTCAACCACCGCTTTGGATAGTGAGTTCTGCATTTCTCTGCGTGAAGTAGTTCCTCCTAAATTCTGTTTTAGAACCCCTTGTCACTATCTTATACTTCTGTCCCCTGGTTATGGACTCTACATCGGCCCCTCTAGGGAGCGAGTGCGTATTCCATTCCAGACACAAGGAAGATGTTGCCATGTACAACATGCCTTCCTGTTGTCCTCTTACATTTTAGATGCTTTTTATAGTGAGATTTGACACAAGCAAACCCAGCGAATTGGGATAAGCAATGTTTGGATTTGTATGTGCATGAGTTTCAACTTAACTTTTATTGCTGCAGAAATTAGAAGTTATTTCCAGGAATAATAGGCAGCTGGTCACATCCCTGTGGGATTTTAATCCACTTCTGAATCTGCTGAATGATAAAACAAAGTAGTGAACTGCATTAAAAATGAATTCTCCTAAGTGACCTGAATCCAGATTTCAAAACAACACAATGTGCTCTTTTAATAGTTTTCTCCCTGCTTTCTCCCGTGTTTTCTTATTTCTTATAACTTATTTCTTTTTAAAGACTTGCTTTCCTGTTGTAGCCATTTTGACAAATGCTTAGTTTCCATAGCAAATGAAACATTTTAATTTCCTTTCAGGCAAATCATTGTTTTTCTTCTGTGTGTATTTCATCATAGAATCGTAGAATTATACAGTACAGAATGAGGTCATTCGGCCCATCGTGTCTGTGATGGCTCTTTGAAAAGAGCTATCCAATTCAATCCCACTCCCCCGCTCTCTCCCCATAGCCCTGCAAACTAATCCTCCCCAAATAATTATCTACTTCTCTCTTAAAAGTTGTTATCGAATCGGCTTCCATTAGCCTTTCAGGCAATGCATTCCAGAGTTGAATTGAAATTGAAGCAGCATCGAATGGTTGGAGACAAATTAAGTCTTATTTTATCACATATTATGTAATTTCCATCAAATATTTTACTTGGAAACATCTCGTTACATTCAGCTTTTGGTGCCTCCCAGTAGTGTTCCAAATATAAAGAATCAGACTGATGCATTCTCTCTACACTGTCTGAAGTGACATTGTAACCAAGACAAATAGAAATGGAGTGGATTGTTAATCCTGTTTCTTTACCTAACTACTTTTTAAACATGTGATTTTAAGCTGTTATCGAATTGGCTTCCACCACCCTTTCAGGCAATGCATTCCAGATCTGAACAACTCGCTGTGTAAAAAAAATTCTCCTCACATCCCCTCTGTTTCTTTTAACAACTATTTTAAATCGGTGCCCTCGGGTTACCGACCCACCTGCCAGTGGAAATGGTTTCTCCTTGTTGACCCTATCAAATCCCCTCATAATTTTGAAAACTTCTATTAAGTCTCCACTTAATCTTGTCTGCTCCAAGGAGAATAATCCTTGCTTCTCTAGCCTCTCCTGATAACTGAAGTTCCTCATTCTTGGTACCATCCTGGTAAATCTCCTTTACACCCTTTCCAATGCCTTGACATCCTTCCTAAAGTGTGGTGCCCTGAACTGAACGCACTACTCTAGCTGAGGCCTAACCAGTGCTTTATAACGGTATTTGTATGATGTTAACTCTCACACATCCCTTGGTGAGAAGACCACTGTTACCCACTGTTACCTGAACACTGTTACCTGCCATAATATGTGTAAGAAGAAAGAAATGTGATTGAAACTTCTTATTCATTATGAATTCAATAAAATGATTTAAATCTTTATGAAATTCATGTGGTTACATGAAACTAGAATGTTTATGTAAAATTGAATTAGAGGTCACGACTTTCACTTATAGCTGAAACCTACATTAGAAAGATAAAAATCTACAGCGCAGAAGTTGGCCATTTGGTGCATCGAGTCCGCGTTGGCTGTCAGAGCATGGATATTATTCAATCCCTCCGCCCCTCTGTATCTCCATACTACTTCAAGCTCCGCTCTTTCAAATCCTGTCTACTTCCCTCTTGAAAGCTAGAATGGACTCTGCCTCCACCTCTCTGCTTGTCCTAATCCTTCTCCTAATCCTACATCATCATCTTCTGCTAATTGATGTAGCATTCAGGGTGAGATGCTCCATCATACAAAGAATTATCTGTTATTGGGTGAGAATGATCTAATGATCTAATTGGGTGCATTAGGTGACTGAACAAAAGATTTGTTGAAATGGTGCTATGTAAATGGCAGCTCTAAAGCCATGGGAAAAGTTATTCAGCTCACCAAGCATGCTTCAAACCCATCCAAAGATGTGGTCCACATCATTCCATCTCCTCAGGAAAAGCCCCACATAGACAGAGTTTCACGGAGGCATGGCTCGGTCTCAAACACACTGATCGGAGAAATCTAATTCAATACGTGCTCAAAAGCAGTTTAATATCTTCTTTGAGTTGTGTTTTTTGGATTTCTCTGTTGCGTTTGGAACACATTGTAACATATAGTCCAACTTGTTCTAAGATCAGCTATTTCCTTGTTTAACATGATGAAAGTAAATTCTTGCTTGTTTCTTGAAGGCACTGGTCGGAGAAAAGGCATGTTACCAGTCAGTCGGCAGTTACGGAGCACAAATCATCTATCTGGGAACTAAGGTGAACCACCATACATCTTTATTAGCGTTCCAGGAAGTGGAAGTCAAGTGGTTAACTTCTTTTGCATGGTTTGAATCAGGCTCATTATCCTACCAATCTCTCTTTCAACAGGGATGGGACATAGCCTAGAGCTCCACTAAACCAAATAACAAAAAAAACTCCTGGGATAGTGTATTCTGCAACTTTAAAGGAAATTCTGTATTCAACTAGCCATCCTTGATTTACAAAGAAAATTGCTCATTCAGAAGTCTTGTTACTAATGTTATTTGGAGTGAAATTGTTGCTTATGGTGGAAAGATATGGGGCGATGAGTCCTATCCACCCAGTGGAAGGATCAGGTTTGCTTCGCTGGGAGCTCTATACTTAGTCAATTGACTAGGGAATACTGAGTAGTGGGAATCCAGAGAAGGAATGGATTGTATCCCCTACCAACCTGCCCACTCCCTCTGCTCAGCGGGCTCCGGCCTGCTTCACGTCCCCTGCCTCGCCCGCCTCACCATTGGCAGGTGGGCCTTCTGCCACTCTGTCCCCATCCTCTGGAACTCCATCCTGCAGTCACTCCGTCTCGTCCCCTCCCTTTGACCGTGCCTTTGATGACCTTCCCCCCCTGCTAGACCACTAAAATGCAAAAGCTCCAATTGTGTAGTTAAACAGCCATGGTGGACAAAAGAAGTTAGAGACTGTATCGAGCTAAAAGAAAAGGCTTACTCAAATGCAAGAAAAAGTGGGAATGCAGAGGACTGGGATAACTACAAAAGGCAACAAAGGGATACAAAGAAAGTAATAAGAGGAACAAAAAGGGAGTGTGAAAAAAACTTGCAAGGGATATTAAAACCAATAGTAAAAGCTTTTCTAAATATATTAAGAGAAAGAGAATAATCAAGGGGAATGTAGGTCTGTTAAAGACAGATATAGGTGAGACTATAACGGAAAATAAGTAAATGGCTGACTTGTTAAATAAATACTTTGATACCGTTTTTATAGTAGAGGATGAGGATCAAATACCAGCCGTACAGGGGAACCTAAAAATAAGTCAAAGAGAAATGCTTAATAAAATTAATATAAATTTAAAAAATGGTAATGGAGGAAAAAAATGAGAAAATCTCCACAACTTGATAGTTTCCACCCCCAGAAATAGGAGGAAATTACAGATGCATTCGTCATATTTTCCAAAGCTCACAAAATTTGGGAATTGTGACTTTAAATTGGAAAATTGCGAATGTCTCCCTTTTATTTAAGTGGAGTCCTGTAGCTCAGTGGTTAGAGCACTCGCCTTGCAAACGAGACACCTGGGTTCAATTCCAGGCAGGGCGAAACCTTGGGCAAGTTTTCTTACTCCACACGCCTAATAATAATCCCTCCAAAACAAAACAATAATAAATTGGTCATTTTGAATCCACGACTGTTTGTGGAACACTACTGTGCACAATTGGCTGCCGCGTTTCGCCCACAAATATACAATCAATTCACTTTGCAGTATATTCTGTGAAGCGCTTTGAGACGTCTAAAATACATGAAAAGCGCTATATCAAATGCAAGGATTATTATTATTAAGGCAGGGAGGGAGAAACCAGGAAATTACAGACCTGTCAGCTTAACGTCAGTTGTAGGGAAAATACTGGAATCCATCATCAGGGACAGAGTGACTGAACATTTGGACATGTATGAGCTAGTCAAAGAGAGTTAGCATGAGTTTGTGAAAGGGTAGGTTGTGTCTGACTAGTCTAGTTGAATTTTTTGAGGAGGTCACTAAAATGGTGGATAAGAGAGTGTCTATGGATGTTGCTTATATAGACTTTCAGAAGGCATTTGATAAGGTTCCACACAAAAGATAATTAGGGAAAATGGAAGTGCATGGAGTCGGCGGTAACCTTGTGACGTGGCTTGGTAATTGGTTGTGAGGGATAAAGAGAACATTCTCTGATTGGTGGGACGTGTCAAGTGGTGTCCCGCAAGGGGTCTGTATTGGGACCTCAGCTATTCGCCATGTATAACTGCCTTGGATGAAGGAATAGAAAGTTTTATATCGAAGTTTGCAAACGATACTAAGCTAGAATGGTTAGTAAGTTGTGCAGATGGGAGTAGGAAGTTACAAGGGAGTTAGACAGATTAAGGGAGTGGGCAACGCTGTGGCAGATGGAGTTCAATGTAGGGAAGTGCGAGATCATCCACTATGGACCGAAAAAAGATAAAGCAGAATATTTTCTTAATGGGGAGAAATTAAGAACTGTGGAGGAGCAAACAGATTTTGGTGTCCATATCCACAAATCACTAAAAACTAGTTCCCAGGTGCAAAAAGTAATTAAAAAGGCAAATGGAATGTTGGCCGCTTTCTCCCCATATCCCTTAATACCCTGACCTAACAAAAACTTTAAATTAGCGAAGCTATTTTCTCTGGTGGGGGAATCCAAAACAAGGGGGAATAGTCTTAAAATTAGAACCAGGCCATTTAAGAGTGAAATCAGGAAGCATTTTTTCACTCAAAGGGTGTTAGAAATCTGGAATTCTCTCCCCCAAAAGACTGGATGCTGGATCCATCCACACCTTCAAGAGTGAGGTTGATAGATTTTTGATAGGTCAGGGTATTAAGGGATATGGGGAGAAAGCGGGAAATTGGAATTGAAAGGATTAGTTGAAGTACAGATCAGCCATGTTCTAATTAAATGGCAGAACAGGCTCGAAGGGCTGAATGGCCTACTCTTGTTTCTGTGTTCCTACGTTCCTCTCCACCCTCCCCAATCCCGAACCCCTGCTCGGGTCCGAAACACTGATTGTCCAGTGCCTTGGGATGTCGTCCTGACGTGAAAGGCGCTATACAAATGCAATTCTGTTGTTGTTATGGGATGCTTGCAGCCACATGACTCTTTATTCTCTATCAGGGACCTTTTTGCCCTGAAATATAAGATCATGCAGAATTGTGGAAAGTTTACTTAATATTGAAAACTTTTTTTTTCCAGTTCTTCAAATCGAAATTAAGACCAAATTTGAGAATTTTCCAGAATTCTATGTGATCTTAAGTTTTAAAAGAGTGAATTGAAGGCTAAGATTGGTGGAATTTCAGGACTCAAAAATTTTTGTTCAAAAAAGTAGCTAATTTATGGGTAAAACTATATATTTTCAATTTATCAAAATTTTGAGGAATACATTTTAAGATGCAAGATTTTGAAATTATGAAATTGTTCAGTTACCTAATAATAATAATAATCCTTGCGTTTTACATTGTGCCTTTCACATCGGGATAATGTCTCAAAGTGCTTCTACATATACTGTAAAATATCTTGACTATGTGTTTTGTAACCCATCGTGTCCCTCAAATCTGAATACCAACAAATCCTCATTTTTTAAAATATGTTAGTCACTGTCGTTTTTTCTTTCTCCTCTTTCTTGTAGTCCGTTCACATTATTACTCTGAGGACCTGGCGAGAGGTAAGAAAATTAAATTATTCACTGATATCTTCCAGTATTGTCCTGACATCCTCTCGTTCAGTAAAGTCCAAATCGTTGCAAACTGCTGGACTTTTTGACAACTGGTCCCTGGCAAGTCTGTTCCCTGCAGGTGTGGATGGTGCATTGAGGCTGGTTTTAGTTCTCGTTTCAGGAATGTGACTGGAATAGCATATTAATGTTTCTTTCACCTCAGCCAAATGTTCTTCATCCAGAAGAAACCTACATCCCACATAGCTGTGCAACTTCGCCATAGAGCAGTTTAAATATCTTCAGGGTTTGTGAAGTCTCAAATTTGTTAAGTGATTTGTTTCCCAGGAATGTTCCAACTGGCTCCCTAGTGGTCTTGTGGGAAAAGCTCCACTCAGTATACTACTGTCACACAGGCTGGGGATGTTCATACAGCAACAATAACAAAAATTGTATAGCACCTTTCACATCCCAAGGCGCTGGACAGTTAATGTTTCGGACCTGAGCTGGGGGTTGGGATCGGGTAGGGTGGACGGCAGGAGGGCAGGAGGGAAGGAGGGTGATCAAAGGCACCGTCAAAAAGGAGGATTTTGAGATGGGACTTGAAGGAGGCAACGGAGGGGGCGAGGTGGAGAGACTAGGGGATGGAATTCTAGAAGCTGGGGGCAGAGCGGCTGAAGGCCAATGGTGGGGTGGGTGTGACTGGGGATGTGAAGCAGGCCAGAGCCCGCTGAGCGGAAGGAGCTGGCAAGTTGGTACAGGGTCGCAGAGGTAGAGGGGAGCAAGGCCATAGAGGGCTTTGAAGATGAAGACCGGGATCTTGAACTGTATCCTCCGTGTGATGGGAAGCCAGTGGAGTCGGGCGAGGATGGAGGTGATAGGGTCACGGAGCCTGGTGCGGGAGAGGATGGGGCTGCAGAGTTCTGGATGATCTGCAGCCTGTGGAGGGAGGAGTTGGGGAGGCCAACAAGCAGGGAGTTTGCACAGTCAAGCCTGGATGTTATGAATGCGTATATGAGAGTTTTGGCATGCTGTGGCGTGAGAAAGTGGCGGAGCTGGGCGAAGTTGTGGAGGTGGAGGAAGGCAGAGCGGGTCATGGCACCTGAGTCAACACCTGAGGTATGAAAGTGCTGATGTTAGCCAATCAGGAGGGCCTCGGTCTTGTTGACGTTCAGCTGAAGAAAGTTAGCTCTCATCCAAGACATGATGTCTGACAGGACAGCAGTGGTCCTGGAGTCAATGCTGGAGGCAGAAAGATAGAGTTGGGTGTCATCCGCATACATGTGGAAGTTGACCCTGTGTCTGCAGATGATGTCACCAAGAGGAAGCACATAGAAATTGAAGAAGAGGGGACCAAGGACAGAGCCCTGAGGAACGCTGCACGAGACAGTGTGGTGCGGGATTTGGAGGAGAAACCATTTGTGGAGATGAAGTGGGGACGGTGTGAGAGGTAGGAGCTGAACCATTCAAGGACAGAACCATGAAAGTTGAGAGGAGAGAAGGTGAAGGATAGAGTGGTCAATGGTATCGAAGGCAGCAAAGAGGTCAAGGAGGACAAGGAGGCAGAGGGAGCCCTGGTCACAGATGGACAGAATATCATTTGTCAGTTTGACCAAAGCTGTTTCTGTGATGTGGGAAACCGAATTGGAGATGTTCGTGAAGATAGTGCCGGTAGAAGAAGAAGCAAAGATGGGAAGCAATGACTCATTCCAGGACCTTGGAAAGGGAGGTTGGAGATGGGGTGGTAGTTTGAGAGCAGCAATGGGTACAGGTAGGGTTTTTTAAGGATAGGAGTGACGACGGCTGTTTTTAAAGGGGTGGGAACGGTGCCAGTGGATATGGAGAGGTATATGATGTCTGTCAGTAGAGGGGCGAGGAGGTGGAGCTGGGAGGTAAGGAGAGTGGTAGGGATGGGGTCAATGGAGCAGGTGGTTGGTTTCATATGTTCAATTGTCAGTGTGCTGTATTAGGCTCCTACTACCATGCAAACTTGCCTTCGACTCTTGTGCATACTTCACCCCGTGGAGCTGGAAACCAGAATTTTTTCAAGGTTACTTGCCTGGTGTTACTTGAGGTTAGCTAACACATCTCAGCTTGGCAATTGAACGTGCGATCGTCTGGTCTGTGTGACAGTGTTATCCTGAGTGCTACTTTCCCCACAAGATCAGCAGGGAGCCAGCTGGGATATTTCTGGGAAACTAATTGTTTAATTTTGTTGATAATAATAATAATAATTCTTGTACAGTGCCATAGCAGGTCATTGAGATGTCTCAAAAGCATTTCACAGGATTTACTGTAAAGTGGATTGACCGTATTTTGTGGGCAAAATGCAGCAGCCAATTGTCACAGCAATATCACACAAACAGCCATGGAGTGAGTGACCAATTTTATTTGGGGGATTGTTGGCCAGGTACAGGGAGAAACTCCCTTCTCTTTTTGAATAGTGTCAGGGGATCTTTAACGTCAACTTGAACAGGCACAGACAGGACCTCGGTTTAACGCCTCATTCAAAGGCTAGCACCTCTGACAATGTAGGACCACCCCAGCACTGCATTGGAGAATCAGCCTGGATTGTGTGATTCCAAGTCCTGACATGGTCTTGAACCTACAACCTTCTGACACAGAGGCAAGAGTGCTACCACTTAGCCAGGGTGATACAGGCACAAAAGAAGATAATGAACGAAACAGTTAAAACTTTAAAGGATAAGAGGATGTCGAGAAAGGATGAATAGTAAATACTAACTGTACGTATTGCAGCTTCGCTTGCAAACAAAGGATCCAATATGGAATGTAGGTTGACACTTAGACATTTCGTCTTTATCTGTACTCATCTGGGAGGACTCCTGTGGGAGGACTCAGTGGTAGGATTTGGTGCTTTAAAAATGTAATTTTGTTGATGCTGCGCTTTAGATTTGTCTGTGTTCTTTAATTTGTTCCTGCCGCTTAGCTACGTGCATGCTCTGTGACACAGTGCCACGGTCAGCCAGCACAGCCACCAGGTGTAACTGCAGTGCGTGCGTACATACGTATGTGCTCTGTGATGCACGATGCCAGAGCGCCACTTTGACTCGGTGGCCACCAGGTGTAACTGCAGCAAAAAATGCAAAACTGAAAATAGCTCACGAACAATAGGAGGTACCCGAAAACCAATATGCCCATGTCACTCCGAGATGCAAGACCAGTTTGGTGAGGTATAAATTTGTCTCTACGTCAATCGATTATTGAGATCCGTCTTGAAGCGCAGACAGGCATTGTCGTCCAGAAAAAGATTTAATGACTACTTAGTAAATGTTGGGTAATGACTGCTTTATACTTCTTTAAATGTTGGAGGACACAAACATTTTATCCAACACGTCATGTGACCATCCCCCCAAACTTGAGACAAGGCAAAGATTCTAGATAGATTCAAAAAACTGGAAAGCAAATAAATAAGCAAGCCAGCCAAGCCAAGCCAGCAAATTCTGACCACCAGAAATGACCATCTTCTGGGTTGTAAGATCGCCATGGACATCACTTCTTGTGCATTGGGCTTGTGTGTTAGGTGCAGACAGTGACTCGCTTATCACTTCCTGCTTGTGTTTGGAAGTTGAACATTTATGTGGTTCAAAACAATAAAAAAAAGCCCCTCAACCCACAATGCCTAATGTGGGTAGCTTTTCCTGTTTGGTTGTGCTTTCGGCCACCCTCCCATCTCCTCAAGCCTGCACCCCTCTTGATTCTGCTATCCACCTTGTGAGGATTCAAACCTATACTTGTCATGTATAAAACTATGAACTAGTGACTATCCTTCAGGGGGTGGGGGGGTATAAAGGGTTTGTAAATAGGGTCTTCTTGGAACTCTGCTGGCTCCTATACAGTGTTCAAGATAAATTTAAAACAATAATTTTCTTGCATTCTGGTAGATCGGTGACTCAATTCTGAATAGATTTGTACATGGGTTTGAGACTGATTCGTGAATTTAATACTTAATCCCACTTTTGGGGATATTCAAGATGGTTAGATAAATACCTCAGGACATTTAAAAGATACCTCATTTGATGCAATAGAGAGTATTAATTTGCTGTTAGCATTGAAAATAGCCCCTATGAATGTTTAACCATTGTATAAATCAAATAATAAGAATAGCTAATAATTAAATAATTAACTACTTCTAGAAGTGTGCCAAGTACCTTTTGTGAAATATTTATCTCATTGTCATTGTCCTTTATATCATTCGATTCAGGTACAATGCATCTGCAGTATCTTGAGATTTAATTTTAATTTTGAGACTTTAAACCTTGAAGATTATTAAAATGCCCTTATGAAGAAGTTGCATTTACAGATAAGAACTATGTGCTGACACTAACAAAGCAATGATATATGCCTTGACGTGGAGTCAGAGCTCTCTGTTCAAATTAGGCATTCTATAATTTTAGTAAAGCATTTCAGTTCCAATTTATAAGTACTTTGTTTTAATTTAGCAGGGAGGAGAGCAGGGTGTATTTTGTTCTTGTGTTTTGATGAATTCAACTGTCAAATATTGCTGTTTAATTTTTTTAATACTTTGTGTGAAAATAACAACCATAAAAATTACATAATTTTGAATATTTGGTCTGAATGACGCAATCCTCCATGCCCCAGAACAACAATAACACATTTATATAGCACCCCTCACACAGGTTAGCATCCCACAGCCCTTGAACCTATCTCTCTGATCCGGCATTCACCACCATCTTTCCCCTCAGGCCACTCCCACACGTTCTACTCTCCACCTCTCCTGATTCCAACCCCAGCTTAGGTTCTAACCCTAACTGTCTAGTGCCTTGCGAAGTCTTTACCATTTTAAAGCATTGAATTGGCCATTGACATTGAATTCATGTTGATGTGAATTGTGCTATATATGTATATACACACACACACACACACGTATATATCCAAACTGTACATGCTCCCTCTTGGTGACATTATAATATAAATCACGTCTTTGAGACATCTCAAAGCTTCACAGAATATACTCGTCCTCGCCTTCAAGGATCTCCACGGCCTAGTTCATTCCTAACTCTGTGACCTGCTAACCCCATACCAACCTAGTCAACAGAATTGACTGTACATTTTGTGGGTGAAACGTGGCAGCCAATTGCACACAGCAGTTCCCACAAACAGTCATGGATTAAATTGACCAATTTATCATTATATTTTTTGAAGGAAAGCAATCTGCCAATCGACTAACAACTAGGTTCCTACTTACTGCTCAGTAAACAGAGGCGTGTGGAGTAAGGAAACTTGGCCAACATTTCGTCGCCGGGAATCAAACCCAGGTCTCTTGCTTGCGAGGCGAGTGTTCTAACCACTGAGCCACAGGACTCCACAAAGTATTACACTTACTGAATAATACAGATTAACACTCAGATCAATCGTATTTGAGGTACTCACGCAATGACATTGAAGCTTTACCCCATGTTGCATGGTTTGGTCAGGTGACCCCGGCAACCATAGGCTTTGCACTCGGTTGAATGAAGTGTGCTGCATCTGTAAGCAGTGACACAGTGAGGAAGTGCAACACCTCCTACAGGCCCGATTGCAAACTACACCACACCACCTCTTTTACTTCAAAACATCCTAATAGGTTTGATATATATTTGTCTTTTAATGGCCTTTCTCCAGAGGATGGATTGCCTTTTGAAACAGGAGAGATTCACCGAGGTGCTGGCTCTGGCCTGGTCCTTCCATGAGGGAAAAGCCAAGGCAGTAGTTGGTGAGTCCTACTGTTTCCTGTTTACAATGAATAGAATGTTTTTTTTTGTTGTATGTTTTATGTGTTGTACTCCAATTGATGCGGCTGCTTTAACCCTTGGAAATATAGAGCAATAAATACTGTTTCAAATACCACAGACCTCTTCAGGCGCTGGTTCCTCTGTTGTTGCTTGTTGGGTAAGATACTACAAAGATTACAAAGAGTGTGCAGCACGAAAACGGACCACTCAGTCCAAACAGTCTGTGCTGGATGTTATACTCCACATGAGTCTTCACCCATTTCTTACTCCCATACTCTTCTATTCCTTTCTCCCTCATGTGAATGTCATGGACCCGAAACATTGAATCACTTTCCCTTCTCCACAGATACTGCCTGACCTGCTGAGTGTTCCCAGCGACTTCTCTTTTTGTTTCAGATTTCCAGCATCTGCAGTATTTTGCGTTTTGATAAAGATTCAAGAGTTGACTAATGCATTCTCTCTACACTGTCTGTAGTGACACTGGAAACAAGACAAATAGGAATGGAGCGGACTGTTAATCCTATTACTTTACCCAACTACTTTTTAAACATGTGACGTAGTATAAGCAGATTATTTTATGAAGTGCTCCTGGGTATGATTTATATCTTGCTTACAATCAGGATTGTAATTGACTCTTGTAGCTGCCTGAGACCACTCTTTGAGTCTTAAAAACTCGTAAAAACATCTACTCTCCATCCCTTCAACCTCGCGCACTACCATTCCATTTCAAACCTGTCTTTCCTAGCCAAAGTCCTGGAACGCATTGTTGCAAACCAAGTTGTCTCACATCTCGCCCTCCACTCCCAACTCGAACCCCTCCAGTCCGGTTTCCACCCAGTCCACAGCACAGAATCAATGCTTGTCAAAGTAACAAATGACATGGGTTTCCTCTCCCTCCTCATCCTCCTGGACTTCTCCACTGCATTCGACACAGTCAACCACTCCATCCTCCTCCACCACCTCTCCTTCATCCACCTAAGTAGGATGCACTCGCGTTTTTCGAGTCCGACTTAACTAACCGCCAGCATTTCATCTCGGCCAATGGTTTTCCTCTCGCCCCCGCCCGGTCACCTGCGGGGTACCTCGAGGCTCCATTCTTGGCCCCCTTCTTTTCCTCATCTACATACTCCTTCTCGGCAATGTCATCCGCTGGCATGGGGTAAACTTCCACATGTATGCGGATGACACACAAATCTACTTCTCCAACTGCAACTAACAAGTCACTATAGTTCAAAGTTACGTGCTATCTTTTGCCACGTCCAAATGGCATTTGTATAGTATTTTTTTAAATATCCCTTAAGTGCTTTCTAATAATTATAGATGAGTCTTTGAATTACTTGAAAGCACAATTATTTTTCAGTAATTTTGAGGAACTCAACTCAGGCGGTCAACTCAAATGTTCCAAAACGCAATCTAGATTAACTGCTGTTTTCCAGTACAAATTTGTCTGCAGGTACTGCAGAATTGAAACAATCATTTGATTTTTTTTCACTTGTTTGCGATATTATTCTCTATCTTTTAAATACCTCAGGTGAGAGCCATGTATAAAATGAGGTCCCGTCTTCCTGTTCAGGTGGACGTTAAAGATCCTGTGGCATTATTCAAAAAGACAAAAGTTTCTCTTGGTGTCCTGGCCAACAATCCCCAATTAAAATTGATTTATTTGTGGGACATTGCTGTGTGCAAATTGTCTGCTGTGTATTATAATAATAATTATAATTATATTATTGTTACTATTGTACAATACAGTATTACTGCTTCTACTGTAACATTTCCATTTTCCATACCAGCCATCCTGGGGCTCACTGAGTGGGATTGACCCTCCCTGCCCTCCATACACCTGAACCTAACCCCCAGCTTGGGTGCAAATCCTTGACTGTCCAGTGCCTTGGGATGTTCTTCTGATGTGAAAGGCATTATATACATGTAATTTGTTGTTGATTATTCAGTTGTTGTGGGCATTTGACTAAATTCTAGTGGGCACTTTTGTCCTGTTGGTTGGCGCTCCCTGGCGACTAGATTAAGACTGTTCCAAACTAATTTCACTGATGTCGTCAGTGGACACAATGGGCAGTGACTGACCAGGACTTTCTTACTTCTAACATGTGTGCTGTACACTCAGATGAGTGATAGCTGTTTGGTCTGATAAGCTTTTTCTCCTTATTTTCAGGGTTGTTCGGAGACCAGAGCAAGCGACAGGGTGTCATAGCTGACCGGGTGAGTGTGATATTTATTTCTCTAATCAAATTAATAATAATAATCCTTGCATTTGATATAGCGCTTGTCACGTCTTCTAGACGTCTTAAAACGCTTCACAGAATATGCTGTAAAGTGAATTAACCGTATATTTGTGGGCGAAATGCGGCAGCCAATTGCGCACAACAGTGTCCCACAGACAGTCGTAGATTGAAAATGACCAATTTATTATTGTTTTTGTTTTGGAGGGATTATTATTAGGTGTGTGGAGTAAGGAAACTTGCCCAAGGTTTCACCCTGCCTGGAATTGAACCCAGGTGTCTCGCTTGCAAGCCGAGTGCTCTGACCACTGAGCTACAGGACTCCACAAATTATTCTTGGTTTTGTTTACTTTCAAAACTTGTTAGTGAGTGCAGCACTCTAGGAGAAACTTGGCAGAAGGTACGGTCCCAAGGAAATAAACAGATATTCAGAATATGTAAAAGATGACTAAGCTTTACATCATTCTGTCTCTCTTACAAACAAGTTGATTCCTTTCCCAAATAGTTATACTCTTGTCTTCTGAATTTAGAAATATAGAAATCTAAGCCAAAATGGACTCCACCTCCACTATCCTAGTCGGCAGGGTGTTCCACATCCCAACCACTCTGGGGTGAAAGTAATTCCTACAAGTCTCTCTTTTTGTTGTTATTGTGGCCAGCAGAACCAGTGATTCTGCCATCACTGTTTAGTGTTGAGATCTCTTCACTCGAAGTAGGTGTTAAGAAGAGGCCACAGGTAGTTAAAGCTGCTGTTTGTAGATGGTGAACTTCATTGGGTTACCACCTTTCTTTCAGATGGTAGAAATTCTGATTCAGTTTGCAGACCGAGCTCTGAGGAAGTGTCCTGATCAGGGCAAAATTCAGGTCATGGAGCAGCATTTCCAGGTAAGTGATTTTAAGAGAATGAGCTTTTCCCTGATTTTAAGAGAATGAGCTTTTTCAATTACTGTACACATTGGATACAAAGCAACTATTTTTGAGAGTTTTAATCAGTCTTGTAAGAGCAGAGTTTCTGGCTTGTTAGGAGAAGAATCAGCATAGAGGTTAGAAGAAATGTCCAACCAGAGAATTGTTAGGGCATGAAATTCATTACCACAAGTGATTATTCAGGCTGGACTAATCAAATCGTTCAAAAAGGAAATAGGTGTCAGCGTGGCTTAGTTGGCAGAACTTCACCTCTGGGTCAGAAGTTCAAAATGCCACACAAGGACTTTGAGTCACAGTCTAGGCCAGGGGTCTCAAATCAGTTGATCACTGCTAGATTGCGGTCTCACGCATGATCAAAATGATTTCAAATGAGATGTTTTGCCGAGATTCCGTCTGTCTGTTCAGGTGGGCGTTAAAGATCCCATGAAACTATTAGAAAAGCGAAGGGTGTTTCTATCTCCCGGCGTTCTGGCCAACAATCCCTCAAATAAAATTGGTCATTCAGTTTGTGAGATATGGTGCAAATTAGCTGCCACGTCCATCTGTGAAATGTGTTGAGACATTTAAGTGACATTCAAGAGACATTTAGGGTGCTATACCAAATGCAAGGATTATTATTATTGCAAAGCACCTGAGCAGTAAACAACAACAAAATTACATTTGTAAACAAAATTAAGGGATGTGCGGAGAGTGCTGGAATGTATGATTAATAGTGGAATCCTGTAATCTAGTGGTTAGTGCAATTACCTCGCAAGCGAGGAGACCTAGGTTTGATTCCTAGGCAGGGCGAAACCTTAGGCATGTTTTCTTACTTCACACGCTTCTGTTTACCTAACAGTAACTAGAAACCCAGCTGTTAGTCGGTTGGTGGATCACTTTAAATAATCATTTTTAAAAAAATGGTCGCGCAATCCATGACTGTTTGTGGGACACTGCTGTGCGCAATTGGCTGCTGCGTTTTGCCCACAGAATATACAGTTAATTCACTTTACAGCATATTCTGTGAAGCGCTTTGAGATGTCTCAAAGAAAGGGATAAAGCGTTACATCAAATGCAAGGATTATTATATTAATAATAAAAAAAGATTTAAAAAGCAGAGATAGCAACAAAACAGGCAGTAAAGGCTGATTACTGCCTTCTGTGATGGTCATTTCTAGATTGTGTTTTTCTGGATGTAGAGTGTTGTGGTGTGTGCCGATGTTGAGTAAATGAACAGAGAAGTATGTGTTGAGACACTTGTTGATATTTTCGAAACTGACAGCTTTTAAAATTTGAGGAGCCAGTATTTGTTTAGTATCATAAATATTACTCCTGGTACTACTATTATAAAGAATTATTAGATGGCAATCAGCCAGGGTGTTCAGCTCAATATGCAGAAGCTGAAAAGCAGGAGTAAAGAATTATCATCATAAAATTACAATCTTCCTGCATAATACCTATTAATAGAAGTTCATATGTTGTCAGCTTGATGTCCTCCCCACCAAGATGACATGTTTGGCAACAGAATGTCGGAATCAAGTCCACCTTCTGTGGCGGTTTCTAGTCCAGATACTGAGTCAGGCAGTTCACAGTACTCCAGGGTACTGCTGATGGCAACCCAGCCAGCCTGGCTCATCGACAGGATCTTAAGGTTAGAGCAGTCACTAGGAGCGGGATTCTTCTCAATCACCCAATCAACTCCTGTTAACCCTGTGAGCCAAAGCCATGACGAGAAGGGTGTTCCTAGCTGGACAAGCAGCTGGAAGTTTGCCAGATAGTGCTTTCAGTGGCAAGCTGTGGGTTTAGCTGGTTAAACTACAGCAGTACCTGAACGCAAACTATGTGATAGGTTAGGTGATTGGGCAGGTAGGTGGCAGATGAAGTACAACGTAGGGAAGTGCGAAGTCATCCACCTAGGTAGCAAAAACAGTACAGCGGGTTATTTTTTAGAAGGGGAGAGATTGGAATGTGTTAGCGTCCAGAGGGACTTGGGTGTCCTTGTACACCAATCACAGAAAGTTACTCTGCAGGTGCAGCGAGCAATTAGGAAGGCGAATGTTATGTTAGCATTCATTATGAAAGGATTAGATTCTTCCCTTACAAACACAGACGCTCACAAACACAGAGAGATACACACACATACACTCACAAACACATAGAGAGACACACATAGACACACACACAGACACTCACAAACACATAGAGAGACACATAAACACTCACAATCACATAGAGACAGACACTCACAAACACATAGAGAGACACACACAGATACGCACAAACACATAGAGAGACACATAAACACTCACAATCACATAGAGACAAACACAGAGAGACACGCGCAGACACTCACAAACGTATAGCAAGCCACACACACAGACATTCACAAACGCATAGAGAGACACACACAGACACTCACAAACACTTTGAGAGACACACATAGACACAAACACATAGAGACGTACACAGAAACTCACAAACATAGAGACACACAGACACTCAAACACAGAGAGACACACACAGGCACTCAAACACAGAGAGACACACACAGGCACTCAAACACAGAGAGACACACACAGACACTCAAACAGAGAGACACACACAGATACTCAAACACAGAGAGACACACACAGACACTCAAACACAGAGAGACAGACAGACACTCTCAAACGCATAGAGACACACAGACACTCTCAAACACAGAGAGAGAGAGACACACAGACACTCACAAAGAAAGAGAAAGATACACACACAGACACTCACAAACATTTTGAGAGACACACATAGACACAAACACATAGAGACGTACACAGAAACTCACAAACATAGAGACACACAGACACTCAAACACAGAGAGACACACACAGGCACTCAAACACAGAGAGACACACACAGGCACTCAAACACAGAGAGACACACACATGCACTCAAACACAGAGAGACACACACACAGACACTCAAACATAGAGAGACACACACACAGACACTCAAACACAGAGAGACACACACAGACACTCAAACAGAGAGAGACACACAGATACTCAAACACAGAGAGACACACACAGACACTCAAACACAGAGAGACACACAGACACTCAGAAACTCACATTCACAGAAATACACACACAGACACATAGAGAGACAGACACTGACAATCACACAAATCACAAATACACAGACATTCACAGCAGTGGGGCCTCCAAGTGAAGCCCATTTGCACTTGCGCCACACTGTGCATGTGCGTCAAGAGCCGCTTCTTCCACAGTGATGTCAGGTAACCAGTGAGCGGCTCATGCACCAGAAACTTCATTTGTAGCAGAGGACGGTGTTTATAACTGATTCTGCGGAAAAGTGCAGCCTCATTTTTCTGTTGGCCCAGGTGACAAGGCAGTAATATATTGAGGTTTAAGTTGAGGTAATTCTACAAACCACCAGAGGAGAACCAAAGTGATTTTTCATTGTCTCTTCAATTCTGACATAAATTGTCTTTTAATCATGTCTATATAATGCGTACAGATTAGGGTGGAATCAATTTAATATGCCCTCAGTAATTACTAATAATGATCCTTGCATTTGATATAGCATCTTATCGCATCATCGAGATGTCTCAAAGCGCTTCACATAACATACTGCAAAGTGAATTGACTATATATCTTGTGGGCAAAATGCGGCAGCCAATTGCACGATTGTCTTTCTCCCAGAAACAGGAAAATCAAACCATGTTTCAACTGCAGCGATATAAAGAATCGCAAATATTAAAATGTAATAATATCTAGTTTTATTTGACGGGCTTTAAGTAGTAATCTCATAATCTTGTATGCATTATATACAGGCAACCATTCAGCTCAACAAACGGGAAATTTCACCAGGGTTTTGATTTACTCTGTTTTCTAACCATTTCAGAATATCAGAATTTGATGCAAAACAGCCTTAATTTTGAAGCTGATTTTCTGTAAATTGCTTTTTATTAATTATAGAAAATTGGCTTCAAAGTTCAGACTGAATTCAATAACTTGTCAAGTTATAATATTAAAATGCTACATGAATAAAGCTTGGACCCAAGTGACATTCTCCCTCCCAAGTGTAGTAGTGTGGCAATGAAATTTGTGTTTATCCTGTGTCTTTGCTGACAGTTTGGAAGATCAGCAGGTCTTTGCTAATCCCACTCTTACAACAATAATAATAATTCTTCCATTTGATATAGAGCCTTATCACGTCATTGCGGCATCTCAAAGTGCTTCACAGAATATACTGCAAAGTAAATTAACTATATTTTGTGGGTGAACGCGGCAGCCAATTTCGACAGCAGTGTCCCACAAACAGTCGTGGATTGAATGACCACAGTTTTTTCAGTGGGGGAGGGATTATTACCCTCAGAAAGCAATCAACCAATTGTCTAACAACTGGACTCCTACTTATGTACCTAGATAAACAGAGGCACGTAAAGTAAGGAAACTTGCCTAAGTTTCGCCTCACCCGGGAATCGAACCCGGGTCCTCTCACTTGGGAGGCGAGCTTGCGAGCTGCTACGCTACTCTCTATGCCCAAGTCCAGATCATTAATATATATTAGAAAGAGCAGTGGTCCCAATACCGATCCCTGGGGGACACCGCTGCACACCACCTTCTATTTCGAGAAACACCCATTAACCACCACCCTCTGCTTTCTGTCACTGTGGTTAATCTCAATTAATTGTACATTTATTCATTATGCTGTGCCGTTGCATAGTTGCCAATATTTGGTCATCTCATTACCTACAGTCTACTGTTGCATTCTGAGGAATCAAAGCCAATGCCGTGATTATTTTAAAATATTGCTATTTTCCGTGATGTACATGAATCTATCTTAAGACTTTGGATTTAAACCAAAGAAGCCACACGAATATGTTGTATCAAAGTTTAATAGTGAGTGCAGCTCTTTAAATGCTGTCGCTGATTGAATGGAGAGTGACGAGCATATTTGCATTATTACAGACGAGT